TATAGGTATGTCCCTTTACAGCTAGGCAAAATAATATTGGTTAGCTAGTTTGTATATACTCGTACTTTGAACAGGATATTTTCAAACACATCATTTTGACATGAAATAAATACGGGATGCCTCTCAGTTGTCAATATTATATCTTACTTTTAGTAATTCTTCCCCCTGAGTCCTTTATTATATTTCTCCACCTCGTAAACTCATAGAGTATTTCAAAAAAATTAAAGATGTCATCAAGAAGATTCTATCCTACACCTCCTACATATAACCACGTTATCGATTGTCAGTGTACCTTTTAAGTAAGAAATGATCATTATATAGAGAGTTTCATTTTTTCTTGCTCCGTTGTACAAACGGTATAATGTTCAAAAATAACAGATACTTCCCTAGTTAAGATCACTGCGAGTGATATATATACTTGATAGATATACTTATAAATAATTCCGTGATAATTCCAAGCAAAACATATATTTAATATAGATGCAAGAATAATTTTGCATTTTTATTAAATACTAGCAGAACCAGCGGCTTTACTCGCGCTAAAACGACAAAAAAAAACTCTAAAAAGGTAGTTTTCATACAAACTTTCATGCCCTATTTTACCCTTTTATGGGATGAATTTCTAAAAATGCTGAAACACGTATTCATTTAATTATATTGAAGAGCATTAATACCAATTTTCAAGTAATTCTGATCATAAATAATTCTTGGATTGAATGAAATAATCTCCCGCGGTAAAAAGTACCCTATGTCACTCTCCAGCCTTCCGACTATCTCCACACAAAAAAATCACGGCAATCCATCACTCCGTTCTGCCGTGAAAGAAAGACAAAAAACAAACAAACAAACAAACAAACAAACAAACACACTTTCACATTTATAATATTAAGTATGGAAGTATGGATTAAGAACTAATATGTAATACGCTCCTTACTTACTACTTATTTAATTTTGAGCTTATAGCTGTATCTGTTTTAGTTTTAGCTTTTCTGTAGGAGCATAAGAAAAAAAATCACAATATTATTTCCAGAAATTACACAATATAATTTTGTTATTTTAGATAAATCATTTATTCTTAGATATAATAACATATACCTAATTATAGTATATCTCTACAGTAAACAACGACTCCGAGTACTTAGCCCGACTGAGTGGTCGTTGACAGTAAATGTATGACAAATCAATCAAAGCCCACATAATATTTAAGTATTGGTGGTATAAACAGATGGCTTCATTATAAAGTAGAGGGATTTGTCTTACGTGACCAGTTAACGTCAGATAGGATAATTTGCATTCCCCTACAAAGAGTGTAAGTGCTAAACAAATGTATATTGAAACCTATAGTTTTACTATTGTTACAAAAATATAATGAAATACTAAATAATAAACTTTATTAAAACAAGTACATGTATGAACTATAATCTAATATAGGCAGTACATTTATTTGACATTATGAAATTAATATATAGGAAAAATATAGGAAAATTCACAATTTTAGTGTCCTTAATGGCGCTCTCCACTTTACAGGAGTATTTCATTCTCGCTCTGAAAAGTTGGTATTCGTCAAAGTCATTCAAAAAATTATATTGAATAACCCAGAACAATGCTGTCATTAATTTATTTTTGTCTTATTTATCTTATCGATGTTGAGATTTATATCAAAATGTTTCCTGTGGTGTAAAATATGCGTCATATTGCTTATTCGAACGCGGAACTTATTAAAATTCAGTGCAAATATTTTAGATCTAGAAAAAGTTGTAGATCATAAAAACGTAATATAAAAATCCGATAGAATCAATATTCATTGTTACATAGATAGTAGATAAAGCACGTACGGTCATCTTACTTGAATTCTAATTGTATTTTTTTTTTATTCTGTTACGTATATATTTGCAATAGGTACTTAAACGAATATAAACAATTTAAATAAAAACTTTTTAACAAAAAAATAAAAACCGACTTCAAACAAAAGCACTAAAAAGTAAAAAATAACTGATTGGTAGTTTTCATTTACTATTTTATTTTATTTTTTTATTTTATTTTTTTACATTTATACATACCTAATCAAATATTTTCGAAGTCAGTTAACCTAAAAAAATGTAATGGTCTTATTTACATATTTTTATTATTTAAAAAAAAACATTCTATGCTATTTATTAACAATAAATCGATATGTCTAGATATCAATTATAGGTTCGAACATAATATTATGATTTATATTTTTGAACTGATTTCAAGGAAACTTTTTAGTGTATTCATATTTCATATAGATTATGTATATATCACCGCCCACCCTCGTATAAAGCTTTATGCTTCCGAACTAAACAGATTCTCGCACGAAACCTCCAGTAGGTAATATTTAATTATGAGCAAAGCTTTCTTCAAGCTTTATAGACAAAGCTGCAAGTACATCTATACATATAATAAAATTGTAACTAAGTCGAATCAGTACATTAAATATTTTTTTGGAAAATCGAATTAAAATAGACATTATTATCGATACAGAGTCCGAATCTATAGTTTTTAGAATTTTTGTCTGTCTGTGACCACATTACGAGAAAACCACTGGACAGATTTTGATGAAATTTGGTGATGATAGCTGGTTATCCGGGTCAACATATAGGATACTTTTAACCTCAGTAAAATATCTCATTTCTGAGAAAAAATACAAAAACTCCATTATAAGAGTATACTAATATGTGAAACCTAAGAATTTGGTTTTTGGTCATCTGAACGCGGGCGGAGCCACGGGCAATGCTAGTAATATAATCGATATATAATTAGGTTCGAGATTGTATCTTTAACGGTACAAAAATTAGGTTGTGGGTTTTACTTACGGACGTGAAATAATGCTTTATAACTTATGATTTCTTTCTCAATGTCTAAAATTATTATAAATAAGTAAAATGTAGTTAAGATTCAGACGTTGGTACTCAAATAGCCCTTTCAACTCATATGGTAGTACGATATTTCAATCGTAGCAATAATATATTATTACAAATTCTTTACTTCTATTATTGGATATTGTCAACCAAATTCTTTTAATCAAACATTCAATCTATCACCATCGTCCCTTAGAGTAAATTTAGAGGCGCGCAGTTAAAAAAAAATCTCAATAAAATTACAAAGACGACATAAGCAAGTCGATACTGAATAGAAACACGTTACGCTTTTACTGCATTTGCTTTATATTTTTTATGCACTCTCAAAAAGTTAATGAGTTTCTTAGAAATGTAGGTAAAGGGACGTGAGACCATCCTCACAATATTTCGGGTTCGCTGAACGTGTTTCTTTGGTATTGTTTCCGTCTCGCGACGTTGTACAGGTTTTTAGGATGTGACTTAAATTTTTAAAAAGTTTTTATTATAAAAACAGCATTTGTTTTTTTTTTTTTTGCTTTCTAGAGTTTGTAGAGGAACTACATTTCTTCTAATAAGGATTAACAATTTTATATAATATCAAATCAAAAAAAATAGTATCAAAACCGTTCTTATAACAACATAATAAAATCATAAGGCTTAAGTCGACACATTCAATTTTCCGCTTATTGTCTGTACTTGCTGGGTAATGATTCAAATAGCCGATTGTACGGAAATCGAACCCGAAACCACTGCTGATATTTAAAGTGCCAAACAGACCCTAGCCGCCAACAACTTTATGGTTCACAAATCTTTTTTTTTCTTAATTTTTTTTCTAAAGTAATAGAAGCCACCCTTAAAATAGTTTTTCAAAAAATCTTGTAATTGATAACATCATTTACAATTACTATTTTTTTTTTCATTAAGAACGAGAAGACGTGAGAAATATATGTATGTAATACAGTATTTTCTTATATTTACGCGAATATTTGTCATTTTAAATGAAACTATCTTTTCGGAAAATTCGCTGATTTATTTTGATTTTTGGTTCTCAACGTTTGGAATACTTTACAGCAATCATGGTCATGATTAATCGGAAAAGATAGTTTTATTTAAAATTTCATTGTCTTTAATTTTTCGTTAGTGTGTTTTTATTTTATAACTCGTATTAAATGGTATAACACTATATATTTCTTAACTAAAATTAAATAAATTGCATTTCATATCCACATTACACACATCAAACAAATCAAACGCACTTTTATTAGATAACTAGCGGAGATCTCACAGCGGATATTGGATTATCTACCGATACTGATGGAACATAGAACTCGTCATAGTACTATTCTCGTTTATATAGATACTGTGTGTTTTATTTACAAATAGAAAGATGAAAGATAATTTGCTTTACGACGTTATTAATATTGTTACTGCCCGCTTGGATCGCCGACAATATTGATAAGTTTTAAAAATAATACCTTATTAAAAAAAATTACATGAAATTCAATATATATTAACTCAATGAATGAATGATTGTTTGTTTAAGTTCTAAACGTGGTATCTCTTTGCTATTCAAGCAAATGTATTATATTCATCTTCTAACATTAAAACATTTTCATAAGCTTTCACATTTACAGTATTATATATTAGAATTTATAAGATAAAGGACCACTCTTATAGCAACAGGAAAGTAAAGACTATCCATAAATTCTTTTGAGAAACGTGAACTATGCCGATGTGATAATTTTTGTTTATGTAATAGACACATTTCCGTTTCATACCTTTCAATCATTTCATTCGTATTGACAAAATATAATATTTACAATTCAAAATATAATAAATATTATTAACCAACTTACTGAAAGAGTTTTTAATACAGAATTATTGATTTTCAAATGTCAATTCTTTTGGTATAAAATACACATACTTAAAAAAACCCAAAAAATGTATTTTATCTATGTATAAATATTAGAAATAAAGCATATAGCTTTATCTCTAAAATAGAGAAAAAACTCTACTGCAAAATACAACAAGTATGCGTGGTTTTAACAAATAAGCACTAAGGCGACTCTATATTATTATTTGTTGAAAAATATATTTCATGATTGAAAAATTAATCCAAAGTTACAAATTTAATTTCAGCCTCGCCTACCTCATATAACGACGGTGCTAGCCGTAGTAGCATTTTCCTCAAGCAGTATCGTCAAATCTCCAAGTAACCAAGGGGATAACTTCGAGCTTCTCATCTTACACAACAATGACATGCACGCCAGATTCGAACAGACGTCCCAGTTGAGCGGAGCCTGCACTATAGAAGACAGGGAAGCTGGGAAGTGCTATGGAGGGTTTCCTAGAGTTGCTTATGTGTAAGTTATATTTATATCTATCGTGTTGTCCATATTCTACGAAGATTATCTTTAGTGGTCACTAATCTTGTGGGCGTTATCAGGGCTTAAATAATAAATTATCTGCTGATCAGTACAATTTAATCAGGGAAGTCATAATGTTATTATCTTGAAACGGTCATTCTAATGATTTAATTGAGCAAGCGGGTTCTCAGGCACCGATCATACGTCCACATTCAATATCGAAACAAAACTCTCCAACGATCCACCGTCAACCAACGATAAGCCACGTATCTCCAATGAATGACATGATGGCGTCTCAACCCCACTCGAGACGTAGCTTCTGCTCGAAATTTAAAAGATAGAAGAAAGCAAAAAAAAATTAAACTAAATGGCATAGTGTCTTTAAACAATAATAAGGTTTTACATTCTAGCAGAAAAAGGTAACTAAATCCTCCTCCGTCATATCTATAATCTATACTTATATTAATACTCTAATATTATATAATCAAATAGTTTTTTTTTTTTTATTTTATTTTATTATTCTGATAAAAATAGCGTAAAATTATAGCGTTAAATTATAAGCTGTTAAATTATAGCGTACATTTTAAATTGTCATGGTCATTACATAGTATAACATTGTGATTCAGGGTAATTTTTGCACTCAATTCTCGTTATGTTATTAGTACCTGATTTTTTTATCCTTTTGTATACACTATATTTACCAACTATATTTCGTTTCCAAAGGTACGCTTTTCTACATCTCAATTATTATTTTTACCGTTTAGTAACATGTGCGCAATCTATACATATAATAAAATTGTAACTAAGCCGAATCTGTACATTAAATATTTTTTGGAAAATCTTATTGAAATAAACATTATTATCGATACAGAGGCCGAATCTATAGTTTTTAGAATTTTTGTCTCTATGTCTGTCTGTCTGTTACCGCATCACAGAAAAACCACTGGAGGGATTTTCATGAAATTTGGTATGGTTATAGCTGGTTATCCGGGTCAACATATAGGATACTTTTTACCGCGGGAAAATATCTCATTTCTGAGAAAAAATACAAAAACTGCAATGTAAGAGTATACTAATATGTAAAACCTAAGAATTTGGTTTTTGGACATCTGAACGCGGGCGAAGCCGCGGGCAATGCTAGTATTATATATAAAATTACTTATTATCTCAATAAACAACTGAGTTTATTCAGTAGAAAGAACTTGAATTTAACCCACTATCACATTATTTTACTTAATTCTTATGAATATTTATTAAAAAAGTGCATAATTTCTCTTTATCTCGTTAGTAATGACTTAAGACTAATTACTATTATCGCTACAATTCTTAATTGGGCACGAGTTATGTGTTCAGGAGTAATCTAATACGGTGCGTTGTGCAGTGGTATTTATTATTTTCAGAATAAATATATTATTAAAAATTCAAATATTTAGAAAGATTACAGAGGTAATATCAAAAAGGCTACCCAATATTGAGCTAATACATTTGAGCCCAAACATACCATACAAACCCAAATAGCTAATAAAAAACTGTGTATTTATATATATTATCTATACATAAAATAAAATTGTAACTAAGCCGAATCTGTACATTTAATATTTTTTTGGAAAATCTTATTGAAATAAACATTATTATCGATACACAGGCCGAATCTATAGTTTTTAGAATTTTCGTCTGTCTGACTGTTACCGCACTCACAGAAAAACCAGTAGAGGGATTTGGATGAAATTTGATCTTCAATTTTTTTTATTAATATTTTCAGAGTAAAAGAAGCAAGGAGAGCGGCCGCCGCTGGCGAGGGTCCACCAGTCCTTTACCTAAACGCGGGGGACACCTACACTGGGACGGCATGGTTCACAATTTATAAGTGGAAAATTGCCGCCGAATTTCTAAATGCATTACAACCAGATGCTGTTGTAAGTATATTATCTATAATTATACAATATATTAGTATAAATATCTCTCTTTTTACACGGTTTCATTTGTAGCGTCTATTATTTGTCTATAGTGAAATACAGTAATAAACTTTACGCCATTTAAGTTAAAAAAGTTCTAATCAAGATAAGTGAAGAGTCATAAAAATATTTTAAGTTATTTATTTCTGCATCAAATACACTCTTTCTGGCAACGCACTTAAACGGTTTTCCTTTTATAAAATATTTCCGGGAAGAAACTTTGATGTAAAGCAAACGTTAGAGTACTTATTTAGTTTTCTAATTTCCGCAATACGATTTTCTTCTTACATTTTTTATTACTGTATAACACAACTTTGGTTTCTAATGCTAGATCTACTGTAAAGTGGAATAAAAAAATCTTAACTCTTTCTACTATATCAAATGTAACTAAGAAATGCGAAGTGTATTAGGTACATAACAGACTCGTATATGTAAAACAATTGATATAGGATGAGCATTCACACGCTTAACGTAAATCTAGCATTATATCGTCCAATAATTGTATTGTTGCTATAGTGTTGTCTGATTACGCCTCGTTTGTCGCTTGATGCATAGCTAAGACAATGAGAAATGTCCATATTATCATGCTAAGATGTGGCGTGTTGACAAAGCTGGCTACACCGGTATAGGTACCTATGACTGATACAAATTTATGTATATACGGTACATTATAGTACATCGGTTCGTTGTCACGCTTCAATGCAATTTGATCAGTATTCATACCGCAATATTTTCAAATAAAATTCGGCTTTGAATTATTTCAATATCTCGATTGAAAGTTTGAAAAATTCAATACATTTTAAAACGTGAACGTTTTACTTTAGTAAAATTTGATGAAATAATACATTTAATTCAAATATGTTTTTAATTCATATATTTTTTATGTAAATTCTAAAAGTTGCCGATAGCTTAAATATGAGTTTCTTATAAAATTATAGGCCTTGAAAATTATACAAAGGTTCACATTCAGTAATTTACGTGTTCCTTAGTATCACAACGTAGATTAATACTTATATGGCCATACCATGTTTATAAAAACACAGAGTAATACAATTGTTAGCATTTTTTTTAATTTTTAATCTTTCATTTCATTTGTTAAAAAATCATGCAGATAAATTCTCGTATTATTGAGCTGAAATACTATCCTTTGACTTCCCTTTTTGATTATCAAAGATTACTCGCAGAGTAAAATTCATCCTGGAAATGCAAAGCTGAAAACATTTCAGAACTAATAAAGCCAGAACACAAAGCTGGAATAAGTCAATCAACAAAATGGCGTGGCATTTTCATAGTAAAATTTTCTATCGGTGACAGCGTAGCTGAGCTATATTTAATATTACAGACTGTGTACATAGAGCGTTATGTACTGTGGAAAATCAATACTTGTTGCGTCACGTCCGTTTACATAATGTGAAATGACACTGGCTTTATATACATATGTGTGTTTCCTTTATTCGGGAAATATGATCGACGGCTACCTATATATATGTAAGCATATTGTGGGCGATGCGGTGGCTTAAACACGCTTGTGACTTATTGTATGTCTAAACATGTTCCTCCTGACCATTGGAAATTTGAATCATCAATAATTCAACATATTATTAGATAAATATATCATTTAAAGAAAGCATTGTCTGGAGAACCTGTCATAAAAAAAACAACGAAAACCAAAGGCGAAAATTCTCGTAAACAATGAACGTAAGTTTCTTATTGATATTTATAAATTAACCACTTCATACTGTACTAATATATTAATATGGTGTCTATATATTTCTATACATACATCAATTTTATGTGCTTTTTGTGTATCCCCATCGGTCATTTATCATGATTACAGTTTTACATCTTATAATTCCTACCGAAATAAGAAATACATATAATATTTAATTAATGCTCATAAAATGCATGTGGTACTAAAATTATAATCAATTATAATGATAACATACTAACATTGAATTACATAATTAAAGACCTATTTTGCCTGGCAACATTCATTTCGTAAAATTAACTAAATAATTTCATTTTATATACAACGATTCGTTGTTAGCTAAAGTACTGTAAAATCTTCTAACATACTAATTCCTTTCATCTTCCTAAAATTTCAAACTTTATTATTTTATTTAATCATTTATTTTCTTTACAGTCACTCGGAAACAGTGATCTCGAAAGGGGTAGCTCGAACCTTACACGTTTCATTGAAAATTTAGAAACAACTGTCTTAGCCAGCAATATTGTATTGAATTCTGATATTGCAAAACAAAAAATACAAAAGTCTATCCTTAAAGATATACAAGGCATTAAAGTTGGCATTATCGGTTACCTTACACCAAAATATAATATTTTAGATAGCACAGACAGCATAGAGTACATTGATGAAATAATAGCTATGCAAGAAGAAGTACAAATACTAAAAGCTCAAGGTGCAAAAATAATAATAGCTTTAGGTCAGTCTGAAATCGGGAAAGATATTGAAATAGCTTTGGAAGTCGATGGTGTTGACTTAGTAATTAATGGCCATGACAATAGTTTCTTTTCAAATGGAACAGTTGCTGAATCTGATTTCGAAAACTCAATAAAGTCTATAATAATATCCCAAAAATCAGGAAAACAAGTACCCGTGATTCGTTCATATGCCTATAACAAATATCTTGGAAAAATTGTCGTTTTAATTAATAGAAATGGAAATATTGTTGACTATCGAGTCGATCCCTTACTTCTTGATAATTCTATTCCCCAAGATTCTGAAATATCACAAATTATCAAGAATTCAGTAGACGATGTCATGGCTTATTCAAATGTAGAAGTCGGTAATACTGTTGTAGTCCTTGATGGGGAAACATGTGGCTTAGAAGAATGTAACTTTGGGAATTTAGTACTAGATTCCATGGTTTTTCACTACGCGTCTAAATTTGAAGGCGAGAGGTGGACTGATTCCCCTATAGCTATTATAAATGGTGGTGCATTGTCTAGAAGAATTTTGCCACAAAACACCCCAATAACCCAAGGAGATTTACTCTCATCTATACCAGAAAATGACGTTCTAGTGACTGTTACATTAAATGGAACATTACTTACACAAGTTTTAGAGCATTCAGTTTCTAGTTATACGCGAAGCAACCCTTCAGGACAGCTACTTCAATTTTCAGGCATCAGAGCTACCTTTGATTTAGCTAAAGATCCTCACTCAAGATTGATAAGTGCTGTTGTACGATGTTGGAATTGTTTCGTACCACAGTTCTTTACCATTGATGAATGGAGAGATTACAAAATTTTAATGCCTTCTTCGTTAGCCAAAGGAGGCTATGGCTATTCAATGCTAGTTAATCTACCAAGACAAGAACTTGACTATGATGTAGTAACATGTGTTGCTGATTACATTAAAAGGAGAAGTCCAGTATACCCTGAAGTAGCTGAACGTTTAGTGCTACTAAACCAGGACTCAGCTCCTGACTCTGCAATTGCTCTAAGTTCAACTATTCTAATGCTAATCCCCGCTTTATCATTATTGCTTAATTCGGTGTAATTTATGTATGTAAATAAATTGAATTAAATGCTTAAAATTATTTTTTTATTATAATAAACTTTATTCGTGTATTTATCCAACTACCATAACTCAAGACTGAAGCAATGCCCAAATGTCACCTGAAAGAAATATTATTAAAATTCAATTAAGGCTATCACTGTAAGTACCGTTTTCATCGCTTCTACTAAAAAAATCATTTACATATCTATGTTTTTACTAATTTCTTTAATCTTTTTTAATGTCCGTGAAAGAGAAGTAACATTATATTGAACTCTTTGCTGTAACAATATATTTTGTTATATGTGTCACATAATGTTACAATTAGTGTGGAAATAAATTATACTATATCTTATGTCTTACACATAATTTATATCATAAATTTATTTTAAGAATAATACAAAACTACGTAAATAGAATTCAAATGAAAATAAATATGATGATGCTCACTTTGATTTACTTGTACATACACTTGATTTTTATTCTTTAAACTCTTAATTTATAATTTATAAATGAGCACATTTCTTGATGCTTGTAATTTGTTTCTTGTATCTTTATTCCAACTATTTATTTTGCTTATATAAACTATTATCTAATACAATAGTACCATAATGATATTATTATAATCGTATATTTGTAACCTCTACCATAAATATCTTGGTCTTATGACAGAAAACTTTTGTAATATATTTTCTTAAAAAATTCTAATTATTAACAACTCTATAATCTTCTCTATAAGGAATTAGATTTTACAAATACTAATTTACTCTAATTTTATATTGTTACAGTCTTTGGGAAATCACGAATTTGATAACGGTATCTCTGGTCTAACACCTTTCATAAGAAATTTGACATGCCCAGTATTAGCGGCTAATCTCATTCTAACTGAGGAGCCTGACTTACAATCAGAACATAATCTAATGAATTCAGTCATATTTAATATAAATGGTATTAAAGTAGGCATAATTGGATATCTTACCCCAGATACAAAATTTTTAGCTATGAAAAACAAAGTCGACTATATTGAAGAAGTAGTTGCAATAAAGAAAGAGGTAGAAAAACTGAAAAGAGAGGAAGTTAAAATTTTAATTGCTCTAGGACACTCAGGATTTCTAAAAGACTTAGAAATAGCAGAGAAAGTTGAAGATATCGATCTTGTTATCGGAGGTCACACGAATACATTCTTATGGAATGGCACAGCTCCCGATGCGGAGATAGTACAGGGACCTTATCCCACCTTAGTGATGCAACCTTCGGGAAGACTTGTCCCAGCAGTACAAGCTTATGCATATACCAAATATTTAGGGAAATTGCATCTTGAGTTTAATTCAGACGGTGAACTAATTAATTTTGATGGAAATCCAGTACTACTAAACAATTCTATACCACAAGACCCCAGTGTACTGGCCATTGTTGATAAATATCGTCAAAATATAATAAAAATATCTGATGCAGTAGTTGGAATTTCGTCAGTAACATTAGATGGACTATCATGTCGATTAAACGAATGTAATATGGGAAATTTAATAACTGATGCGATAGTTGAAAAATATGCTTCGGAATATCAAGGTGATGGCTGGACCGACGCTCCGGTTGCCATCTTGCAAGGGGGAGGAATACGTGCATCTGTCACCCATGTAACTCAACCGTTTAATGTTACTAAGGGAGATCTCTTCGCAGTCATGCCATTTGATGGAAATATTGTAAAAATTACACTAAACGGATCCAGTATCTGGAAAATGCTGGAACATTCCGTTGCAAAATACAATACCATACGTGCACCTGGGCAATTTTTACAAATGTCAGGATTAAAAGTAGAATATGATCTTAATAGAAGACCAGGAAAGAGAGTTGTGAGAGCTGAAGTTCTTTGTGGTAATTGTCAATTACCAAAGTATTCACCTATTAACATGTCTGAAATGTATAATATTTTAACAAATGGATTTCTTTCGATGGGAGGCGATGGCTTTTCTGTCTTAAACGGTTTGCCCGCCATTACTTTAAATTATAACGAATTATCATGTACCGTGGATTATATGAACCGAACCAATGCAGTGCATCCAGCTATTGAAGGTAGAATTATAATCCACAGCAACGGCTCCTCGAACCACGGGACACATAGAACTGTTTCTATATTTATAATCTTTATTTCTATATATTTACCATTTTCTTCTTAAATTATTAATTTATTAGTTTTAGTATTAAGCTCTACAGCATTCTAGGAAATATAATTTCCTAGATTTCTAAATTCTAGTTTTAATAAGCCAGTATTATTGTTGTACTTTTATTTAATTCTAATAATTAATATATATGAGTGTATTGCATTTAATATTATTTATATACATTTACTAAGATTATAATATACTTACTAATTACATAGTATAAATTATATTTAATTTTCATTTTAATCAGCTTTTTGATCTTGATTTTTTCCATAATATTTAGGTACAACCAATCTGATCTTAATATGATCTGAAAAGACTACTACTACATGGATATCTAAAAATAGAACTCAAAATCTACTCGATATATTGAAATTAATCTTAGCTATATTTTAGGTCAAATAACTTACAACAGCAACAATATTTTCAATTATGAAATAATCGGCTTTCCTCTTTTTTTACTTACTAAATAAACGAGTATAAAGAAAATGAACATTTTATTATCTTCTTTTTAGTTTACGCCATTTAATGAATTGTCACAATAATTACACGTACTATTAAATATACAGGGTGGAACAAATGGATGAGTAAAACTTGATAACTTCAATATTTAAGGTACTTTTCTTCCATGTCCCATCCATTTGTTCCACTCTGTATACGTACATATATGTACATATAGGCAAATATGTAACACTTAAGATACGAGTACTTTTGTCATCTTACTCATATAAAAAATTATAAACTTTATGCAAATAGTAATTTAAAGCAATAGTTTTCTCTCTCTACTTAAATGAAAATGAAATAAATTAATGTTGTCAAGTTTGTTATTAAGCCGCGCTTTAAGGACCGGATCTAATAACTTCAACTATAAAATGTATATTTTATTTTTTCATTCAGGTTATTTTTCGTTGGATTTTTATAAATATCTAATTAAAAGAAACAATCCTAATACCGAGCTAGATATAATGTTGATACAAATGGGATGAATAATTTTAATAAATTTTTTGTTGAACTATTATTTTATAAAGTTATTTTTATTTGGATAGTAAGTGGGTAGTAGAAAATATTGTGAAAATTAAGTACAAGTCATAGTTAATTATTATAGTGTTAAAATGACAGTTTTTTACTAAATGCATATAAAATTATTTACTGTACCTAATAAGAAAAACATATTTTTTTTTAACTTTTGTCTGTCTGTTTGTTTGCTTCGGCTAATCTCCAAAGCGGCTGGACTGATTTTGACGGGACTTCACTGACAGATAGCTGATGTTATAAGGAGTAACTTAGAGGCTAGTTTTATTTTAGAAAAAAAAATTGGGTATCTAGGGACGCACCTGAGCGAAGCGAGGGTATGTCGCTTGTAATTAAATAAAATGAAATAATAAGAACAAAACTGTGTCCTTTACAACTCTATATTTAGTATCAAAATTACTATAAACTATAAATACAATAAAATAGATCAATATACCTAATGTAAATTTTGAAATGTAGGACGGAAAGTCCTCGAAAACGAGGGCTCGTTCTGACACTTCATTTAATAGACATACGGGAAGTACGCCATGTGATGTGGGAATTAATAATGAAACCGACCTGACTAGCTGACCGTCGGCCGACAACAAAACTAGGCACTCGTTACCTAATTCAACAGAGGTTTCGATTGAAATAACTTTTATACACCTAATGATTAATAGCATTTTTATTTGTATTTTTATCTAAAGTGCAATAAATAAATCATAGTCTACCGTTGTTTGTGGTTTGTTTTGTAATAAACTAATTATTTTCATTTTATTAACAGTGTGCCTAATTATTTCAATCGCATGGAGTTGTAAGCGGAAATCTTACTAAAACCGCCATATAAACTTTTACTCTATATTTCAGCACTTGAGATATTAAAACTTTTATATGTTATTACAGTGGTTCTACCTTATCGATCGCGAAATCGTTTCATACATAATGTACGTATATGTAGGTAGGAATAGATTACATATCTTACTACAAACTCTTGAGCTCCGGCAAAATTTAAATTTTTGGAATTGACCTAAGATTTTTCGAAGTTCCAACAATGATATCCAAATTTTTGTACCTATAAGAATCTCTCCTTTATAATTTTTTCGAGCATTTATTGACCTTTCTACTTATGGTTTCAACTTAGAGACAGCACTTAGCAAAACTCGTATTAAGGTAAGGTGAGCTTTTAAAGCCAAAGCTAAGCAAAAGAAAACTATTTTAAACATGAACTAAAAAAATACTTATGAATGAAAAAACTAGGATGTACTAAATGCTACCGTGTATTTTCAATTATTATGAAATAATCGGCAAAGGTATTATTACTTAAAGCTAAAGGTTAATAAAACAGAAGACGGTGTAGATATATTATAATTAAGGTAGAGCAGACACTAAAATTCATGGTAGGGCAATTATTTATAATTATTTGAAAAACAGTAACAAATCTATGCCACAGGAATCGTTCATTTTTGCGGGATAAAAAGTAGCCTATATGTTATTTTGATGTTTGAGCTACATTATTGTAAAGTTTCATTAAAATCCATTCAGTAGTTTTTGCGTGAAAGAGTACAAAAAATTAATATATCTATACATCCAGACATCCATACAACCTAACAAACTTTCGTATTTATAATATTTGTGGGATGTATAAAAACAGTTATAAATATTTTTTCAATGCTGATACTGAAACATAATGCAAGTATCCGCCTATTTTGTATATCATCATACTTAAATATTAAGTATAACCAATAACCGTATCTTCTCTCAAATTATGTAACAGCTGTTTAACATTTTCGCTAAAACTTTTGCTATTTGGAAAAGGATTTGGCATACAAATTCAACCGAGCTTTTCACTATGCATCATGACTGTTAGTGCACATTTATCATTTGCTAGAGGGAAAGAACGCTGAAAATTATTTCCTGAATTTTTGTTAAACTTCTTCTATGTCATGTTTTATTTCAGAATAATTGTATATAATTCTCATTTCTTCCGTACGTAATCTGTAAATACCTATAAAGCTTTAGTTTTTTCGTTCAACTAATTAAAATGTGTATATAAAAGTCGTGTCTACATATGTGTCTAACAAGTAACATAAAATTCATAACAGACATTAAAAGGGATCTTTGTTTAAAGCTTTTTTTTCAAAACCTTTTTTTTTTGTAGACATATTTGATTATCTATTCTATCATGGAACAAATGATAGTGCTACAGAAAAAATACCTAAGCGAAGTAACTTTTGAATATTTAATATGATAGATATAAAAACCAGTTCTATAGACGAAAATAAAATAAAATAGCCAACATTAATTTTATCTTTATTAAACAAATATGCCTTTTAAAGTGTTCTGTAGGTACATGGATTAAATCTTATGGTTGTGAACAAGTACATGTTCTTTTTGTGTTCACTTATTCATCCTGTAAATACTAACAATTGTTGTATTTTATTGTTTCAGTCACTTGGAAATCACGAATTTGACAACGGCGTCAGCGGTTTGACTCCATTCATAAATAATCTCAGTTGTCCTGTGTTAGCGGCCAATCTAATATTGACCAAGGTTCCCGAATTAGAAAAGGAAACTAACTTAAAGAAATCTGTCATATTTCAAATAACTGGTACCTCAGTGGGCATAATAGGTTACTTGACCCCAGAAACAAAAATGTTAGCCGTAAAAAATAATGTTGAATACGTTGATGAAATAGTTGCACTTAAAGAGGAAGTTAAAAAATTGAAAAGTGAAGGCGTCCATATTATTATCGGTCTTGGACATTCTGGCTTTTCAAAAGATTTAGTAATAGCAAAAGAAGTAGATGGCATAGATTTAGTGATTGGAGGACACTCAAATACGTTTCTATGGAATGGCACAAGCCCTGATACTGAAAAATCTCAAGGCCCTTATCCCACTTACGTAACACAGGCATCAGGAAAACGAGTGCCGGTAGTTCAAGCGTACGCGTATACTAAATATCTCGGTAAATTACACTTGATATTCAATAGTAAAGGTGATCTACTCGACGCAGATGGCACACCCATTCTGTTAGATAAATCTATTCCCCAGGATCCTGACGTTTTGAAAATTGTGAAACGTTATCATACAGAAATTTTAAATGACACTGAAGAAGTCATTGGCAATACTGCTGTAGTATTAGATGGACTAGGTTGCCAGCACACGGAATGCAACATGGGCAACATGATAACTGACGCCATGATATATTGTTATGCAATAGAGTATAAAGGTACAGATCACTGGACAGACGCACCCATAGCCATAATTCAAGGAGGTGGCATAAGATCATCTATAGCACATGCAAAAATGCCTACTGCTATAACTAAAGGAGATATCATAGGGGTTTTGCCTTTTGAAGGTCATCTTGTAGTTGTTACCATGAAAGGCAAAGTGCTTCAACATATGTTAGAGCATTCTATAGAAAATTTAAATGATTTGGATTATCCTGGAGAATTCCTGCAAGTGTCAGGGATAAAAGTGGTATATGACATTTCAAGACCGACCGGTTCAAGAGTCGTTCAAGCTCTTGTAAGGTGTTGGAATTGCTCTATACCGAAATATAACGAATTAAATTTAAATGAAGAATACAATGTCATTATGTCGAGCTTTGTATCAAATGGTGGAGATGACTACTCGATGCTTGTAGGGCTGCCCACTCGAGTCTTAAACCATAGCGAATTAACTTGTACAATGCTATATATTAAGAATCATATACATATTTTCCCAGGAATTGAAGGGAGGGTAACAATATTAAATCTCAATACGAGCGGTGGTTATACTAATACACTGTCAATCTCATTTTTGTTCCTATATTTAATATATGGCCTGTGTACAAACTTACCTTTATAAGTAAATTAGAAAACTACTGTTGTAGTTATAACAGATCTTCAAATATTTTTTTAAGTATTAAATATTAATTTTAAGTCTCGAATAACATCAACTATAATTAGAATTGAATTAGATAGTATTATTTTGTTAAAATTGTACATTGTTAAGTAGAATAAAATAAAGAAAGTCACATTGTTTTATTTTCATATTCCAGTTAATTTAGGTACCCAGGTTACATTACAATACTGTATACAATTTTAAAGAAATTTTTGCCATAGAAAGACAATAAAGAAAAATCTGTCCAGCTTTGCAATTTTTAGAGACATAATATTTTTCTTATATATTATAAAATTATAAAACCTCATTCAACAACAAATGATCTTAAATATAAATTACTTTTTTATAACAAAAATTATCTTTTCCAAAAGAAATTAGAAATTATTACATGAACAACAAAATTGTTTCTTTAAAGAATTGTAGGTACTTTAGTTGAGCGATTTACCGATATGCAATTATTTTACCGATATGCAAAATACTTTCACTGATAATTATACACGTATAAACCTAAACGTTGGGAAATGCATTTAGGCACGAAGTGTGGGACTCACTGGCAAAGCCAGTACTACCCACTAAAACCCAACGGAATCTCCCCCGTCTTAATGGGAGGATTCACATCCACCTTCACCTCCCAGTGGATTGCCCGGAACTACTGAGCCAATCCCCCCCCCACTCTCCCCCTTCCCCCACCCAACTACCCCCTACCAAACCTACCTATGCTATCCCTAAGTAAGAGTCATTTTTATACACATACCACGAGAGTGAAGACATCGCCAAAATATAATCAATATTTAAAAATTAAACTATTAATAGGATTTTATTACTACAATCTATAAAATACTATGTATCAAATACTACTTAAATGCTTTTCTTGGTGTACATCATGTTAACCCCGCTATTGTGGAATTATTGATGAAAAAAAGTGCCCGATATGTGCTATTATGTGCCGCATTGAAAAATAAAATATGCAAGAAATATAATTTTTAAGAGGAGGTCCTTCTTTTCAAATCCAGTTAGCATAAGATATTTCAGAATTGCTAAAATTTTGCCGAAATGTACTCAAGACGTGCTGCTAAGGCTGGTCTACCTTTTCAACAAAATTTTTTCTCTTCTAGTAAAAATTCCGTTAACCGACGAATTTACTGTTCTTCCGTTTACGCACATTACTATAGTGCGACTACATCGCATACAATGTAGATCCTCACAGAAACTCTACGAAGCAGGCCTATTGGGATTTTTTACCTGTAAAATTTGTAATATACGGTTTTTTTCATTTTTGTTAACGGCACATTACGGCACAATTTTTGCAATTTTGAAATATCAAAGTAGCGGAGCTAACTGGACTTGAAAAAGGACCTCCTCGTAAAAATTGTATTGTTTGCATATATTTTTTTTCACGTGATAACTTACATCGGGCACATTTTAGCACATTTTTTTTATCAAAAATTCCAAAATGGCGGGGTTAACATGATGGACATCTTGATGATTCTAAATTTAACACTTTCCTTACAGTCACTTGGAAATCATGAATTTGACGAAGCGGTAGATGGACTTATACCATTTCTTAGAAACCTTACATCACCTACGGTCACGGCTAACCTCCTCCTAGATAAAGTTCCTGAACTTAAAGAACAAGCTAACTTACACAATTCAATCATTATCAATAAAAATGGAATCAACTTAGGTATAGTAGGATATTTAACACCAGAGACAAAATTTCTTGCACCTAAAAATGATGTTGATTATGAAGATGAAATTATTGCTCTAAAAAGAGAAGTTAAAAAATTGAAATTAAGCGGCATTAAAATACTGATAGCTCTGGGTCATTCAGGATACTATAAAGATATAGAAATCGCTGAAAACGTTGAAGATTTAGATTTAGTTATCGGCGGTCATTCAAATACTTTCCTCACAAACATGCACAATTCAAGTGAAATGCCGGAGTACCGTCAGGGGCCATATCCGACTGTTGTGGAACAAGCATCAGGCAGAAAAGTTCTGGTAGTGCAGGCGTACGCGTATACAAAATATTTGGGAAAACTAAGTTTGACATTCGATAGTCAAGGAGAGATCATTAATTATCACGGAGAGCCCATACTATTAGATAAAAATATACCCGAAGATCCACAAGTTTTAAAATTAGTTGAAAGTTATCGGACCGACGCAGATAACATCTATAGTGAAGTTGTTGGAAACTCGTTAGTTTTTCTCGATGGCGATTCATGTCGATTAAAAGAATGTAATTTGGGTAATTTTATAAACGATGCTGTTATTAATTATACAAGACAGTACAATGAAGACTATTCAGACATAAACATAGCTATAATTCAAGGAGGCAGAATAAGAACATCTATAAGCCATCCACAAACGCCATTCAACATCACTAGGGGTGACATGATAACAGTGATACCCTTCTCAGACACATTGTGTATACTAAGGCTTAATGGAACTATTCTAAAGCTGGCCATGGAGCATTCTATTGCGAATTGGAGGAAAATAGATTCCTCTGGACAATTTCTGCAATATTCAGGTATCCAAGTGGTTTATGACTTAGCTCGAAAGCCAGGATCACGTATTGTAAAAGCTAAAGGTATGTGCACAAATTGCTCTGAGCCAAGTGACATTGGCGATCACCTTCAGTATAAAATTGTTATGTCAAGATTCATAGCAGATGGTGGCGACGGATATCACACATTCCAAAATCTACCGAGAGAAATCCTACCATATAATGAAGTTACTTGTGCTATAAATTATTTAAATAAATATAGCCCTATAAAGCCCACTGTATCTAAAAGAATAATTATTCTGAATGAGGATAAAATAGAAGGGGCATTATTTTCAAAAGGCCATTCAACTAATTTAAGTTTCATATTATTACTATGTGTATTTATAAAGTTTTTATAATATTTATTTATTTTTTTCCAATAATGGCAATGAACAAAGTTTTATAAAGGAAAGCGTACATTCCTAGTGTCATATAATGACATTTTTTACTGTAATATTGTTAAATAAAAAATAAAAAAATATATTATCATTTTTATTTAAATCACAATTCATCAATACAAAGAGTCATATTTGCATAATAAAGTACTTATTTTAGGCACTTAAATGTTACATCCTTGTAGAATAGATTATAACAATAAACTGTTTATGGATCATTTATAATCAATAAAAAAAACAAATAGTACAAAATATCTAATTATATAAATTTTAGAATATACATACAAATGTAAATCACTTATATGAAATTAACTTTTTAACAAGCATTATAAATATATTCATATACTATACTTAATAAAAGGCTTTAAGTGAAAATTTACCAAAGGCCACTACACACCAGTCTGTTCGTCCATCACATTGTACTGTTTACTGTGGACAGAAAGAAATCCACTGTGTTTAGTCCACTTTTAATCAAATCTGGTCATGTGGATGAAACAAATAACAAACCTCCTACATATATTTTAAGATATCTACAATCCAATTTATGCACCAGTAATAATTATACATTACTTATTATTTAAATTATATAACAATATTATGAAGTATATAGCCATAATAACAATTACATTAATATTTCATCATTTCTAACAAGAATAAATATAAAAAGATACATGAAATTTAGCATAATATGGAAAAGCACCACACATATATGCATAGGCACAAAGAAAAAAAAAATGTGTTATGTACATACACATAATCATGTATGTTACCTTGCTGTTACCCACAAGACTCGGCTTGATACATGATAAATACCAATTCTATCCACTATACTCCCTTTCAAATACTGAACTCTGATGTCAGGCCTAATTGATCGCAGGGAAATAAAGATTTGTTCTACAAACCAGGTCATAATTTTGTAGCGGCCCTAACTATAGTTTAGTATAACTATATTAAACATTTGTTGATACAAAAATAATATTAGTAGGTTATATATCAGGTTATAAAAACTTTTAATGACATAATAAAAATATACTTTCAATATGCTATAAATATAAATTGAGAAAAAATTAGTAAATAAAATCTGGCTATTTAATAAACATGTCAAATTTTTAAAACATTAAACAAACAAAAGGAATTTCTATGCAAATCTAGAAATGTCAGCAATATAAAGAAAAAAAATAATAGTTTATATATTTTGATTCAAGGTCTTCAAACCATAAAATATAAATATTTTCTTATACATAAACTTTTTAAGGAAATGACAAACCGATAACATTTAACTGTAGTGATACAGATATAGATAGAAATATCATTTCTTATTAATACTAAAGAATAAATGAGTTCAAAAAACAGTCACTTGATAAATAATGCTTTTAAAAAAAATTAACTAACTAAAAATGTGAATTCTCTGATTAATTAATTATTATTCTGTTTAGGCAATTGTGCAAGATGGATTACTTTCTGTTGAAAGGGCTTTGTGATCAACCATTAGATCACAACCATAAGGCACTACCCCTCCAAAAATTACAAAACATTGTTTTAAGGCTTCTTGGCAATCACAAAGTTCAAGACATGGTGCATATTTCTCTAATTTTTCACATAGCTGACAAAGACTTTTATAAACTTTCAGTGCCGTCTCCAAGTCTCCATATTGTAATTGATTTATAACATCCATACCTAAAAGCCTTTCTTTAGCTCGAACAATTGTATTTGGCACTTTATTTGTCATTCTTGTACTAAGTTGCATATATGTGGGCCAATCGTCCACACAAGCCTCACAAAGACACGTAAATTTATATTGAAAATTAAGAGATTTTTGACGAGTGTTGCGGTTCTCCAGAGCATGATGTGATCTGAAATAAAAAATACATACATATTAACATTTGCCTTATAATTTTTTAATTTCAATCTAAAAATATTGATATCTTAAAAAAGTGGTTTGTTTAGGTTTCAACTCTCTTCACTCCAAATGCAATTTTGACATAATATTTTTGGATAACTTCATACCAAAATGTCTGGGTAATAATAAAGTAAAAAATTTTTTTTCTAGTATTTGAAAATGTCCTTTTCACAATTTTACAAGTGCCTTAAAATCTATTTTATATTTATATAGCCATGGGTACCCATTGAGGCTCACTGCTTATTTCATTTTTCTATATAACAAAATTCATTTAATATGAGTTTTAAAACTTACCCATAATTATCAAAAACTTGCATTCCTTTCTTAATGGGCCTCAAAGCTAATACTGACATTCTACCAGAACCAAGTTTTGAATATCTTACCACATTTGGAGCACATGAATGATTTATTAAACTGCAAAAAGCGTATGGTGCACTGCCTAAATTTATTTCTTCAACAAATTTGCCATTTTGACTCCCTATATTGGAAGTGATTGCATGCATATTTGTAGGAGAAGTCATTTCATGTATCATCAATAATCTTGCTACACATTGAAGAATTTTATCTTGTTCCTCTTCACAATCCGATTGTAAAAAAATAGTGTTGCACTTCAAGAACCTCAGAAATACTACTGCTGTGACTGCCTTTTGGAAAATATCAGAAATTGATCTTCTTTCTTTGTTTGTAGCTAAAGAATGTATGGATGCATAGTATTTGGAATCATATATCCACTTGTCACCAACTTTCACCTGTCCATGAAAGTCAGTATTCATTTGGGAATCAGCTGCTTCTATTGTTTTAAATAATTCATCCCAGCTTGTATGATCTCGTCGGGCTTTGATAACTGTTCTCAGTGCTAGTAGTTCAATTTTTGTAAAGTCCATTTCCAGCAGAGTAGCATTCAGTGGACATTCAATTTTATGATACTCCTTCCAAGCCTTTTCCTTACATTCATTGCTACAATATAAAGAAAAACAGCAATTGTCACATGGCATAAGATTAAGATTTCTTGACATACAATAATTACAAGCAACGAGGTATTGAGATTTAATTAAAATAGTAAAATATGGATCTTCTTCTACTATAACTTCACCAACGCTTATATCTTCCTTTGCTACAACATGTCTGCCCATTTCTTCACTGTGGACCACTTTTAGTTTAGTACTTGCAGCAACATAGACAGGATCTTTTGGGCTTTTCATTTTTAAAATTTCATCTACTATAATATTGTCTGTGCTAGGTGTATCATTGACCATGCATAAAAATTCAAAACATGATTCCTTTCTTTTATTCAATTTTTCTCTTAATTTTTCAGGATATTGTAATGAAAATACTTTGTCAATATCTTGTATACACTCATTGTATTTCTCTAGCTCAAAGAATACTGCTGATCGATTAGATAATGCTATGCAAAAGTATTCTGAGTGTACAGTAGCATTGAGAAGTGACAAGTTGTAATACTGCCATGCCTTATGAAATTCAGATTGTTCAAAGCATTCGTTACCAAGGTTACGGTAATATATAGACAGTTCATCACTTTTCTTGACCTCTTTAACACTGGGAAAAGCATTAAGGTCTTCAAAAATTTTGTACACAAAGAGCACTCTTTCATTATCTGTTTTTAGAGACAATAATTCATCAGATATAGCTTTTATTCTTTGTTGTGAAGTTAATTTTGCAATAACACCTTCATAACAAGAATCAATACTCATCTTGTATTTTTTTTTAAAGTATATATTTAATATTATTGATTGTGCAATAAAATTCCAGTGAAAAGCTATGTCTCACTTTGCAACACCTTTTATAGTTGTAAATCTAGGTTGTGAAATGATATATGTTATTGACCAGAGGTTGAAAACGCAGAATATTCCCTTGGACAAGTCTGAAAGAGGTGAGTTAACTATTTAATTTGTTACAAATGTAAAATTTTAGTATTAAAATATTAATATAAATTAAAATTGTATACTAAAGTTGGTTGTTATTCAGTTCTTACAGATATAGTTACTGTGTTACTACATCCCAAGCTCTTGGATGAGTTATTTATACCTCAACCAGTTGCGACCCATGCTGTTATAAAACAACTACTGCAAGACATATCTGCTACATCTATAATGAAACTCGATGACTATTCTATGGGCAAATTGTGGGATCTCATGACAATGTTATTGAAGTGGCAGCTGTCGGTCGCAAGAAATCAGAATGTTTTTGACATAAGCCGACGACATTTACGTTGTGTAGCTACAATAATGCCTAAATATTTTTCAACTTCACTTTTCGAAAATGTATTGAAAAAATTTGAATTACTAGCACGAAATTTTACTAATGAAGATCACAATTGCTTATGTAACACTCTAATAATTTGGTTTTCCGAATATCACACAAAAATATCAGTTCTTCTAAGACTGGGTCTACAAAACAAAGATGGCACATTTTGTTTACCACGGACGATTAATCCGAAATTACTAAAAAATTTGGGAGAAAATATTTACACATACGATACAAACAAAAAAATTGATAGCGATTACAAAAATTACTGTCTTGAAACCAATGAAATAAATTATCTTTTAGCATCAATTGAAAAAGTATCATCTAAATCCAATCAAATTGAATTACAGTTGCCTATCAATTTTGGAAACGAAAATGTTAAAAATAAAGTATTAAAGATTAATAAAGATATTGAATATAAAAGTATTCCAGCATTACTAAAAAATACCAACAAAAACAACGATCTTACTTTTGTAGCAAACTTACCTAAATCTCCTCAAGAAGATCTTTTAGAAATGTTAAAGCAATCTTCAGAATTCTAATTATATTGTTGGATTATTACTTAATAGTAATATTTTTTTAACTGTAACTACTATACACACTTCGAATGTTAATAGAAGAATGGCTTATTATATCCGTAGCGGACTAAATACCAAGTACTAACTAGAATTCAAACCGGATAGGTACCTCCATAATTATGTTTATTGTTTGCAATTTGCATAGTTGCATAGCTTTAATTTCAGGGGAAAAACTTACCATAGTGTAAAGACCATACCATAAACGAATAATAAAAATTACTACATACATCATACATGCATGAAATAAAGTGAAGGAAAAGATAAAATGTGTTTTATTATTATTATTTCAAATGAATTGTAAAATGTTTAATTTTAAAAAGAAATGTTACTCTAGTATTAATATGGCAAACGTGTAACGGATTTACAAACCTTTAATATTACTGCAAAAAGTATATCTATACATATAATAAAATTGTAACTAAGCCGAATCTGTACATTAGATATATTTTGGAAAATCTAATTGAAATAAACATTATCGATATAGAGGCAGAATCTATGGTTTTTAGAATTTTTGTCTGTCTGTATGTCTGTCTGTTACCGCATCACAGAAAAACTACTGGAGGGATTTTGATAAAATTTGGTATGGTGATAGCTGGTTATCCGGGTCAACATATAGGATACTTTTTACCGCGGGAAAATATCTCATTTCTGAGAAAAAATACAAAAACTGCAATGTAAGAGTATACAAATATGTAAAACCTAAGAATTTGGTTTTTGGTCATCTGAACGCGGTACCTTATATAACTAACTTTTAAATTGACTTTATTTTAAAATATATTTTTTATTAACAATAAGTAATGTTTAGTCAATTATACTTAAATTAAAGTATGTACATTAAATTGTCCATAGGTTAATTAGTTTGATGAATATATAAAAATAAATACACGAATCGCCTCCTGCAAAACGGTTAATTTTCTGTGTGGTGTATTTTTATCACAAGAACAAATTTGGTCTGCGAGGTATTAGGTATTTTTAATAAATATACTATAAGAACATAATTATTCTATTTAATGGCAACTTATACAATACTTTAAGTAAATCAGGCATCGGAGATCGCGAGCAAAAGCTATAGTAGTGTAAATACTTAGTTATATAAAGACACCTAGGGACGGTCTGGGTGCCGCTAGTACATAATAAATGTATAATAAAGTTATTAAAATAACAATTTGTGGGGTGAAATACCGTAGTCAATTGTCAAAAATATTTTATTCACATCACATTTTTAAGTCTATAGTACAAAAAAAACATAAAATCTTATAATTAGCATATGGATGAACATAAAAACAAATTAACATTCATTTCAAACAAGATACTATGCCCTTTTTGAATGATATCCACTTTTATGAGATCATTTATCAAAAACTCTCATAAATAATATTAACCGCTTGTAATTTCTTTAACCTTTTCTATCAACTTTGAATTAAAAATGAAAACCAACTTCTGTCATAATTATCAATAATTTATTAATTACTTCTAGCATGCCCTTTCAAATTAAGGTTCAAATATTTGTTTAGTCAAATAGATTTTAGGAAGTTTTTTTTTAATATAAAAATTCAAGAAGTGAATGAAAAAGAATTAAACACAAAAGCTTATAAAACTTTTAGTGTATCACTTTTCATTTTAACTCTAACCAGAAATAAATAAAAGCAAATTTACATTAACATAGTTAAATCTAGATCGAAATAGATGAAGAAAAAAAATCAGAGGTTGCTTAACTTTATTTAGATAAAATCATTAAAAAAATATTAACTAGCCTCCAGCCATAGCTTAAATGTTAAAAAAATAACTTTTTAAACATTTTAGTCGAAGTATTAATGACTTATTTATTCACAAAAATTAAAAAAAACACAACATAATATACAACACTATACTTGATATAGGCAAAATTATAATTAGATACCAAGTTTGGCACTGTCTAGACGTAGAATGGAAACATGTTTATATTTAAATCTTCGTGTATAGTTTCTGCATAAATTATACACTAATAATAGTTGTTACAAATCAAATAATATACTTTAATACTGTGTGCAACTCTGAAGAGAGACCTACGAGAAGTCGGTAGTCTGCAATATATATCAACAAAAACCTAAATATAAATCAAAACCGCCTATTATATAACTAAAATACCACATATTTTACACCAGATATTGTTACTACAGTTTTTGTACTCGTCAATATATATTTGAGTTAGCACAAAACTAAACATGAAATTTTTAAGTTATAACAGTAGACATACAAATCTTCATATTTAAAAAAAATGTCACATACAGCAGGTATCACATTTAATACATATTTTTCCTTTGCAAATTAGGAAAAATATTTTTTTTTCAAAATATTTTTTATACTATTCATGTTGATGAATGTAAATATTAAATAACAATAATATTATAAATGCAATTTGTGAGTTTATCTTTAGTGAAGTTACAGTTCAAGAGATTTCAATGAAATCTAGAATGAGGAGCATCTTAAGAATTAACAAATATGTATTATTTTTTAATATCTTACAACAAATAAAACTTATGATGAGAACTAGAAAATACTCATTGTTTTTTGAAACACCTTTTATCATTGTTCTTTACAATCATTAGACTACTTTAAGACTGACTACTAGTTCGGTAATATAAATATTTCATAGAGTTTATAAAAATGTGGTGTATCAAAACGCATGCAAAGTTTTATTAAAAAAATAACTCAAAAATTCTTTGCTTAGTAAAAATAATGTGGAGTCCAACATTTTGAATTCACATTTTAACTAAGCAGTGTCAACCCAATTTTTTTTTTGCGAAAATGTTCTTAATACAAGTCAACCTATACATTTCAATAATATAATAACTGACAGTTTTTTTAATTTTTAACTATAACATTTCTTACTACATATTTAACATGTTGTTTACTGTAATTGAAACATATTACAATTTCCAAAACACATGTCCAATTTCATACCACCAACTAAATCAAAATTGTACCATCACACTTAATTTTATTATACACATTAGGTGCTTTAAACTGCCCACTTTATAAATATCCAGCAAACCGTTAACTAAATTCCTTCCCACAAAAACCATTCACAGTCACTATTATTTGTCTTCACTGTTATTTTACATAAATTCACTAGAATTCACAAATTATTATAGGAATCTTGAGTGTATTCTTGATGAGTTTGGTGAGAAGCTGGCATCTGGTAACGTGCTGGTGTCACCATATACTGGTGAGGCGGGGCCTCCAGCCGCATAAGGACTCCGAGACCATGTACGGCTTCTTAGTGGCGGAGTCTCTGGTAAAACGGTTTGAACTGGTTCGGTTGGTATTCGAATCTGCCCTTTCCTTTGCAACTTCGATTGTACTGTGAGAAAATAATATTTGAATAATAAAATTAAAATCACCACATAGTTGATACAGTACACTTACTATATATATAGTATATAGTATATAGCTTTAAATACATACATATTATAAACATAAACACCCATGACTGGAGTGCAAACATTCATGCTCATCACACAAATGGATGTCGCCAACGGGATTCGAACCCGCGACCGCTGGCACAGCAAGTATTGTCACTACATACTGAACCAAACGTATCGTCGAAAAAATTATATTAATGTATAACAAGAAAATATCTGAAAAAAATAAAATAAAAAGAAACTATAATATTTATAATGAAAATAGATTGTCTGCGATTTTAAAATAATGAACTTGCATTGCATGGTTTTAAATAAATCACATGCTACCATTAAAAAATTGTCTGTCTATTTATACTTGCTGTTCTATAATAACTGAGCTAACTTCAACCTAAATTTTACCAGTGAGATTCAAATTTAAAAAGCATTGGCTAATTTTTACAGGAAAGAAAACGGTTTGCACAGAGCAGAATATTGAATAAGACAGTTTTAATATATTCATTTAAACTCACTATCACATCCAAACATTGTTTGTAAAATAATTCCTCTTATTGAATTTAGTAAAAATATATGACTAACGACTCACCCTTGCTTCACTCAGGTTCGTTCCAAGGTAGATTTTAATGATAAGTGTGGAATAGATAGACAATATATTATATATATACATGAGTATTATATATGAGTTTTTGTGGGTTGTAATTATAACGTGTTTTCCTGTGGGAATGAGATAATCTAAAAATAACTATCTCCACAAAAAAAATCACACCAAACCATCACTCTGTTTTAACTTGAAAGACGGACAGACAAACAAACACAATTTCACATTTATAATATGTATGTACATAGATGTACATGGTAGTGCTATAAGAGTAATTCAATACTTACCATATAGATATCCAGCAGTAATGGCAACAACTGTTATGAGTGTTGGCAAATATGGTAATAATAGTGCAAATATAGCTCCTAGTAATGTACCGCAGGCAATCTCAAACTCTCTCTCCACTTCAACTCTCATCTCTTGCGACGTAAGCCTTGAAACCACATTGACCCATCCCATACCACAAATAACTGTTTCACTTTTAACTAGAACACTGATTTCTGTATCACTGCTTGTTACTTCTAATTTTAACCCTGGAGATGTGGTCATTTTGACCATTTTCAATGCATGTGGATGTCCTGTTATGGTAAATGTTGCTGGAGGGTTAAGTAGAGATATTTTCGCTTGGGATATTTTTAATGGTGGCAAGAGAAGGACTTTGGTGCATGTGCGTGAGACTCCCCATTCAGCACAAAGTTCTACTTCTAATGCGTCAGTTAATTGTATCGCTGGTACTATTGAACAGCCGAGTTGACCTTAAATCAGAGAAAGAACACTATGAAATATATATCACAAGCAGAACCCGCGGCTTCACTTGCGCTGAAATTACCAAAAAAATTTTTCAAAAGTAGGTTTCACACAAACTATCATCCCTTATTTTACCCCTTATGGGATGAATTTCGAAAAATGCTAAAACACGTATTTATTTAATTGCATTGAAGAGCATTAATACCAAGTTTCAAGTAATTCTGAACATAAATAATTTTTGGGTTGTATTATAAAATGTTATATCATTCTGATGATATAATCTCTCATGACAAAAAATAGCCTATGTCACTCTCTAGCCGTTCAACTATCTCCATACAAAAAATGATGCCAATCCGTCTCGACGTGAAAGTAGGACAAACAAACACACTTTCACATTTATAATATTAGTATAGTTATAATAGAATTAATTACAGTGACAAAAAAATCATAAATTCTAGGTTAATATTTGTATATTGTATCTATTACTTTTTCAATATATATACAAAATAAACTCCTTTCCATCATTTGTAGAACAACAGAGTGCACCACAATATTTTTGACAGATTAAAAAAAAATACTATATTTACCATTAAAAACATCAAGTACAGCTTTAGCGGTATGCGGCGCTTTAGTACGACATGAGTAAGGCAGTTCTATTTCAAGGCCTTCGATTGCGTACTTTTGTTCTTCAGTACAAAGCAGTGGACTTGACATTAGACCTTCTCCTTGTATGGACAACGGCACTAGCGTGTACGGCCACTCACCGGGCAAAAACTCCATCTGTTAATATTATACAAGATATACACCTTACTTAAAAACGAGAACCTCTACTAAATTTATAAATACAGACGCGGTTATGATATTTTATTTTTAACTCTGTAAACAGTAATAACAGCGATAAAGATATATTTTATTAATTGATACAATACTTAATTAGTAAAAAATTAAATATATTTGTTTATTTTGCAAAAACATAAAAATCTAAATTTATACTCTAACAACTTATGTTGTGTCTAGTGGCCGAGACACAAGTTCCACTGCTGGGCACGGGCCTCCCTTCAATACGAGGGGGATCAGGCCATAGTCCACCACGCTGGCCAAGTGCGGATTGGCGGACTTCACATGTCTTTCGAAAACTTGCTAGGTTTTCTCAGACATACAAGTTCTCTCACGATGTTTTCCTTCACCGTAAGGCAAGTGGTAATCATGTTAGAAATGTGAATGTGACACATGAAAATATCAGAAGTGCGAGACCCGAGATTTGAACTCGCTTCACTCGGTTTCCCAAGCGAGCGCGTTACCACTGGGCTACCACTGCCTCACTGATTATTGCGGGAAGATATTATAATGATTATACCTTGTGCACAGGCAGCTGGTGCACGGTGTAGGCGAGGGCGGGGCGGTCCCGGCGCAGCGCGTGGCGCGCCGCCGCGTCCGCGCGCAGCACCGCCAGCGTCACGCCGCTGCCCGCGTACAGCGCCACCGCGGCGGGCGCGCGCCACCCGACGCCCTCCAGACATATTGCCCAGCTACCCGCCGCTGGAATTGTTTATAACGGGTTTAGTTATCAAAATCACATAAGTTTTGGCTCAGTGTGTAGTGATCCTACTTGCTGTGCCGCTAGGGGCCTTCATTTGTGTGATGAGCACGAATGTTTGTACTTCAACGTCCCAATATTTATAACATTTTCTGTGAAAATTTAGGTTTGTATGTATTTTTAATGCATCATCATAAAAAAATGTGATAAACATTTTTTTTTGGGGTGGACCACCCTTATCACTTAGGGGTGTAAAAAATATTTTACATCCTATTCTCAGACCTACTGAATATACACACAAAATTTAATAAGAATCGGTCAAGCAGTTTCGGAGGAGTTTTGTTATAAACACTGTGACACGAGAAATTTATATATTAGATAACATATACAACTATTATAAATATGAAAGCTTGTATGTATGTTTGGTACTGCTCCATTGTGAAACTACTGGACGGACATTTAGGTTTTAAAATAGACCTGGTAACACATAGACTCAGACTTACATATTGACTTACATACATACAGTTATAAATTATAATGTAATCAAATTAAGTTGTTTACAATATGTTGAGACATAATAATAATAATAAAATTTATTCATTTCAAAATAGCAAAAAGTATGCTTAGTAGTATAAGATCTTTAATTTTTTACTAGAACCAAGATACGCAAACCCAATAAATTTAATTTTATGTACTAACCAATAATTTTGTTCGTACTGGTATCAGAACCTGCGACCCACACTTCATCAGTCACAGTGGTGCCGCCTATAGAAGCTTGGAAGCCCAGAAACGCGCCAGCCGCATCTAGTCCAGCTATGACGAGTTCGTTTCCGAGTGCACTGAAACATAATTTAATTTTCAAAATCAAACTAACGTAAACTTACTCAAGCAATAAAGATGAAAACTGAAAAATATCTGGATGCAAAGTATTATTTTTATGTAGCAACTTAAACTCAAGTGAGTGGCCGGCTGGCCGAAATTGGCCAGGAAGATGTGAAACATCTATGTTAATATTACAATTTATCTATACTAATATTGTAAAGAGGTAAGATTTTTTGTTTGTTTGTATCGAATAGGCTCCGAAATTACTGAACTGATTTACATAAAATTTTGTAAGAAGATAGTTTGATACCCTGGAAAGGACATAGGATACTTTTTAGCCCGGAAATCATCCCTTAAGGGGGTGAAAATGGGGGAGATGAAAGTTTGTATGGGAAATCAAGCTAGGGACGAACCCGAGCGAGCGAGAGCGAGGGTGAGGCGCTAGTACGCAATATAAATATATATTCGGCACCTATCGGAAGCCCGCCGAAGATGCACGAGACGAGCCTCGGTGACGGTCGCGTTGGCCTGCGGCGCCAGTAGCGCGCGGCCCACCGCGTTGCGCAGTACTATACGCACCGCCTCGTCGCTGCCCGCCTCCGCCGTGCAGTAGTGCGGCTGTGATACTTCTACGTGGATCACCTGGGTGGAGAATATTTTTTTGTTTATTTACATTTACACATCCTAAAGTAGGCAATAGAAAATATGCGTGATATTTTTTATACAACAGCTAACATCGTTATATAATTGTATTGTAATTGTAAATTAATCCAGATCCAAAAAATTAAAATTTAGTATGTTTTTTTTCTAAAATATACCAATACGGATACATTAAGCGCCCGCTATTTCGAGCGCTTAGCGTGACGTCAAAGTATCATACATAAAAATGACGACTTTAATTTATAGCGAAAAAAAAGTCGCTCTATTATGATAATACTTCTACCTCTACACTGAAAACATTTACTTAGTGCATAATCACTACTTCGTTGTGACACTTTCATACAATGGACTCAATCAAGCAATCCCTTAACGACCTGGCACAACACTTTAACACCACAATGGCTGAGTTCCAGCAGAACTTAAATACTTCAATTCCAGCAACGAGTCCAACATCAAACATAGCGGCCCAATTTAGTACTTTTCGAAACTTTGTGCTCTCAGCTCTTGAAAATCTGCAGCAGCAGGTAAATCATCTCTCTGAACAACAAGATCGTCTTGATATGAATACTAGAAAGAAAATCCTCTTAGTACACGGTGTTCCGGAAACTAAAAATGAAGATGTGTCCACAGTAATGATCAAACTTCTATCCGACCGTCTTGGCATGCCAGAACTCTCAATCGAGGATATCAGTCGTTGTCATCGCATAGGAAGCTCCAAAAATGACAAACATCGTGTAGTCCTTATCAAATTTAAGCTGTTGTTGATTAGGAATAAGGTTTGGTATTCTAAGACCAAACTTAAAAGTACAGGTATAACCATATCTGAATTTCTTACTAAAACCAGACACGATGCCTTCATGGCTGCTAGGCAGCGCTTCGGTGTCTCTAAATGCTGGACCAGGGAAGGAGTCGTATTTGTTATTGCGCCCAGTGGAACTCGACATCGCATTAGTTCGCGATCGGAGCTCGACAATATTTCCAGTCTATCTGAGGCCCATGTGTCGACTGCTGTTCCTGGTTCTGCGTCTGGTCTTATATCTTCAAAAGCAAGAGCAGCTCCCCCAACGCAAGTGAACCGGGCCAAGCGCAACATCAAGAAGTGATAATGATGTTTTGCTGTATGTTACGGGTAATACACATTCATACTAGTTGTTTTTATAAAATGCCTGTTTTGCACTCTAACTTTACTATTTCTACAAATAATTATGTATCGGAAAGGTATACCCGCAATTATTTACTCGGTTTGTTGTTTAACCCATAGATATAAATATGAGTTGTGAAATAACACTGCCACTGTGACAGTGTCACTGCCAAACTGACAGCTAACAGCGTCATGTTAAGTTTTATTTGTCATCCATGATGTTAAGTTCCGTTCTAAAATTTGTTCAATTTATTGTCTTTTAGAAATAATTATAAATGTTACCTTAATAAATACTCAACATTTTTTTATATTTTACTAATAGGTGTATAATATATCTTCTTCTGTTATTTTAATTCGAGATCAAACTCTTGCATTGGTTTATTTTTGATAATTACTTTACCATTTATTCACGCAATATTTTTTTTTTGTTTTGCTTTTGTTATAACGCTGTTTAGATTTTGATGTTTTTGATTTTTTTTATAGTACTTTTTTATTTTTTATTTTTTTTTCTCTATGTTATTTTTACTATAATGCTGTAATTATGGTATGTTTTACAACTATTGTGTATAGGCAATTTGTATACGGATATGGCTGGTGGGTTAGCAAATGACACAGTTTTATTTTACTATTTATTTATCTTTTTTTTTATTTTTTATTTTGTTGTATTTTATTTAGTGTATACTTTATCTTTATTATTATATAGTATTATATGAATATGACGTATAGCGAAAATGATAATACTTCAGACGACGACATTTACTATCCATGTGATTCCTCATCATCTGACGATGCCAGTCTCCCCAGTCCCTCCATTCCCCTCAACGAAACCTTACACTCTACCTTCTCTCAACATTCAAAAAGCTTCAATGTTGCCCACATTAATGCGCAGAGTATCCCAGCCCACTACCCGGACCTATTAAGCACGTTTGACGTCAAAGACCTACATGCGATCCTGGTCTCAGAAAGTTTCCTTAAACCCTGCCTCCCTTCTACTTCGTATGCTTTGCCGGGATTTCATCTGATTAGGAACGATAGAACAGACAAGGGTGGTGGAGGGGTTGCTATTTATCTCCGATCACACATTCCTTTTAATATTTTAAGCAAATCTCCCTCCCAATACACTGAGTCAGCTGAATATATTATAATTGAGGTTCTTTTCGGTTGTTTGAAACTTTTGTTGGGAGTTTTCTATAGTCCTTCAATGCGCATCGACTACTTTGATGAATTTGAGGTTTTAATGGAGAAACTTATTCCAGATGCTGATCACTCTATAATCATGGGGGATTTTAATACCTGTTTGATTAAGGATGACTCACGAGCAAAGCGCTTGAACAGCATTATCAAGGGCGCTAATCTTAATATTGTCAACTCTAACAGTGCGACTCATTTTTTTCCTGATTGCACTCCTTCGTTGTTGGATCTGATGATTGTCTCTTCACTTGACCTCGTTAATGTGCACGGACAGCTCTCAGCTGACGCATTCTCTTACCACGACTTAGTTTATCTGTCCTATAAAATACGTCCACCCAAAGCCAAGCCTACGGTGGTTATGCGACGCAGCTTTAAGAACTTCAATAATGACAGCTTTATGAAAGATCTTAGTTTGATTGACTGGAATTCAGTTTTAAATGCCTCGTCTACTGATGATAAGTTGCATATATTTAATTCCATACTTACGGATCTGTTTGACATACATGCTCCACTCAGGCCGATTAAAATCAAGCATCTCCCGGCACCTTGGTTGACACATGAAATCAGAATGCTAATGACCAAACGAAATAGAGCTAGATCCAAATATAAAATGAACCCCACAGCCGATAATTTGCGTAAATTTAAGTACTTACGTAACAAATGCAATAGACTCTGCCGAGATGCTCAGCGCGAATATGTCCATGCCTCAGTGGAAAATAAAGATTCTGCTAGTGTTTGGAAATTCCTAGATGCTATTGGTATTGGTAAGGATCGGAAAACCTCTCTCATGACTGGTAATATAGACGTGGAAGCCCTTAATAGGCATTTTGCTACTGCTCCCTTAATAGAACATACAATAAAAGCTAATACTCTTTATTCTCTTGCCCTTGACCCTAAGCCTAATTCTTCGCTCTTTAATTTTTCACCTATCTCTCCTAAGGATGTTAAGATGCATATAATGGCTATAAAATCTAACGCCATTGGTAGCGATGGAGTGAGTCGTAAGATGATTCTCTTAGCTCTCAATCACATTCTTACAGTTCTCTGCCACATCTTTAATCATTCTCTCTCTTCAAATACCTTTCCAAGATGCTGGCGTTCAGCTCATGTTATTCCCATTCCAAAAACTTCCAATCCCTCATCGTTTTGTCACTATAGACCAATTTCAATACTTCCTTTTCTTTCTAAGGTGCTTGAACGTGTAGTCCACAGCCAACTTTCATTACACCTTTCAACGTATAATTTGCTCAGCCCCTACCAATCCGGATTTCGACCTGGACATAGCACGACCACTGCTCTGATTAAAATCTGCGATGATATAAGGAACGGGATTGACAATAAGCAAGTTACCATAATTGCGTTATTAGACTTCTCAAATGCTTTTAACACTGTAGACTTTGACATTCTCCTAGCAATCCTACAGACAATGAATATATCGTCGAATGCTGTTGACTGGTTCCGCTCCTATCTCTATGATCGCAAGCAATGCATTCGTGTCGAGGACAAGCACTCATCCTTCTGTTACCTGAAAGCGGGTGTCCCTCAAGGCGGTGTCCTATCTCCTCTCCTTTTTTCTATCTTCATCAACTCCATAACTAAGCTTCTATCATTGCCTTTTCACCTTTATGCTGATGACCTGCAAATCTATGTAACAACACCCATAGACAGTCTTCATGATGCCATAGCCAAACTCAATTCTAATCTCAATACTGTAAGTACGTGGAGTAAATCGTTTGGGTTATTTGTAAACCCAAGTAAGTCGCAGGTATCCCTATTTGGTTCTCGTCAGCTAGTATCCAAAATTAATACATCATCCCTTTCACCTATTTTATTCGACGGCACTATATTGCAAATTCGCAGCTCTGTTAAAAATCTAGGCCTTATAATGGATAATTCCTTATCATGGGCGCCCCAGATTTCTGAAGTAAGTAGGAGGTTCTTCGCTGTAATTAGTCGTTTGAGGAGGTGGAAAAATTTTTTACCAATAAAAACCAAAGTATCTCTAGCACAAACCCTTCTCCTTCCCTTACTTGATTATGCCGATACATGCTATCCTGACTTGTCGCAGATTCACCTCAATAAATTGGAACGTCTACAAAATATGGCAATCCGATTTGTTTACGGTTTGAGAATATTGACCACATCTCTCAATATCGAGCTCAACTCAAATGGCTCACCGTCAAGCAGCGTCGTAACTTGCATATCCTCACTCTCCTATACACCATCCTTTTTCACTCCCACACTCCTCCTTACCTTAAAACAAGGTTTAGTTTCCTTGGTTCTGGCCATTCCCTAAACCTTCGATCGCAAGCTGACAGTAAATTAGCATTGCCCGTCAGTCGCACCCAAAGCTATGGTGACTCATATACAGTCAAAGCCGCAATATTATGGAATGCTTTACCACATAATATTCGCCAGTCAAAATCAGTGCAAGTTTTTAAACGTCGTCTTAAAGACTATTATTTATCCCTGTAAGTCTATGTATATTTATGTACATCCTGTTTATGTAAGTTTATTGTAGAATATATACGTATATTGTCTAAACTTATATATTATGTAATATATATTTATGTATCTCTTTATTGTTATTTATGTAAACTTATGTGTAATTTATAGTATGTACCGTATAAGTAAGTATGTTATATTGGTCTTTTTTTTTTTGCGCCAACCCCTATCCATTCTACCTTAAGAGTTCCTTTATAGGTTTATGGGTTGCCTGGAAGAGATCACTTTAGTGATAAGGCCGCCTTTACACAGAATTTTTTTTTTATATAATATGTATTTTAAAATTGTACTTCTTTTCTGGTGTAATAAAGTATTAAATGAAATGAAATGAAATACTTTGACGTCATATTCGGTCTGACCAATAGCGTGCGTTTCAATTACTTTGAATTTCCCACCTATATTTGCATTTTTTAATAATTATTTTCTTAACCAAAAACAATTTTCATTAAAAAAATTGACGTAGGCTTAATTTTCAAGCAATAAAGATTATAAAAAAAATATTTCACCTTTATTTAAATCACACGCTTATTCCCTATTGGCCACTGATTTTAACGGCAATGCTCAAATTCAATTTTCATGGTGAACGGTTTCAAAGTTACGCATATACAAAACTTTTACATTATGATGTCGTCTAGAACGATTTCGGCCATGGCGGCCAACCTCACACCATTAATTCATATATTGTTTCCCTCAAATTTTCAATAAAACACTAGTTTTATAATTATAAAAACGACAAAACAAAATGAAACTTACTGCTTGTCTATCAATATTATTTCTTTCATCTTTATGTTTGACAAATATAACTCCATGGCCGGGTCGAATTGCTTTGACATCGCCATTATTGACTTCAAAAGATCCATCGTCGTACGAAGACCAAACGCCTCTTGGCAACGACTTCAAACGCACACTCGCTCCAACCGCCAACGACAAACGATCTCCAGAAGCCAATTCATTTGATAAACCTTCTATTGACGTGCGAATGTCAGATATACCGAGGATTTCTATTGTACTGTCCCAGGACCTCGTTTCTGCCAGCTGAAAATTAGAACATTCGTATATTAACTATCTGAAATGATTTAACATTAAAATGGTTCTTAGCATATTTAAAAAAGAAATACATTTTTTTGGAATGATTATAATGATAATTAATTACCTGTCCCAAATTACGCACTCTCACGTCAAGTGTAATGACACCTGGCTTTAGAGGCACTACTCGAACTGACAGCCCTTCTGCAACCGATCTTTCTAAAAAGTCTGGAAATAAAAATATTTTATTCATAAATAATAGGCAATAAAAAAAACATAATATGATGTGAATGTATAATATTATGTATTAAGATTTTAAAAGTAATTAATTTTTTTTTGATGAACAATCGTTAAAGATAATGTAATCATATCTTTCCCTTCTCTACGCAATGCCGTCATCCAAACGATGAAATTACGAAACAGCCAGACGAAAAAAAGTAATGCCGTTTCACACATCCCAAAAATAATTTAAGTCCACATAAGCGTATGTAGTATCTATCTTTGAGGTTTTTTAAATCAAGCCTATTGATTTCTATTCTGAAGTATGAAGTAAAATTTCTTAAAAAAAACACGTTAAGTAACGCGTTTTGAAGAAGATTATGTTGGGTAGCTTTTCAGATATGGACAAATCTTCGTTTCACGCGATTGGCCAGAAAAGTAACTTTATGTTTCAAGTAAGTTTTACTGTCACTTTGTTTTTTCCTATGAAACTGAAAATCTGAGCTGCTCGATGATGTGGCACCACGCAGCGTCCACGTGATACGGCTTTCATATCGGATAAGTAAGGCTCAGAAACCCGTTCAATTATTTTTAAGCCGGTTTTAGTCATTGATACCAAAAAGGCTTTTTTGTTAAGGTTTCACTTATGTTTTTTAACAAGTTAAAACCCAGAAAACTGTTTTTAACGAATTTAGGTTTCATGAACAAAATTAATCGGTTAAAATAATTTTTTGTTCGTTCACATTTGGCGAATGTTTACTAATGATAAATTGTGTAGTAGTAGTATTTATGTACCTTTCGTACTAATGAATTAATTGGTTTATTTCAGTATCAACACCTAAGCCTAACCTTTCTCTAAGTATAACCGTCATCCATTATTATTTCAATTTAACCGGTTAATGAATGAGCGATGAATTAACCGCTACATTACCGAAATTACCCGTTTTTTAAACCCGTTCCGAGCTCCCCGAATAAGCAAGAGTATGACGTGCCAGCTCACCGTCGACGTGCGTGGTGTAGAGGCGCGCGGCGGCGGCGTCGCGCAGCGCCCACGTGACGCGCGGCGGCGGCCGCAGCGACGCCAGCGCCGCGGCGCCCAGCGCGCCCGCGCGCAGCCACGCGCCCGCCGCGCGCCCCACCAGCAGCGTCTGCGTCGCCGCCGCCACGTGCAGGTTCGATATCGGCACTATCTGATGGATTATTGCAAACTATTATTTTTCTCTTAGATTTACCCGAATATTTGACATTTTAAAAAATAAACTATCTTTTCGAACTATTTCGCTGATTTATTTTGATTTTTTGGTTCCCAAACCGATACCATAATTTAGGGATATTTACTTCGAAGTGTATGTATGACCTAAAGTAATACATAAGCTCAAAGCTTTTAAGAATCTGGAGGGGAATCTCGCCGAAGCAAAGCAAATGTTTTTGCGTTTCCGCGACCCATTCAAACTGGTAGGATATGTAGATTGTCATTAGGACTATCCCACTTATCTTATACATATTAAAGTTTATGAGCATATGCGCTTGTTACTTCTTGACGTTGCATTGTAATAGCACAAAGTATTTGAGTTAAAATAAAATACAGGCAGTTGAGATGTGATTACTTTATAAAATTTAATAATAAAGAAATAACAATATTCATTATTTAAACTAAAAACTTCAAACTTACCTCAATTTCAGCTTCTGTGCTGGCCAACTCAGTATTAACGATATCAGACGCAACAAGCTTTACGCGCGCTTTGCCCGTAGTCACACCTTGCACCGACCCCGTTGGTGACACCTAGAAGATATATTTCATATTAATATTATAAATGTGAAAGTGTGTTTTTATTTGTTTGTGTATTCGTCCTTTTTTCACGTCGAAATAGACACAACACACTCTGTATATCTATACTAATATTATAAAGAGGTAAAGTTTGTAAATTGTGAGTTTGTGACGTTGTAGGGGGTAATCTCTGGATCTACTGGACCGAATTAGATGAAATTTGCTACATAGGTAGTTTAAGACCCTGGGAAGGGCATAGACATACTTGTTATCCCGGAAATCATCCCTTAAGCGGGTGAAAACGGGGAGAAAAGTTTGTATGGGGAATCAACCTAAGAAAGAACCCGAGCGAAGCGAGGATGAGTCGCTAGTATAATATATAGTCAAACTACATATAGCTGTCAAAACATCTTAGGTCCCTAAGGATGTTTTGAATATATTTTCTTACCTGTAAATAATCATGGCCAGATACAGTGTGGTAGTTCAACGTGGCTAGATGTGAGGGCGGCCCGCCCACGTGCCGCAGCTGCACCCCGCCGCCGGCCGGCAGGCGCGACCGCTCCGGTACTATCCGCAATGCCGGGAATACTGTCACCTGGGAAGTTATAAGTATATTTTAATAAATGTCCTAATTTCATTCTATTCAGCCCTTTCTAACGTCCCACTGCTGCGCACGGCCCTCAGTATCAGACCCATGGTCCTCTACGCTGATCAAGTATATTGTAGATGTAATAGCTAATTTGATATTTAGAATAACTATACATACAAAATAATTCTATTAATTTTAAATTAAATACTATTTTTTGAGATTACAATATACAAAAATTATTTCGAAGAATGTACACATGTTGTTCACCGATAAAGTTGTAACCACGATTTATGCATATAATACAAAGAAAAAGTCTTACCTCAACTTCAGGGCTCCAAACTCCGCTCAAAGCTGCTCTAACCCTTCCAGAACCTTCTTTAAGACCACATAAGTTGCCATCTTTAATCACCACTTGGCCTGCAGTCTTCCAGTCAGGCTCACGACTTGTAGTCAAGTATCTATGGGATATTCCCTTCACTAAAGCACTGATAGGCACACAGCTCCCAACACACACTGCACGAGCAGTTGACACTTCTACATTGAGTACTTCTTCCACATTCACCTGGAAATAAAATTATAAAGATCAGGAGTATTTTATTACATGTGTTTGTTTAACGAGTGTATTAATTGAAATATTACTCACAGAATGTCATTATGATAATCATTTTTAAAATATGTTAAAAGTTTCTGTTGTAGATATTTAAAAAATGTGTTAAGTTTTAAACTAAGTTCAAAAATGAAGGAGGAATTAATTTGATGTATAAAATATATATGTACACTCAAATTATATATAAATAAAACATATTACGTTTATTTACAATTCTTTTTGGGTGGATGTAACTTGATATTTAACCAATTGTGACCTGATTTTCGTGATATTTAATAAAGAAATTAGAAAATATATAGTCACAAACGACAAAAAATTCCACCTTTAAGGCTGAAAACATCATAACTGTGCTCATTGTTGAAGGTTAAACTAAATTAAAAAAAAAAAATGCTTGCGTGTAACGTTTATGGGCGTTTGAAGTAAAACTTCTTTGGCAAATATCGCAATTAAATTAAAACAAAAGGCATATTAGTAATATTATAATCATATATTTATAGAATATCATATACGGAAAGAATATAATTTTATATTATATTTGTCAGATAATAACAACGGTAACCATGGCAACGTGGCAATGTATAATAACTCATTCTCTCGCCGGCTTAATCCCATATAATTATGTGTTTGTCTCTTTTTAGTGTCGCATTTTCGTTTCATCGAGTTTCAAATCACAACGATTTCAGTTCAAAAACAATAATAATAATGTATACACACCTCAACAACTTGCCTCTCGCCGCCCACGCACAGGTCAGTGACGAGCAGGTCGTAGGCGCCGGGCGCGGGCACGACGGCGGTCAGCACGCCGCCGTCCACACTCGCAGACACTCCTTTAGGCGTGTCCACTGTATACTTTCCACTGCCACCGGATATTTTAGCTATATTTGGAACTGTTTCACCCTCCCACGCTACATTTACCTGAAATAAAAAAAAATCGCTGGTAGAATGAGCGTTAGTTAAACACCAAATGCGTCCCTGGACATCTTTATATTTATCTCTTTAGATTTTTATATACTTAAGTATACAGCCAATATGAAATAATATATTTTTATAAAAATTTATGTTAATGATATAAAAAAACCTCAAAATACACAATTAGCGTCTCAAAAGTGTCCTCAAAAAGAAGTGCACAATTCGAACTTCCCTTTCTTTTTAAAAATCTTTTGTTTCTTACTTTTCGGGTGACAAAATAAAAACGCACGTTGTTTTGTATAAAAAAATATTGAATGTCATGTGTGTAAATTTTAATTGTTTAGAAAATTAGAACTGTCGATTTTTGAATTTTATTCTTTGGTTTGACTTAACGCCACATGTCGGCGCCACTTTTTAAAGAGATATTTGTTAGGAAACTTATATCTATATTTTTATATTATATATTAATGTATGTGTTACAAATAATTAGTAAATCTAAAGTACAAAATTTATTCAAGAACTTTTTAGTAGAACTATTAAAAATCTACATCTATACATATAATAAAATTGTAACTAAGCCGAATCTGTACATTAAATATTTTTTGGAAAATCTTATTGAAGTAAACATGATAATCGATATAGAGGCCCAATCTATACTTTTTAGAATTTTTGTCTATCTGTCTGTCTGTCTGTTACCGCATCACAGAAAACCACTGGAGGGATTTTAGCATATAAGATACTTTTTACTGCGGGAAAATATCTCGTTTCTGAAAAAAAAAAATACAAAAACTGCAATGTAAGAGTATAATAATATGTAAATGGTTTTTGGTCATCTGGAATGCTAGTATCTATATAAGATTTTGTGGCGTAAATATTTATTTAATAATTATTTTACTTATTTCTTACCTTCAAAGGATCGCACTTCAAGGGCGCTACAACCTTAGCCTGAATGGTTGCAGTTGCATCTGGAATACTTGCTTTTATTGCTCCACTCCATCCAATAGCTTGTTCATTTGCTTCTACCAACTGTTAAATATAAATAATCGTTGTAGAAATGTGTGATTTATTAAAAACTAGCGACTGACACACGTTTCGCTCGGGTGCATCCTTAAGGTAACTTTTAATTTTTTTTGAGCAAAACCCTAATTCTTTTTCTAAAATAAAAGTAGCGTAAGGTACTCCTTATAGCATCAAATATATACTAATGAAAATCGCGATAAAATCAGTCCAGTTGTTTTAGAGATTTGCCGGAACAAACAGACCGACGAAAACTTTTTAAATTATGTTTTTCTTATAAGTACCGAATATAATTTCATATTATGCATTTAGTAAAAAGCTGTCATTTTGACTTTATAAACAGACTTTTTTTATCTGTAAAGATGATAAAATATGTTTTTTCTACATAAAATTTATCATAGAAAAGTACAATGATAACATTTTAATAAATAAGAAAATAACGTACTTGGTAATACTTATTAGGCACTGGTACTGGAGCATACTCTGGATTCGTTTCAACAAACAACCTGTCAGTAGATTTGAACTCTATCCCAACGTGATGAGGTTGAAGTTCCCAAAACACACTTGGACCCTCTTCATCCAAAAGCTCCCTGCCTATTGCGTCTAGAAGAGTCACTTTCACTGTCACTTCTTGTCCTGGTCGTAGCCATATTCTATAAAGTTTAAAAGTTTTATCATATGGACATTTTAGTATTTATATGTAGCTACAATATTTTAGATTTTTAAATAGTAAATATATGGTAAAATACGCATGTATTAATTGAAAATAATTTATTTCACGAATTATTCAATAATAGATTATTTTCAAACCCATTCAAAATCATCAAAGCAAGTGCTCTCTTTAATTAGCATAACAACATGAAGTTCTTCTCAACTTCTTACTAACCTACTAATAAAGTTGTAAATGCAATAAACGTATGTCATGATGTACATTTAATCACATATCGGATACTATTAAAAATGGAAAAGTTAGTATGTATGTGTGTATATGATGTATACTTTACGGTGAAACGGCTGGACGAATTTATATATATTACATGGATAAATTATAACCTGTAGTAACAAATAGGATATGCCATTCGTCGCTTGATGTATGTATGTTGTATATTTGTTGGTCTTTGATGTAAAAATTATCTATTCTAATATTATAAGGAGGAAAAATTTGTTTGTTTGTTTGTATCGAAAAAGCTCCATACTGAACCGATTTAGATGAAATTCGGTAAGAAGATAGTTTGAGACCTTGGAAAGGACATAGTATAGTTTCTATCCCGGAAATTATCCCTAAAGGGAGTGAACATAGGGGTGAAAGTTTGTATGGGGATGCAACCTAGGAACGAACCCGAGCGGATATTCAATAATGAAGTTATAGTAATACATTAATAACAATGTAAATATACCTAGGTCCACCAGAGCAGTTGCCGGGCGTGTCGGGCGGCTCCAGGCGCACCCGCGACACGTGCGGCGCGCACGACGCCTCCAACTCCACTGACTCTCGCTCTTCATCCGTGAACGATTGCAGCTCGAGACGCGCGTCGCCTTTCTGTTTGTAATAACAAATGACTGTCGATTTTCTTTTTTTAAATTATATTTCTTTTGGCACACTTGGAAAAAATTAAGAGGTTTCATTTATAATAATAATAATAGTAAAATATGCATGATAATATTTACCCTCCGACATTTCATAGTAAACAGCTGTACATCAGGATACTTGTGTGGCACCAAGCCGCCTCGTGCGCTCAGGTCTGCTATCCGCGACTCACTGGACTGAGGGGTGAGGGACTCCCCCTCTGCTAATACCTATTTTTTATATTAATTTTGTCAGTTACTTATGATTAAGGAAATTATGTCATATAGTTCTCAAATTGAGCTGGGTTTTTTATAAATTACATAATAAAAAAAAATGCCGCGATTAAAACATAATTAATTTTCCACTGTAAAGCAATACAAAAACTCAATATAACAACGTCGCATACGTGTCTTCAAAAAGAAATACACAATTCGAAATTGAAATGTTCTGTTGTCAATTTCTTTTTCCTATTGCTTTTCGGATGACAAAATGAAAACGCACGTTGTTTCGTTTAAGAAAATATTTTTATGGTGTGCGTAAGTTCGATTTTATTGTTTGTATTGTTTTGGTTTGCCGTAACGCCACTTTTTGATGAGATATTTGTTAGGATATATGTATTTACATATCTATCTATACATGTAATGTAATTGTAACTAAGCCGAATCTGTACATTAAATATTTTTTGGAAAATCTTATTGAAATAGACATTATTATCGATACAGAGGCCGAATCTATAGTTTTTAGAATTTTCTCTATCTGTCTGTCTGTGTCTGTTACAGCATCACAGAAAAACCACTGGAGGGATTTTAATAAAATTTGAAATGGTGATAGCTGGTTATCTATATGGTAAAAAGTATATATATATATGGTAAAAAGTATTCTATATATCCATATAGAATACTTTTTACCATATATATATATACTTTTTACCATATAGATAACCAGCTATCACCATTTCAAATTTTATTAAAATCCCTCCAGTGGTTTTTCTGTGATGCTGTAACAGACACAGACAGACAGATAGAGAAAATTCTAAAAACTATACTACTAACTATATATCCATATAGAATACTTTTTACCGCGGGAAAATATCAAATTTCTGAGAAAAAATACAAAAACTGCATTGTAAGAGTATACTAATATGTAAAACCTAAGAATTGACTTTTTGGTCATCTGATCGCGGGCGAAGCCGCGGGCAATGCTAGTGTTTATATATATCAATGCTGTAAAATTACATTTTCAGTAGCTCTGCAACCGATAAAAGGCAAATGACAAGTAGGTATACCGGTAACGTAGCCCCAACAAGGGCAGCAGCATTCATCGGCCAGAGCAGCGCGGGCGCGGCGCGCACCGCCACGCGCGCCGTGTCGCCGGCGCGCCCGCGCGACACACGCACCGTGGACACGCCGCGCGTCACCCACCAGCACTGCAGCACGCAGCACGCGCCGTCTAGTTACACGCATAAAGTGTGAATTATATTTGATTGATTGGTTACTTAGTTACCTATTTATGTAACATTTTACAAAAATAATATTAAACACACATGACAATTGTATTTCTTTTTTTTATAAAATTAATGTTAATCAAAAAAAAAATTTATGTTAATCAAATTAATGTTAATCAAAATATTTCAATGATTGTCGACAACAAGTCAGTAATAAATAATAATAGCTTATTTTGTTAATTAAATACTAAATGCTTATTATCGTAATTTAAATGATTTTTTTTTGTAATAATAGTGTTCATTACCATGGGAGATATTATAATGCGCCAGTCTGTGCGCAGTCACAAATGCACTCTACTCTTTCCGATATTTAACTCCGGTGAGAGAATAATATGACACAATCGATGAGAAATTAAATGAAAAACAACATACCAACAGGTTCTATCCACGGAGCCGCGGTCACGTTATGAGGTTCAGGGCCTTCCAGTAAAGACACTGCAAACGAATCACAGTTACATCTGAAAAAAGAAATGTATTAAATATATAATAATTACTCAATAACCTATTATAATATCCATGTAAAAATTAGCAAGTATAAAATTTTAACGAATATTCTTAATTTTAAATAAAAATCACATCTGATCACTATTATATATGAGAAAATATGTATGTGTGCATGTTCATTACTTTTTACCCTGAAATGACTGGAAGCATTTGGGTGAACCTAGTATACTAATAGCGATACAACCCTGAACCTGGAGTAACACAAAGGCTAATGTTAGGCATATGGGAATACACACAGACATTTTGTGAAGAGACATTCAAGATTAATTAAATAGTAAAAACAAGAGACTGGGGCACACATCCCTGCAAGGTGAGTGGGGAAACAGTATCAGGGCATACGGACTGTATATCTAACGCCGCCCACTAATATGGGCGCGTCCCTGTGAACCCTATTCTAGGACATATTGGAATCGGACATGGAACTGCCATGCACTATCAGCCCAGCTAGGAAACCAGCGACCATACAAAGAGTAATACAAAATACAAAGGAAACAGTATATTAAAACTATACTCACACATGAAAATTGTAAAGCTCGCCGGAAGGGTGCGAGGCGGTGAGCGCGATGTGCAGCAGGTGCGGGCGGCCCACGCGCGCGTGCCCCGTGCTCGACACTTGCACCAGCTCGGGCACTGCTGACCGCACTCTGGGTATACACAAATTATATTATTATATTAATAAATACATTATTGTTATATTCATATTTTTTACCTATAATAATCCATACTAATATTATAAATGTAAAGGTAACTCTGTTTCTGCAGACATGTCTGTTTGTTACATTTTCATACCTAAGCCGCTGAACTAATTTTGATCAATTTTATTGGCATACAGATAAAAGGGATCTTGGAGAAGGACATAGGCTACTTTTTGTCATTAATAAAACTTAAAGGGAGTAAAATGAAAGTATGAAAGTCCTATATTTTTGCTGTTAGAGACATAAAGATGACTTATATATTTTGGCATATTATATTGTAGAAAATTAAGAATGATATTTTATAATGAAGAACAAATTATTAATTACACAGATGGTACATGGTTGACAGATACTGATGCCAGTATCTGTCAACCATAAACAAATAGATATAAAACTGAAAAACAAGATTATGATAACTTTTAATTAAAATAAACATCTTATATTAGAAATTTACCTGCCACTAGCCCAAATATATGGGTATTGAGTGAGATGAACTCTCACATCGAGGTGTCCGACTCCTCGCACTGTCAAAAGGCCGGTGGGTGCGAGCGAGAGAGCAGTACTCGCGGTGTTTGCTGTCTCACTCTCTGACCACGTGACTAACTCTGTGCCACCACCGCGGTATTTTAGTGGTACATCTCTATAAACAATGAAATATTTAAAAACGCCTTAAAATTAATATGGAAATATTCTTCATTTTATGGTGCCATCATGAGATTAGTGAGATCTCGATGGTATCAAATTATTGTATTGTCATCAGGATTATACTAAGTTATGAAATTTAAAATATATTAGACGAACGTTAATATCGACTTCTAAGATTTGAACATTGTATGAAGAATTAAAGTGTTAACAGATAGTATTATTTTTAACTTTGACCAAATGCAGCAATGCTTGTATAGACATATAAATCCCTTGAGATAAAATAATAATGAATGGTTTAATAAAAGGTACGTGAAATGTGAATGTTATACTCTAGTCTTAAATATTCTTTATATAACAGGGGAAAATAATATATGTGATATGAAAATACATACTGAATTGCTTCTGTCCATGCAATAAACAATTCTGGTGGCACCACTTGCAATGGATCCAATGCGATTGCTGAAGCCTGTCCTTCAACCTGTGGAAAATAAAAAGCCACTATAAATACAGATATTCAAATTAATATTTACTTATAATCTTTCATCAAAATCTATCAACCTTTAAATTCGTTTATTTATAAATATACTAGCAGACCCGGACGCGCATTGCTATGGCTTATAATTGGTTCAATTATTTAATTTTGCAACAAAAAGAAGGAAATAAGCAGGATAAAAACTATCCTATGTTTTGAGTTGAAACAAATCACACATTTTGAAAAAATATTGCGTTAAAATCGGATAAGTAGATTCGGAGTTCATCTAGAACCATAATGACACGGGACTTTTATATATTATTAAGATAATAGGAATACCACTCACTGATTAATCATGAAATCTCTAAAAGTATAAATGCTACAAACTGAAATTCAGACAGGTACATTTATAAATAAATAAATATTTATTTTGTTTGTTAGGATATTCCTTCATAATTAAAGATAAGTTGACGTAAGGGAGTTTTGGAAATTCAACCCTAACCCCTCAAGGGGTAAAAGAGAGATTGAAATTTTGTATGACTAATACAATTTAAAATTTTAGGCAAATAGGGTAACTAATAAAATATTTTTAGCCCGACACTAACCTTTTTTGATAAAGCTCTACCAGCAATAGAATACAATCTAGCTGTAACGGTAAACTCTCCGGCATTTTGAGCTATTGCATCTGTTATAGTCCCATTCTCAGTAGAACTCAATAAATCCACATTGGCTTCGCCTTCAACTGTAAGTCTTATCAATATTTCCTGACCAGCGGTTAAAGGATGACCTTCTTCATCATACACTATGCAATGAATTAGGAATTCTTCTCCTCGGGTTAGTAAATTGGCTGGTCTTATTGTCACTCTAATTGAAAATGGTTCAACGACATGCAAAGTAGCTTTAGCAACTTCCGTAAGACCAGACATAAGTTGAATGGTAGAAGCTCCTAACTCCATTCCTTTGACTAAGCTTATGTTATCTTCCATACTTGCTACTCGAGTTTCTGGTACTTTAATATTGTATAGTGTTTCGACAACGTCTTGTACTGTTAAACGTCCTGCACGAACTCTCACAACCCTAAAATATCAAAAAAATGTCATTGGTCTATTTCCGTGTACAGATATAATTGGACAACACATTTAAAATGATATTTTTAGTTTTTAATATGTAGATGTAATTTTTTTAATTTGTTTTCTATTTCTGTCCCTAAATTAATAAAGAATTAAAAAAAATAATGAGGGGTGCCATTTAGTGTTCATTGAATAAATTAAATAAAAATAAACTGAACTAAGTCTTAGACATTATAACTTGTATTATAGATATTTTTACATTGTAGTTTTGTATTTTATATTTAAAAAACTTACTTATACTTCAAAGTATCACCAGGTGCAATATATGCAATTGTGGGAGTTAAAACAACACTTGCTACCACTTGCAGATCAAAGTTAGCACAAATTGTTCCTAAACAAACAGTCACACGTGATTCTCCCATTGCCTGTCCATAAAGCAGTACTGAATGTGAACGTAAACCTTGAGCTTCAAGCTGGGCTACACCACGTGGTGGCTCGTAGCCTGTGTCACGCCATTGCACAAGCCTGAAAGTAAAATTTATAAAAAATATTTGTGTTCCTCATAACAAGCCTTTTCTTTTAATATAAAATGATAATAAAATTTTACTGTCTCTCTAAGGGCAAATTTTCCCTTAAAATTAAAATACTTTGTATTATTTTTATTGTCATATTATCCACTTAGTTTCCATTCAATTAATTCAAAGAAAGATGTTACAAAAGGAAAAACAGACAAAGATTTTAGGAATTTTGTAAGGGTTGTTCCGAGGTTGCAAAATTGCAATTACTTAATTTTAATTATATGTAAGGGGAAAATCTGTTCAAGTTTTATATAAGATAAAAATGGGTGTTATTTAAAAAAAAGACCATGTGTAATCTTAAACAAAATATAAATATAATATTTTTTATAAAATTACAATTATAATTATTATGAAATTATTAATAATAAATATATATTTTTACAAACAATAATTTATGAAAAATAATATATAATAATTAATTTATAATAATTTTCTAAAATTATTAACAATAATTTTGACTCTACTTCCGCAACATTCATTTTTCCAATGTATTACCCCTCAATCACAACTAAAGAAGTTTTACTTCAAAAAATTTCATTTAACATGTTCAATATACTTACATTACTAAAGGATCTTCTCCATAGCTAGTCCCAATATTTTCAATTGTCCAAGTAAAGCTTACACCCTCTAAAGTTGAAAATTTATTTCCTAAAACATTAAAATATATATATAATGGTTATCTTTTGCATTGTGACAAATTAAGTTTATAACATTTGATATTGCATTACAATACATTCAATGTTTAAAAAGTCATATGAAATTATAAGAATTATTTTAAATTCACAAAAGTAATTTAAGTATCCTGAAATGCATACCTGTGTCATCATATGCTATAACTTCAAAGGCTTCTGGTGCCTCTTCTAAATAAAGGTTCCAAGTGGTACTCATTACTTTTAAGGAACTGATCTTGTCAATATCTACATCCCCTCTTAAAATCTGAAAATCATAATTTATAATAAATATTCATGTTTATAAAATTCACGTTTACAAATAAATGAGAATTCGCGCCAAATTGTTTCAAGCACGTTACCTCCCCAGTATTTACTTCTTCGGCTAAAATTATCACAGATCCTGGAGGCATACATGTTTTCGAAACAGACACACGAGCAGCGCGCGAACAGTGTCCCCATGTATCTTCATACAAGGGTTCAAGATCGATGATGTCATCGCGAGATAAACTCCTAAAAAACAATAAGTACATTTTTAATTTAAAAATACAAATTTAATTGTACTATTTCTTTAACTCTTATACATACTTTATTTCATAATTTATTTACTTACCAAGTGTAGCAACCACCTTCTATGATTTCAAAGGTAAAGTTCACGTTCAAATTTTCAAACCATGGAAGTAGCACTCTTGGAGTGTTTATCTTAGCACTATCACACGTAAGAGCCAAAAAATACAACGGTATTAAAATAATAATTGTCTTTATTAAGTTCCCCATTTTAAATTCTTTGTAAATTACATGAGAAAAATTAAATAATCCTAAGGTAATATAGTCTAACCTACAATTCACAATAAGATTTCAATTTTTAGCGTTCGGCGGCGATTCTGCGGTATAAACTGTCAAAAATTTGTCAAATGACAAAGTTCAAACGTCAAAATAGATAATTTCTGTAATTCTAGTTTAAAAACACACTATTCCACTAAATGAAAAAAACACATATTATTGCCATCGCTTATTATTCATCCCTGAATGCCATAATTTATTTCCTTTGCTTACACGGTACACCTGTTTTTCTAAACAGTGCTTTTCTTTTTTTTTCAAAATCGATGAAATCACAATCTTTATATTCAAAGCAATGTGTACATTGTTTTACAGAAAGTTTTTTTTTTATACCACGTCGGTGGCAATCAGGCTTGCGGCCCGCCTGATGGTAAGCGGTTACCGCAGCCTATGGACGCCTGCAACACCTGGGGCATCACATGCGCGTTGCCAACCCTTTAAGAACCTATTTACTCCCCTTTTGAAGGACCCCATATTGTAGCCCTCTGGGAAAACCTCGGCAGGGAGTTCATTCCACAGCGAGATGGTCCGTGAGAGAAAATTCCTCTGAAACCGAACTGTACGGGACCATTTGGGCTGCAATGTGTGAGCATGAACTCGCTGTGATTTTAAAACTCTTAAATCTACTACAGGTAATTATTTTTGAAGTTATACCTCTTTTGGCACGTTTGGACAAAATTAAGAGAGTAAAATTTATACGATGCGCGCGCACACCGACAGCCAAAAAGCGACATGATGAAGTTAGCTGAAAGCGACATGATGAAGTCAGTTATGAAGTTGCATTCCTTTTACAGAGAGTTGTGACATATGGGGTAAAATCTATAGCTATTTTAGTTTTGTTACGCCAAAGAAGTATAATTTCTATGACATAAATTATTTATAAATTCTATTACATAATATGTACACATACGTTTTTTTTTTGTATTTTTTTTACATAATAATTACAAGTTTCATACAAAATTTTAGCCCACATTTTACCCTCTTGTGGGATTGAATTTCGAAAAATGCTAAAACATTGTATTGAAGAGCATTAATACCAAATTTCCAGTAATCCTGATCATAAATAATTCTTTGCCCATATAAACTTAATTATCTTCTTTTACCTCTTTATGAGATGAATTTCGAGAAAAAACGATTAAATATATTTCTTATTTTTTATCTTTTATAGCTAAACACTTTCAGTGTATTTTACATTAAGAATGGCAGAGTTTCATACAATCTTTAATCCCATGTATTACCCACTTAGGGGATGAATTTAAAAAAAATCGTTTCTTATAGGATGCCTACATCATATAAGAAATACGTCTTCCAAATTTCACGTTTCTACGACCAGCGGTTTATTATTTAGGCTGTGCGTGATTCATCAGTCAGTCAGGATACCTCAGCTTCTCAATTCTTCCTTCGGCTGGTCTAACTTACAGATTCTAATACATTACATAGGTAAGATGCGAAAATTCTATTTTGAGAAGCAAAAACCGGTACGAAAGGGATAACATAATAAATTGCTTAACCTCAGAATGAATGAGAATGCCTTGAATGTAAATAGATCATATGTATAGCGCTCTCTTTTCAAGAAATCTTCAACATTACAACCATGGATGACAAATAAAATAGATGAATTAGTTCCATACGAGCTCTTGGTGCATCTATCTATCCCTTTCATTTGCTTGGTAACTAGCATGCTATCTCTACATTTGGCGACAACGAGTGGGACAACAACTTATTTCTGTCGCAGTTACATACGTCACTACTGTGACGTCACTGCAATATTTTGTCATTTTTGAAATATTCAAGTTTTAACCGTCGTTATTACTCGCCCCTGGGGACTAGGGTGTGAGGGCTTGCCGTTTTTTATATTATTTTACACTTAAAATTTACATTTTATCAATTTGTAGATTAGTATTAATTAATGTGGATAAGTGCTGATTAATGTAGATCAGTGATATAGTTAAGATTTGTGCTTGGATACAAAATTTGTTATTTCTTTATTAGTGTTTCTCTTCCTTTTTTTGGTTTTTTATTAATGTTGTGTAATCATGGGAAAGCATTGTAATTCCGAATTGTCAGGAAGGAACAGAAGGTTTTTCATGCCATAGAATGCCTTATAAAGATGCACTTCAATTTTATAACGTATACTTATAGAAATTCTTATAAACGGTTTATTTCTAGAGTAACTCTATCTGACCAGGTTTCTGCCAATGTAGCTGCAATAAATTCATTAATTTCTGATACTAAGGTAAATATACTTTGTAGTGCCAATGATGCATCAAGTGCTATCCATTATGAAGTTAATGGGAAGTGGGAACAAAACCTATCATAAGTATGATGTACCTCATTTACTGAAATGTTTCAGTAATAATTTTCAGAAAAAGAATTTGCTCCTTGGCAGTCAGCATGCTCAATGGGATTATGTTTATATGTTGTATAAAGTAGATGACCATAAAGGTGCTGCAAGGCTAACAAACTTACTGACAGGCATATTTATCCAAACTCTTTTGTTAAGATGAAGGTAACTATATTGTTAAGTTTAGTAAATTAACATATTATTATATTACTTTAGATCTTGGATATTATCTTTAATATGAAATTGTTTTTAAGAAGGAAACTTCTTGAAGCTATTGATATTATTATACTATTCTATTCTAATATGTAAAATTGAATAGTTTGTTTATTGTTTGAATGCACTTATCCATGTAATGCTCAGTCCATTAAAAACAATTTATCAACTCTATAGCCTATCTATTGTATAATGTTAACAGCTATTTAAGGGCCTAATTGGCTTATCTACCTAGACCCTAATAATACTAAACTATTACTATATTTAAATAAGCTACTATTCATCTACAGTAGTCACTAGTTCATATACTATATAGTTATGGTGACTATTTGTTGTATTACTTTAATTTATTATAATAATATATTTACAGGTGAAGTATATGCTGCGCAGGTGTTTCAGCAGTTGAAGTGTTTCAACATCTATAAGTCTCCTAATAAAGGCTTTTAGTTTCCAGGAAGAACACAATTATTGTAATACATTAAATGTAAATATTGAGAATGGCTTATTCACAGCTGAGATTATTTTATTCATTAATAATAAAATACATGATCCTTCTAAGAATCTGTCATCTCTAGTATGGTATGCAATTTACATAATTAAAAGACAATTACCAAAGATTTGTAAAGTTTACATATTTCCCGATTTAATAAAAGCATTTGAAAATCTTGATACCTCTTGGTACACTTGTGTAGGTCATAGAGAAATATTTTTAAGAGCATTCTCATTATTTATGATATGTATAAAAGTTAGACACAGGTGTATAAATTTTAATTGAAGAATGCATAAAGTGGATTCGAGAAAAAAGGGTCTGGAAATAGAAAATTTGCTTAATATGAAAGTTTCAGAAGGGCCTAGCTATGGTTGAACTCATCTAGTCTTCAGAGTAGTGAATGATTTTCCAATATTTTTTCATTAATTAACTTTTAATATTTATTACTCTTGTTTGTTTCATTTCTTGGTTATTTAAAAGATAATCACTTGGAATTTTCCATTTTCATTATGTTTCTATTAAGTATAAAAATAATGTATGAATATTTCAATTGATATCTGTGAAATAATATTATAATTTCTTAAAATATACTACTATAGCAGTATATAATTTTAATATATTAATTATAATTGTTACATTTGATAGAACTATGCATTTAGAAATTTTATTTTAGAGTATGTTTAGCTGTTATTTCTTTTTACACCAAATTTTTACTATTACTATGTACATATTGATTTTAAATTTCTTAAGCTTTTAAAAAAAATAATTTTATTATTCATTTTTTACTGAAATTTGCATTTTTTTTTTTAATTTATATAAGATTAAAATGTTTGTTTTTTCAAATGTGCTAATCTCGAATCTTTGCATTTTATAAACTGAAGATGAAGGTGGTTCTAGAGCTAAAACTTCAAACAAAAGCTAGATTTTAATTTATACCTACAATTAAACCTACTACTCGCTTAATATGATATTGTTATTAACAAAAACTATTGTTCTATGTTACTTCTAATTTTATTGCATTGTAATATTTTATACCAAATCGTTGTATTAGTCTTTGCCTCATTGTTATTATCTTTTGTATTTTGTATTCAATTGATAAAATTCTTTAAAAATATCCTTTTATTGTAATAACAATGTATTATAAATGTTAAGAAAAAAAAGGTTATCCCGTCAAGAACCTCGGTCCTTGCTAATTCTTCTCAGGTCTGAGGCATTTTTCCGAACTAGTGGTAGCATTAAAATAGTAAAATAAAAAAACTAGAAACCTATCTTTGTATTTTATTTCTAATTATAATTAATATCATAAAAATGAAAACCTTACTATAAAACCGATAACAGTTGTTGAATACCGATAACATTACGATAAAATACATCCCTACTTAATCGTAATGAATACCGATTTTTACATCACTACGAACTAAATTCTCCCAGATTCGCATATGACGTCATACCCTTAGAAAGAGATGCGTGGCGACTCAAAAGAAATACAATAGCCGTGAAAGTGACAGCATATTTTGACTTGCCATTTATGCCATAACTGTCCCCATATTAAGACAAATTCATGACACAGCTCTAAAATATAAATCAATTTTTATAACATAAAAACCTATGTTAATAGATATTTTATGTTTGATATGAAATATAATTAAAATATAAGATATTCGATAATAGTTAAAATCATTTAGAATATAATTATATAAATCAATATATAGCACATATGATTTATAAAAAAAAACATTTTAAGCATATTTAACTTAAGTATATTTTATAATATAATAAGATATTAATTAACATATCCCATGTAGCTATTTTTAATTTATAATGGTTAAATCGGGAAAAATCTTTCTTTGACTATCTTGACCCCCCGGCCCCCGCTTCGTCTTATTCGCCTTCGGTTTTATGAATATGCGCTTGTATGGAGCTCGGCCGGGGCTGATTACAACAGCTTCTTCAAAATTTTAAAATCTTTGTAAGTAATCGGATTAACCTGAAGTTATTTTTACAAACATTTTTTACATAATGTTCTAAAGTGCATTTATATTGTAGCATTTCTTTATAGTTTGTAGTATTGCCGATCGAAGAGTTTGTGGTATATATTATGTATTTATAATTATTTTTATTTAATTATGATATATTTATTAAATGAATATAATAAAGGATTTTAAATAATAAACATTGATGCAATATTTATATAATATTTTATGATTTCATTAATCATTATTTTTTATGGACGATAAAAAATGTTACATCTTGTTTTCCGAACGCTTCAAAGATTATGTCAAAATGTTACAAATGGCTGATTTGTGTTCGTCTTGTTATGAGCCGTATTTTAGAGTGATTCATTTGATAAAACTGTAAAATGTGATCATGATCAATGAAATACAACCGATACAGCTGTATACCAGATTTATATTTGACTAATAAGCAAGAATAACGGAATTTGTGATGTCGCTCGACAAGGCTGCAGACATTAAAAGTAAAGAGATCGATAAAATCAAACGTCGTCACAAAACTGACGACACTGTTGTTGCAACACTGTTAAGAAGCAGTGAAGATACATTCCAGTGCACAAAAATGGAGAACGTTGACGAAAATGCTGGGAAACCTACCGAGTTATTTTTACAAGGTAACTCCCATCTCGTATCAAGTACAACCAGCAGCCTGGCCGATACGCCCGGTGACTCTGGTGTGTTATGTTTAGACAGTGAAGCTTCTGAAGCTACCAGTCAGGCTCTTATGTCTCACAGTCTTATTGGAGCAGAAGAACTGGCTTGTGATAGCATTTACGATGCAGCACCCTCAGGATCACAGGATATGATTAAAAGCACTAACAGTAGCATAATGACTCGTAGTGATATTGATAATCAAAATATAGGTGCCCCTGATGACATTGTCCCTGAACTTCTGGTTGAAGCTCATAAAAAACCTGTATATGAAAACTTGCCAGATGTAGTATTGAAAGCATTAGAAAGTGAAAAAGTATGTACAGATGAAATAAAAAAATCAGCTTTGAGGACATCTGAGCCAAAAAAATCTTTATCAGAAGATATTGTTTATAGAAGAAGATGTAGGAAAAAATCTCAAAGTGGGCCAAGTTCACAGAAAAAAAGAGTATCATTTCATGAAGATATTTTAAACAACACAAGAACAGATAATATTCACATAGAGAGAGGTTTTGTTTCCTATGGCCCTGACAGTTCTTACTGTGATAAATTCAAACAAAAAAATATAATTAATGACAGATTTTCATGGTGTTCTGGAGATAGAACTCCAAAATATGCAGCTGATGTAGCTCAGCAAACTATGTCAGATATATTGACTTATGGGGATTCAAACCATGATAGAAGTGGTATTTTTGAGTATTGCAAGGATTTTGAAGAGAAGAATCAAGATGAAAAGGATAGGGTCAATAACAATGAAACTAAACCATCTCATGGTAAGCTATATGCCTGTGATTCTAACAGTTCTGATTCAAATTTTAGCTGTGATTCTGAATCTTCCTCAAGTGATTCATCTTCTTCCCACTCAAATAAAACAGAAACATCCCCTGTTCGTAAGAAAACTGATAAAACACAGAAATCATACTCCTGTGATGGTTTTGAAAATGGGGGTCATGTGGCATTTATTAGAAAAACTTATTTTTCTGAAGCTGATATTGACCAAAGCCATGATCGTAAAAAGAAACCACTTGAAGTTACCCAGAGCCCTATAACAGTAAAATCAGTGCTAAAAAAAAAGAGATACATTACTACCAATGTAGTAGAAGAAAGAAAACATAATAATAAAGTGTTAAGCTTATTAGATGCAAATAATATTATTGATTCATTAAAAAATTTCTACAAAAATTTTAATTTCAACTTTGCACCTGAAAAGGGATTGCCAGAAACCAGTTTTGAGTTGAATAATGTAGTAGAAGCGTGTGATGTGAATCAAAATAAAAAGCTTTCAAAGAGTTTGGACTCTGGCTTTCAAAATGAAGATGAAGATGATTTTGTTGAAATTAATCTTAACTCGCAGCCTTTAGATGTTGAAAAGCCAAAGGATATAAAAATTCCTGTTACAGGAGATAGGACTCCTAATGAGGGATCACCTCGGCATAAATTAACTTTGAACATGAAAACTCAACATGATAAAAAACTAGTGAACAAAGGTGAAATCCTACCACCCTTAAGCAAATATGTTGTTAATTGTGAAAGCACTGTGTATGAACATAAAGGAGTATCTTACAGTTATGTCCATGATACATTCCAAACAGCTTTTGAAGCACCAAAGGAGACATTTGTACCCATTCCGGAATCTACACCTGTAAAGGAGTTGGTAACAAGTTCAAGTAAACTGGATTTAAATTCAAAACAGTCAGAAAACGACAATTCGAGTCGAACCTCGACTCCAAAGCGACAGTTTAATAAGAATGTGCAAGATGAAACAGAGCAGAAAAATGGTCTATCAAAGCATTTATCATCGCCGAAGAAGCAAAATGTCAACCGGTACAGTCGGAAATCAGCATCCACAGTTCAAAAGGCTGAAGAAACGCAACAAGCGATTAGTGATAATTGTTCCAACACAGATAATTCAACCTTGAAGGGCGCCGAAGATTTCATCGATGAATTTTTCGACAGTCCCTCTAACCAAAAGTTGCAATCTAACAAATCCGCTCTACTTAATAGATATCTAAGAAATGTCTGTCAAAAAAAGGACCTTGAACTTAAAATTAAAAATAATAAATTCTTTCAATTTAAATTGAAAATGGAGAGAGAGTTTCCAAGCATTATATTCCCATTTAAAAACGTGTCGGAAACATATCGCGTTTCCGCAGCGAGGATGTCCCGACTCATTGAGAAAGAAGTGATTGAGAACAAAAGGCTTTCAGTGCGACTTCTCACGGCTGAAGAGCCCTCATACTTTGACAGTTTTGAAGACAATGTTGCTATTGAATGTAATGAAAAATTAAAACTTCAAATATTTTCTTATCCCAATGAAACATTAAACCGGGTAATTATATTTTTTTCTTTTTTTCACTTAAGTACTATGTATTATGTAAAGACCTTGTCCTCGAAATGCATTTCGACATTATATACTTGGTAAAGCATATATTTTTATGGAAAACATGAAAAAATAATTAGTAGAAACTTTTATGAATGTAATTATTTTAAAACTGGTTCTTACGATTCAACTAAAATAGTATTATTAACTAGCGACTCGCTCCGCTCGGGTTCATCCCTAGATACGTTTTGACGGTTAGTATAGATTTCTCAGAGATGAGATATTTTCCCGCAGTAAAAAGTCTCCTTTATGTTAACCGGGATAATCGTTATCACCATACCGAGTTTCATCAAAATCCGTCCAGTGGTTTTCACAACAAACAGACAAACATTCTAAAAACTATAGATTCGGTCTCTATCGATAATAATGACCATTTCAATAAGATTTCCAAAAAAATAAATAATGTACTGATTCGACTCAGAATTTTATTACATTAGTAAGAATTTATATCGTTTTATTTAGATGATGAAAGTACAATCTCTATATAACATGGAAGACGGATCTTGGACTCCGCTGCTGGTGTTCATAACGGACTACGCACTCTACGTAGCCGCCGTAAAGCCTGGTGGCACGGAATACGACATACTCTGTCGTTTGCCACACAACGAACTTGATGCTATCGCGGTATGTTTTTGTTTCCATTACAGCTCCTATTTTAAGTACGTTATTTACACCTATTTGTATATTGTTTTATATAATTTCATGAATTATTAAAAAAAATAAAGTTATAATTTATTACTAATTTTTTCAACATTATTAAGACTAAACTGTTAATTGCCCATAAGTAACACGGACAATCCAATTACATGGTTTCAAAATAATTAGTGGTTCTAAGGCGAAAGTAAAACTTATGCCTTATATGATACGTAATAAGGCACTACCCTTTACTTATATAATGACAATTATTTATTGTATTTATGCAAACATTGTCTATTAGATATTTTTTTTTGTGATATGAACAGTTTAAAAAACAACATTTATTTAAACAATTGTGTCCACGGACGCCAGGAAGGGGGTGCAAGCGGGTGCACTTGCACCCCCTGCCATGAACGAATATATATAGAAAAAGTTAAATAAATAATATTGTATCAATAAAATTCCTGTATATATTTAGATACATGCGAAAAAAGATGATAAATAAGATATGAATACAAATTAATAATTTAAAGATTACTTAGTAGGCAGATGCAATGAAGCAGGGGGGTGCCCCTGGAAATAATTCTGCCGCCGCCCATGATTGTGTCTCAATAGCAACAAATTGCATAAAAGTAATTGACCTCAAGATATTTTTTATAGGGTAAATAAGGGTCATATTGATAACCTTCCAACATCTGAACAATCATTGTTCCATATGCCGTATCTTGAAAAAAATAATATTAATTTTCTCTCTTATCAATAATGATTAGGGGTTATTAAACTGCTTTTATAATAACAAATGTCTTATTGTATAATTATGATTTTAAACGGAGAATGTATTTTTTTTAATTGGTACGCACATAGTCGATAATATTGTTGAGATACATTTTTATATAGAACTAGCTTTGCCCTCGGCTCCGCCCGCGTTCAGATGACAAAAAACCAAATGTTTAGGTTTTACATATTAGTATATACATTGCAGTTTTTGTATTTTTTCTCAGAAATGAGACATTTATCCTAGTATCCAAGTATATATGTTAGCCCGGATAACCAGCTATCACCATACCAAAGTTCATCAAAATCCCTCCAGTGGTTTTTCTGTGATGCGGTAACAGACAGAAAGACAAAAATTCTAAAAACTATAGATTCGGCCTCTGTATCGATAATAATGTTTATTTCAATAAGATTTTCCAAAAAATATTTAATGTATAGATTCGACTTAGTTACAATTTTATTATATGTATAGCTGTATTGCAGTTTGAAAAACATTTACTGCTATTAAAAATAAGACACCACGAAAAGTTTCTATATTGTGGAAAATTCTATTTTTAGTTGCAAGAATAACTAACTGCGTACGTTATTATGCACGCGAAGTGCTTTTAGGGGTTTCCTTGGCAAGTATCCAGATAGTATTTTGATTTCATACTTTGTTCGTATGCACGATCAATACACGTTTTATATACTGTTCGATATATCTATTCATTTAACAATATGATGATGATGATGATGTTCTCCTGACCGATTCCGGCCACAGCGGCCAATCTCATTGAGACTAGCCAACTTTGCAAGAGATATTATAGTGCACAAGTGCACTCTCTATTCCTGTCACTCTCATACTCCGGTGGGACGACCACTCGACACGACCGGTGAGAGTTAAGGCGCAGGACCGACGGCTTTACGTGCTCTCCGAGGCACGGGGGTGAAACACCGCCAATTTCCCAACTCCGGGCTGTTACTGAGACTTACTATACAGGAAGACTCAATAACTAAACTTGGCCCGACCCGGGACTCGAACCCAGGACCTCCGGGTGTGCAGCCGTACATGCTAGCCACTACACCACCGAGGCAGTCATATATATATATATATATATATATATATATATATATATATATATATATATATTTAACAATAACAAAACGAGTGTCAACGCCATGTCGTAATCTCGCCAATAGACTGCATATACGATTCGTGCAATTTGTATGCAGATTAATACATTGAACAATTATTATGGTGACTCACAATTTGCTTCCCCAGTTATAAAAACTGAGACTAACAGGTCTCGTAACACGCAACACTCGCATATTGTACGTATATAGACATAATTGAGAAATTATCCACTCGAGTTATAACATGATACTAGTTTTGAACTCCATAACATTAATCTACTAACATTAATTTTATGTTACTTAACATTTACATAATTCATAATATTATGTTTGCATTCTTTTTTATGTTTCGAACTATTGTTCTAAATATATTTATTATTTTGTAAAGCACTTTAAAATTAGCATCTCTTCGAGAGACGTAATAGGTGTATTAGCGAGATTCGTTTGAGTCATCTAAGAGATTGCGTTGCTACATTTTTCTTTTTTGATATGCGTAACTCTTTCCCCTACTTTAATAAAACTGTTGCAAGATTTTATTTTAATTATTCATATTTAATATACAATAGATAAATTTTCCCCATTCAGGAAATCTCCGATATTAGTAACCAAACGTTTAACATTTATTCATATATTCAACTAGCATTACCCGCGGCTCTGCCTGCGTTCAGATGACCAAGAAGCAAATTCGTAGGTTTTACATATTATTATACTCTTACAATGCAGTTTTTTTTATTTTTTCTCAGAAATTACATATTTTCCCGTGGTAAAAGGTATCCTATATGTTGACCCGAATAACTTGCTATCACCATATCAAATTCATCAAAATCCCTCCAGTGGCTTTTCTGTGATACGGTAACAGACAGACAGACAGATAAAAATTCTATAAACTATAGATTCTGCCTCTGTATCGATAATAATGTATATTTCAATAGGATTTTCAAAAAAAATTTTAATATACAGATTCGGCTTGGTCACACTTTTATTATATGTATAGATTTTATGACGAGCCTTACTTATGAATTATAATGCAATACAAGGAAATAAGGAAATATAACGTTCTCAATATTATCTTATCCAGACTAATAACTATCGATGCAGGCGGTATATTAGTCACAAGTACACTATACCTCTATTTTATTTACTTTCGAAATCCGCTTGGAACGTGGATTCACAGATCAGGTGCAGTTGAAGAATTTACACTAGGGTGTAAAATCGCAAAACGTTTAAACTAATAAAATATACTTGACCTGATCCAGAACTCGAAGCCAAATACGAGTCTATATAATTTATTAATTTTCAACATTAAGAAAATATACAATAGTAATAGCACAGTCAATCTAATATAAAAGTAACATTTATTCGTAGGTTGGACCTGAAGCTCAATACATCCAAGTGATAGACATAGCGGGTAACATCGCTTGTTCGGTCGTGACCGGGGAAGCGTCTCTCGGCGCGAGGCTTGCGTCTTCCTTGGAATGGAGCGCGCGCACGTCACCATTGCGTATACAACGGCCGCCTGCTATGTTGCCGCTAAACTGTCGCCAACTTGCCTCAGCTGTAACCCGTCAAAGGCATGAGAAACGAGTAAGTTATATATACGTATATAGGTACATACTAGCGAATTCCCTCTGCTGCGCTCAGGTTTATCCCTAGATAACTAACTGTACGTAATCTATGACCTGTGTACAAAATTTCATCCAAATCCGTCCAGCTGTTTTAGCGTAAAGACGTAATAAACATACATACATACATACATACATACATATACTCGTAGGTGTACAAACTAGCATTTATAATATCATTTTTATACGATTATTTTTATACTAGCGGCTTACGCTCGCTTTGCTCGGGTTCGCCTCTACAAAAACAAAAACAAATCTATACCACGGAAATTCTCCATTTTTCGGGGATAAAAAGGAGCGTATGTGATATTCTGATGTATGATTATTGTAAAGTTTCATTAAAATCCATTCAGTAGTTTTTGTGTGAAAGAGTAACAAACATCCATACATCTATACATCCAGACATACATCCTCATAAACTTTTGCATTTATAATATTAGTAGGATATTATTTATATAGTAAGGAAAAAACCGAGCAGTGAATCATCGTCTTTCCCCCAAATTCTTACGTAAATAGGACGTGTGTGACGTTTTGTAATGTCATGATTTCGCTTTCATACGATTGGGATTTATTTTCAATTTAATAAATATATAAACACGATAACAACAAATTGAACAATAAATAATTATTTCCAAACAAACCTCAACCTTGTAAGAAGTCCATTTACCCTAGAATCGATTGATAGAATATGATCTTCTAGTTTAATGTTAAACTTAATAACTGTCTTAATTATAAATTAAAAATTAATAAAAACCTCTACGCAAATTGTCATTTAATGATTACACTGGCACGCGTGAAGCACTTAGGTAATCGAGTAATCAATCATACGCCAAAATGCCTTACATCATTTTGGAAAAGAGCTGATACTCTTACACTGCTGGACCGATATTTACTAAACATAGCTAAGAACCACCGCATGTAAACTGGCTTTCAAATGAAAAAACCGCATCGAAATTGGTCCATCCGTTTGAGAGCTACGATGCCACAGACAAACACACACAGACAGACATACACCCTCTTTTTGCGTCGGGGGTTAAAAAATAAGTGATAACATTTCAGAAATTAAATAAACACTATAAATATATTTCTTTGTGGCCCCTAATTTGATCAAACATACCCTACTTAGGTACCAATACTCTTTTGCTTCTAAGGTACCACCAATACTTTTCTACGGGCGAGCCTGTTCAGGAGACGCAGAGGATAGACTCATAGAAGCTCCCGGTGCTTTCGCACCACCACTAGAGGGCTATCTGATGTGCAAGACTGAGAAGAGCAAGCGGTTTGAGCCTTGCTACTTTTTGCTTAGGTAAGCGATACGATTTTACTAAAATGATAATTTTTCTTTCTTTATTATTAGGTCCTGTTTGTGTTTTCCTTTTTAGTACAGTTACAGTTATAACGGAGCGCGTACAAAACCAGAAACAATGTTTTTACTTTCCAAAATTAGCCTGAACATCGAAAAAGTTTTATTGAAATTCATCTTGTCTTATTGCGAATGGTTGTAAAACAGAAAATGTTCTAAAAACTATTTATGTCGCTTTCATTTTAAAAAATATCTAAAGGCAATTAAAAAATATATATTTAACTAATGTGTTCGGTGGTGGTAACAGGCAGACAAACAGATCGATCTTCGCATTTATATATGTATATTGTATATTCATGTACAACTTTGGTTCAGTTTCGGTTTTATCAGTCTCTCCCGTGACCATGTTTGCTGTAAAGCATTTGAAACGTCGGAAACCAAAAATCAAATTAAATCCGCGAAAAAAACCGAAAAGATAGTTTTATTTAAAATGAAAAATATTCGCGTAACTTTAAGAAAGTATTTTATCATATTTTTAATAATAAAATAAAATGTATTAATAAAGAAATTAAATTTATTTTACCCCAGATTGAATAAGTGGTAACCTAACATTTAGCACGCTGCCTGTATTGATAGAATGCGATTTATATATCACGGTTTCTACTTTCTAGTCAAATATTATCACAACGGTTTGTTTCAAATTAACATAGTTTAAAACCTTAACAATTTATATGTATACCTCAATAAATCTAATAAATGGTCGAGTAATCCTTAATATAAGCGTGCATATGTAAAATAATATTTAACTTTCATATCATGGCGACTCTCTCCTTTTCACCAAAACATTTTATCGCACATAATTAAAAACACACTTTCTTTACATACGTCATAAAAATAAAATTGTTTTGCTCAAAATGTTTACTATAGCATAAAATGTACTAACGAGACCCAGTGAAAGGCAAATGGGTGAAACTACTTGATGATAGTTAATGAGAGTTTCGTTATGAAAATCTTCATAGAATTAGTTTATATGAATATTGTGGTGTAAAATAGAAATGGTTTTTATTACATCAATTTTATTTTGTCAATTAAATAATTATTTATTTATATATTCAACAATTATTAAATTAAATGAAGACTATGACAATAATAAATGACGTTTAGTCTGTATTTATATGTATCTATATCTATATATATTCTGAAATATGATAATTATTAACATATAATATATTTTATACCTCGAAGTAGCAAATGGCTCATAATGAAAATGACAAGAATTAAAAAAAAATACATGAAATTTGAAATTCGGCCTCTCTTACGTCGAGTTTAACTGATTGAATAGTTTTTATATAAGCCTAATGCTTTTAAAAAATACTGACAGTTATTTAAATTAAAAAAATACACCATTAAGGGTTTAACTATTGTTTGTAAAGTCGGTGTAGTAAAAAAATATTAATAATCCAGTGAGTGAAAAAACCTGCATGTCTGAGAGAACCTAATAAGTTACAGAACGACATGCGAAGTCCACCAACCCGCACTTCGCCAGCGTGGTGGACTATAGCCTGATCTTTCTCGTATTGAACTGAATCCCGTGCTCAGCCAGACGTAAAAAAGGGCTAAATACAATAAATCATTATTATTCTAGGGCTCCATCAGGTCAAAAACTCAAGTAACAACGTTACGTATCGACCAACTAAAATGGAGATGGATAGGTTACTTATTGAGATCCAGTACACTTAAATGGAGTAAAAGAGTGACATACTAATACCTCAGAGACGGTAGGCGTAGAAGACGTCGTCAAAAAAGAAGGTGGGAGGACGACATGCGTGATACACTAGGACCATTCTGGACAAGAGTAGCTGTGGATAGATCTCAATGGCAAAAGTTTGAGGAGGCCCTTGCCAATAGGCACACAGAGATCAGAGACATTATCTAGATTTAAAATTTACTCATTATTTATAATTATAATATTTACAGGGTACTGCAATGTACTCTCTGAGTGAAGGCTATTTATTTTATTTATTCCAGGGCTGGTGTCCTCCATTGGGGCGCACATTCGCCAGACGGCACGCCGTTGCCAAACAACATAGCGCTGCGGTCGGTGGTGGGCGTGCGGCGACACGTCGACCCCTCGCGGCGGCCGCATTGCTTCGAGATAGCGATGAGCGACTCCACTCGACTGTTGCTGGCTGCTCCGGACGACCCCACCGCCTCCTCTTGGCTACAGTCTCTGCTTTTACATGCGGCACAGGTATTGTTATTAAAATTCAAAGACAAAAACAAATCTATCCCTATTGAACCGTATATTACCGCCGGCGCACTCGCTTTCAGCTTGACGCCGCCCTCTTCCCGCTGCCCTCTCCTCGTCCCTCGGATCCTCGTTCGAGCGATTCGCGAACTACATTTTTTATCGATGCACGCATACTATATTGTCACTACCTTTGTACTAATATAACATGAATACCCCAGGCTTTGGAAGAAAAGGACGGTGCGAAGAAGTGCGACCCTCGGTGCGGGGGCCCGCCGCCCGCCTGCACCGTGCTGGTGACGCCGCACGAGGTGCTGAGCCTGCGCGACGCGCTGGACGCCGCCTTCGTGGCGGGCGCCGCCGCCTACCTCCGGGAGAGGGGGTCGGATGCTCTGCTCAGAGGTTGGTTCTTGGAGATTATGGATCGATTTTTTTTATTATATAAAACGAGGGCAGTATAGGCAGTGGTAGTTCAATGGTAACGAGCTCGCTTGGGTAACCGAGTGAAGCGGGTTGAAATCCCGGTTCTCGCACCTCTGATATTTTATGTGTTAATCATTTTAACATCTTTTCCACTTTTCTTACGGTGAAGGAAAACATCGTGAAAAAACCTGCATGTCTGAGATAACTGGACTATGGCCTGATCCCCCTCGTATTGAAGGGAGGCCCGTGCCCAGCAGTGGGACGTTAAAAAGGGCGGAATACGTACACATACATGGTCTGTGTGAAGAAGTTAAGTGATAAGGGGTTGGATAATTTCTAATGTAATCGTAATACCTATAACATTAAATTTGAATTTAATAAGCCTTTATTGGTTTTCTAGTGAGTTAGAATTATGAGGAAGAACTTATATAGAAGAATTTCAAGTTGTATATCATAAAATGAATTAATAAATGAAATGATTAAATAAAACATTGCCTTTTGCATAAATGTAATTAATATTTTCATAAAATTTAATGCCACAGTTTCATATGTTGTCATAATCATTTTAAAATTATAATTTAAATATTTAGCCATTTTTACTATATAAAATTATATATTAACGTTCTTCCACAGAATACATTGAAGATATGAGGACAGATATAGAGATCCTGGCTTGTGGGTCTATCAAGAATTTGACAGCTTTCAAAATACCCGACACAGACGAGAATTGGTGTTGCTTGGTAAGATGTCTTTGAATAATGGCATAATCTATTATAAAAATATTTGCTTTGTACACTATTTTTTTTTAAATTATATTTATTGTAACACATAGATTAAAAAAATAAAAAAATCTAGTGATTTACTCAATTATCTTGTTATATAGATATGATATAGTTGAAGTGATATAGGATACTCTTTGTCCTGGTAATGCAATATCATGGTATATTATTTAAACTTTTTTTAAAATAAATATTAATTTCTGAGCTTAAAAATACATGGAGTAGTTTTACTTATATAAATTCATTTTTAACACCATGTATTAGCATACTTTTATTGTTATGTCGATTTTATAAGCATGAGCAATCCAGATAACACTACGATAATTTAATACTGAGCAAATAACCATGCAGTGTTCTGATGATAGAACCAAAAGATGAAAACTTTAACTCTTCAATTGCTACTAACAAAACTTTCGAGTTTTGATTTATTTCAACGATTTCCACACATTTGATGAATACCGTGTTTTATTAGTCTATACTAATATTATAAAGAGGTAAACTTTGTGAGTTTGTGAGGTGGTAGGGGGTAATCTCTGGATCTACTTAATCGATTTAAATGAAATTTGGTAAGAAGATAGTGTGAGTGATACTTTTTATCCTGGAATTCATCCCTTAACGGGGTTAAAATGGGGATGAAAGTTTGTATTGGGAATCAAGCTAGTTCTTTATAAATATGTTTTTGTCAAACAGGAGTGGAGTGTATGTGAAGCGCGAGAGCGCGGCACCGGCCTAGCGTTAGTCCTGTCCAGCGGCGCTGAGCTTGAACGTCTCATCGCTGCACTCGAAACTGCATACAATGGACTCACGGTAAATGATATATTAATTCATTATAATAATACCCTCCCGACCGATTTCGGCCATAGCGACCGTTTTTACCGAGACTAGCTATCTGCACAATATAATGTAAGATCAATATTGCTTTTAACTCTCAAAGACCGTTGGGACGATACTTCGACCCAACCAGTGAGAGTGACACGTCAACAAGGTCACATGACATTTTGTCATGACACAGGTACGCTTGACATTTTTTTATTCGTGATTGACACCAAAGACAACATTCCACTACCATCTTCCAAAATCTTGTCATTCTTTTTATTCATTTATTCACTGCATGAGTTTACATTGTAAGCTTTTTGACTGAATTTAAGAAAATATAAAACATTCATTGAAAAATTAATTATCATGAAGATGTAAATAAGCTATCTATTATTAAGCTTTATTAATTCGACAAAAAAGTAAACATTCTAACATTGTTCCAGCACGAGCCGTTCCCCCTCAGCGTGGTGGAGGCGAGCAAGTCCGCGTGCAGCGCCGCGCACGCCAAGTACGAGGCGGCCTGGTCCCACATGCTGCCTCAACAGTAACCAATATGCTTCATTTATATGATTAATACTTCCTTAGATTTACCCAAATATATGACAATTTTAATATAAAACTATCTTTTCGGTTTTTTTTTCTTGTTACGGACGTTTCGAGTGCTTTATACATGACTGGTGAGATCATGGTCATGGTACAGAGTTATATCTGGCCATGGCCATGGTTTCTGTAAAAGTTCGAAATGATAGTTTTATTCACACGGTTATACTTATTTTTTCAATACATCAGGTACTTATTCTATGTATTTTATTAATTTATGCGCAAACTAAAGTGAATTGGATTATAAATTATAATTTTATTTAATTTTCAGATACTACGGGATTTATCGCATATATTTACTTGTATGTGCCAAAATACCTTGTTCCTGACAATATTTTGACACTTATAAGTTTATAGTAAAGTCCTGTAGTGTTAATGTATACACGGATATACTTATTTTTCAATATAACAGGTACTTATTGTACGTATCTTATTAATATATGCTCAATTTAGAGTAAATCGAAACATAATTTTACGTTTCTCTAATTTACTTAATTATGACATTTTTTTTAATTAATTATCATCGTTTAAAAAAGTACTAGATACACAATCCCATGCAAAAGTTTTCTTAAAACCGTCACCACTTGCGTTTAGGTGATTATTCTAGTTGAAATAAATATACAACAACAACGTAAATAGAACCTCAAACGCAAAGCTTAAAGTGGTTTTCACGAAAAAAAAGATTTAAAGCGCGCTCAAATGTTCAAATGAGCGCTCATTCGGTGAGGACATTTTTGTCGCTGTTTGTGTTGATCTAATACTTTTTTGATCAATGTTAATTATGCATATTCTAAATTTTGGAGTTAGCAAGTTTTACTCTAAGCTGAGGATGTGTCAGTAATTATCATTAATATGCAAGATTTCAACGCGCTGGTCGTATATATGCTTTGTGATACAATTATAGTGATATATTATTTAGTATTCAACAAATAAAAAAAATACTCAGGTAGATGAAAACAAAAAAACTCAATTCTTATACAATTTATTTATCTATTCTATCGTATTGTAATAGTAACTAACTATATTTAACTATATTTGAATTTAATATTATTTTAGCAGCTTCTTTTATTATATGTGCTATCAAATGCTATAAATTAATAAAATTTGAACAATAATTTTAATATTTGATATCTGCATACGTTAAATGGTATTTTATTAATCTTTACATTTTTAAAACGAAGACGTGTCACATCTCAAATCTTTATTTGTAAAAATACTACAAAAGTAATTTTTGAATTTTTCAACATTTATTTTTAATTTATTTTAAAAAATACTTTTACCGCAAATAATTAAATTGCAATATTATTATTAATCTAAAAATTGATTCTATTATATATGATTGTTAAATAAAATACTATTTCTTGTATATTTTGTAACATGAAAAAATATGAGACTATGAAAATGTTCTATAATAATCCTCATTTGTCACAAATTATTTTAATAAGTTTAAAAATGAATAATATTTACTAAATTGTTTCTTTCTTATGCGTAGCTTTAGCTTTGTCACTATTTTCAGTGACTTCTAAAAGTAAGAATTTCTACATATTAGTACATAGATATGTCTTACTTATATTTTCGAGCGACAGGTTTTGTGTGTAATTTTTTTTATTTTAAAATAATACCATTTTTGTCTAAAACCTTACAGTACCTGTACTATAATATATTTTGATAGAATTATTCTATATAAAAAATAAATCATTTTGGAAAGAGTTGTTTGAACAATATGAAGAAATTCTTAATTTAGATATATAGATCATACATTATATTTGAAATGGAAACTGCGAATAATTACTGACTTAAATCGCTAATTAGCAAAGATATATTTAGATAAAAAAAAGAAAGTTATCTAAAGTAAGCAATACATACAGATTCAAAATATTATTATAAATTCGTCGTGAAGGAAAGAGAGAGAAAGATTCTTATTAAGGAGCGAAAGAGAGAGTCACAATACGGCAGAATACAGAAAGCACAATATAGTTGAATAAAATGTTAAAAGTTAAACGCTTTTAATGGTCATAGCGAATATTTTAGTTAGCGACGTCTTTATAGTTGCTTAGGTAGGTTTAATGTTTCATAGATTAGCACGTTTCGTAATATTATAATGATACAATATAACATGTCCATTATAGACGCTGTTCATTATATAATACATATATATATATATATATATATATATATATATATATATATATATATATATATACATACATATGTATGTACCTACGGTTATGTGTAGTGGAATAAAAAAATATCCCGTCTAATGTTAACGTATGGATCTATAAATAACTATCTCTTGATATGAAAAAATAATATCCATTTTATGTAGTGTTGAAGTTTTTGGGTAATAGAAATGATCTCCTTTATATCGTCATGTAACGGTACAATAATGGTTTATAATATGCGATTTTGCTTCTCTTTGGTAATTTTAATAATTGTTTTGTTTTTTTTTCAATATTATCGTCAAAATAATACTTTCTTTGATTTATGAGAATATTTGAAATAAAACTAGCTTTTTGGATTTTTTTGCGGATTTATTTCAAAAATTAAAATAAATTCGCGAAAGAATTCGAAAAGATATTTTTATTTCAAATCATCGAGAAAACTCAAGAGTGATATTAAGGAAAGTGGTACTTTATGGCCATTTGTTTTATATACCAACTTTGTTTATTGAACATTTTTGTATGAAAATGTTTAGCGCTCTATAATGTGATGGACCATTTTTTTAGTTACAATGACATTTCTTTTCAAAATTATTTGCAAAATATTAAATAAAATATTTATAAATTTTTTTCACTATATACTATAAAATTTATTTATTTTAAACCTTGTTGATGGCATGATATTATGAAAGTGTTTATAGTAAAAAAAGATTGAGTTATTCTGAAACTTGAATTAAATGAACATGTAAGTCGTTTTATTTTGCTATTTATAGCAAATTTCGATTTTATTCGAAACAAAAAATGCGACGTTCATTCGCAAGTTTCAACAGAATAAAGACTGCTATATTGCGACGCTTTTGAGCTTTAAGATTTTGTATGTGAATTGGAAAATATTTTTTTTTTGACGCGGGCCTTTTGTAGCTTTATTATTTAAAGTTACTTTTAATGGTTTCGTATTTTTTTTTATATTGGCATTTGTTGGATATTTTGTTTGTAAGCGGTCGGAAATTGGAATGTAATTACTTCAATGGGACCATTCAAGTATTAGAAGCAGAATTTTAGTAATTATTAACCCCTCCCTACCCTTTGTCAACAAAAGTAAGCTAAGCTCTCACCACCACCCCCCCAACCCCCTCCCCCAGCCCCTATACTTACGTAAACATTACGTCTCAATTATTTTGGGGAACCCCTAAACATGATTTTCGCTTTAGAGCATACATAAGTAGGGTTGTCACGTGCGTTCTGAACACATTGATTTGACAAATCAAAATCTACTTAATTTAAATGAATTATTTTAAATAAATAAATATTGCTGACGTAATCACCGTCCAGATCCCCCATGTCCCCTATATCATCACGAGATCAAAAGTAAGTAGAGTACCCCCCACCCCCTTTGGTGCCTACGTAATACTCGAATGGTCCCAATGTTAAAAGCCTATTTATATTTAGATGAATTTAAACTACGGTTGTTTTATATGCTTCGTACTTGTTACCTATATCAATGTATGATATCATTAATGTACGTGTATATTGGGCCGGTGTAGGCCATATTGTGATATTATTGTATTATAAGATAGTTGTAGGATCGAGTGTGCCTCGGAAGCTTAACACTTTATATAAGACTTAGTTTACATTGCCTTTATATATTTATATTAGATTTTTTTTTATATTTTAATTAAAAAAATTTATAGATACAGATAAAAAATATTTTTCATAAGCTTTTCAAAATGAAATATATTTTTTTTTTCCGCCCAAATATATGGCTCCTTATATATCAGGTCAGTGTAAACCAAGACTTATTTATTAATCGTTTAAATGAAGTAAGGCTCGTTTGGCAGTACGTTATTTTATATAACAAGCTTGAAATAAATTATGTATTCTGCTGGACAGTGTAGATTTTGTATTAAAGTGTTACGGATGTTACACTTTTGAGGCACTTTGTGTAAGTTTCGTAAACTTTTAGTTTGTAACTATTGCAATATCTCAGTGTTATTTTTAATATTGTTCAATTGTTTTTTTTTTAATGTAATTCTTAACGTATGAATGATGAATTGAATTCAAGAATGTATTGTATTTTTCTTCAATTTAATGAAATATTCCTGAACTTTTTAATATTGGGAATTATGTAGCATTCATTTTATTGTAATAAATATGTAATACTCAGACGATTTATATGGATACGGCTCTTGTTTGAATGTGTGAGTATGTGTGCGTGCGCTTAAAATGTTACTGTGATTCGTGTTTTACCATTAATGTTTGATGAATATATAATTTTTTGTTGTTTCGCATAATAATTGTAGTGTCTTAGTCAATTTTAGTCACTGTTAGGTTGCTTCCTGAAAATTTGTGATTTCTTTACCAAAAATAATGTTTAGGTCAAAACTCAGACTAAATGGTTCAAATATGACAGAGTGTACAAAAATGAAATCAAGAGGCTATCACTGTTCTTCACGCTCTCTCTGTATTGTGTTAGTCTGAGTGTTAAGATGGAAATATATCTGATCTAATAACTTGTAAAAATCTTTATTATATACCATGTGGTTTGGGCATTATGTAACAATGCTAAGCTAACATCGATAAGACGTACTAAAATTTATATTACCCTTTAGCAAATGAGTATATAATTCGTATTTTATTTTTAAATAATAATAGGAAAAATAAAAAAAGTAATATAATATATAAAAAAATAATTTTCCTGCGACTATTTAAAAAACAATACTTTGAGTTTCTACTGTGGCAATTTGAGATATATTTTCATCTTAATTTTAGACTGTGATTGATGCTGTTATGTATGAACGTTCTCGTTTGAAAGATTTTGAAGAAATATGTTTTGGCTATTTTTATTTGTTTTTGCCAATTTTTATATTAGGAGTGTTTGTCCAAAAGTATGCTAAAGTATTATAAGAACAATAATAATTTTAATATATGTATTTGTAGGAGCAACTTCGATACATACAAATATCGTTTCACAATAGAGTACTTTGTATAATACAATTAGATGTTTTCCCTATGTATATTCCGAGACAATTTCCAAATAGATTTTGAATTAAATAATAATCAAATAACCTTTTCGATTGTTTTATTATGAATCTTTTCTTCAGCATCCTCGGTTTTATTTTTAAATGAAAAAATCAGCAGGTTTAATTACAATCCTACTAATATTATAAACGCGAAAGTTTGTAAGAATGTATGTATGTTTGTTACTCTTTCACGCAAAAACTACTGAATGGATTTTGATGAAACTTTACAATTATATAGCTCATACATCAGAATAGCAGATAAGCTACTTTTTATCCCGGAAAAATGTACGGTTCCCGTGGGACAGATTTCTTTTTGTTTTTCTAGAGGAGAACCTGAGCGAGGCGAGGGCGAGCGGCTAGTTTATGCATAACTAGCGACTTACCCTCGCTTTGCTCAGCTGCGTTCCTAGGTGCGTTTAAATTTGATAAAAATAGTACGATTTTACCTTAGGAGATAGGCACATGCTATTGTGGACTTTTCTGTAGGCCTTTTTAAGACCTACAATTTTCTAGTACATTGTTTCAATGTATCTCTTGAGATTTAACCAGCGTTAGTAGTGTTTTCTAAGGATGACTGAACAGAACTAGTTATTGTGTTTTCCCGTGGGAATAAAAGATTTCACTATAGTTAAAGGTACCTATCCTAGATGTTGATCCGAGTATTAAATTATTACTACACAAAAATTAGTTAAAATTCGTTCAATACTTTTGTGTGAAAACTAAACAGACAAACCGACATGAATTTCAATAACTATTGTTTTGGAATACTTATTCGTATTCTGTACACAATACGTAACAAAAATATTTTATGTACAGATTTCGCTTTGTTATTTTTTTATATGTATAGAACAGAGTGTTTTATCATATATTCTTCTTTATATCGTAAATTTTTATGGGACGAGAGAATGCAAGTCATTATTTTCCTATGCCAAGTTGTAAACAGAAAACTAGTTTCATGAATACATAGTACGTCTTATGTTATTTTGCAGTTGTAGGCGCTTAATTAATCAATTATGCATTTTGAAATACCTTACTTGATAATAATATTATATCAACGACACGTTTGGCTCAGTTTGTAGTGACCCTACTTGCCATGCCAGCGGTCGCGGGTTCGAGTCCCGCTGGAGGCATTCATTTGTGTGATGAGCACGAATGTTTGTACTCCAGTCATGGGTGTTTATATTTATGTATGTATTTAAAGTTATATATGTATAGTGTATCAACTATCTGGTATCCATAACTCAAGCCTCGTAGCTTACGATGAAACTGAATGGTTCTGTGTGTTAATGTCTTAACATATTTATTTATTTATCGATTTTAATATTTACTATCTTACATGAAACGTCTGTGTGTGACTTCGCCGGAATAAATTGTTTTATTTCTTTCAACGTACATAGGTAGTGCCATCTATTGGTAATTTAGAACTAAAGTTTCTTTTATAATAATATTACAGAGAACTATTAGTCCATAGGAACTGAAATAAAAAAGTATCCTTTGTTTTAGTCCACAACATGGATTATGACTTCATATCCTCTTGTAGGTATCGTAGAAGACGACTAATAGAACTAGGGACATCGCACCTTGAGTGTCTTGCTCGATGGCGGGCGAACAACAGCATTTCCAAAGAGGATTGACTTCAGGCAGAAATCAGAATGCCAGTCTGAAAACAATTGCCAAAACCAATAAGCAATATGGAGTCCATACCATGGACATACTGCACCGACCCTGATTGGGAAATAGGCAGATTTGGCCCTTTATTAAAATTCTTATAACAGTTTGAGTGTGATTGTCAATGTATTTTTATAATACTAGATACGCTTTTAGAAACTACCTAATAATTATTTAATTTCTAATTTTTATTTGGTAAGAATTCTGAAAACATTTAAAACTTGCATTAATTTTACTAAAGATAAAAGAGCAAATTAAGGTCTAAGTAAAGCACGAAAAAAAAAAATTATACTCCATCCCTATTTAACTCCATGGGGGGGGGTGGGGGTGTTAAATTTCAATAATTCCTAGTGGCAAAGCTATAATAAAGTATTAGGTATAAAGAATATTTTTGATGCGGCTCAGTAAAGATACTTCTTTCATTATGTTATTTTGCATTTATAGTTACTGAATGCGGTTTAGATAAGATAAAGAGCTACGTTTTTAACATAATAATAATATAGTTACAACGATTATAATCTTTTTTTAAACAGTTACATTTATATAGTTACTAGCGACTCACCCTCGCTCCGCTCGGGTTCGTCCCTGGGGTGGGGTCTGGGAGGACCACCCTTATCCTTATCACTTAGGGGTATGGAAAATAGATAGTAGCTGAATCTCATACCTACTGAATACGCATATAAAATTTGGTAAAAATCGGTAAAGCCGTTTCGGAGGAGTACGGTAACTAACATTGTGACATGGAAATTTTATATATAAGATTTCGAAGTTATTTACAGAAGTATATTTTGAAATCAAGTTACTATAACATTAAAACCAGTTTATTTCCATACTTGTACCCGCAAGTCAATAAAGCGTTGATAAATAAAAATATATTAAGTAGGTATAATGTAATCTATTATAAAATGGGTGTGTCCGAATAGACCATTCTGATAAATATATCAATCACAAATAACTTACAAATCTATGACGAAACAGTACCTACTATGAATATAATGTATTTTATAGTTATTAAAAATATATTGAAGTTGAAATTTTTTCTTATTTAATTAGTAAAAATAATCTAGATCTCGACAACAGCGCCATCTGCCAAATCCGATCCAACTATAGCCAAAAACCATCCAGATGGCCCCATAAACAAGCAAAAACTCATCAACATCGGTCAAGCCATTTAGAATAGGAATTACGAACATACGCACTCCTTAATTTTATATATAAAGATATAGTTATCTACTTGTATTAAATTCCTACGATTGCACCATATCATACAAACGGCTATATATGTTTTGAATTTACGGATACCTGTTATCGCGTAAACAAGCGGTACTGATTTGCATACCTGCTGATATTCCACTAAGATCTAATAAACATGTCGCATTTAAGTACCGCAGTATCTCGAAACGTTCGTCTTATCAGGTCTTGTACAATATGGAAGAGTTAAAGGTTAGTGTTTCTCTTTGTTTTTATTTTTTATTTTAGCTTACATATTATTAATGTTTTTGAGGATTAAGTAGATTTTAGTGGTATTTTGTTATCGTTCACCTTTTATAAGATTATGTATTAATTAAAATACTTTTGGGGCTCTTTTAAGATGAATTTAATCAAGAATTTCAATGTTTTTTACATTTTCCTATACATTTTATGTAGGTACTCGTGGCGTTTCAAAAAAAAATCTTACATTACATACTATCTTAAAAATAAATTAATACTACTTCGTATTATTTTGCCTTATAGTTAAGTGTTAGGTATATCAAGAAATTTTATCTTTCTAGCCTAAAGTGTGTAAATAAAACTAATCTTTACTTAATTATGTAGGTATCTATTTATAATTTGACTTGTTTTTAGATAGCTGGGCTAAAATAACGCAAAATTTTTTTTTTCACATTTAATATTGTAATATAGGTAATATTAAACTATTTTAATAATCGTTATACTTTGAAGTGGTTATGAAAATATTTAATTATTTTTATTAACAAATATATATTTTAATATTGTATTGTCCAATAGAGGTTATCAAAGAGTATAGTTATATATGGAGGTTATTTTTTACATTAGGTACATTGGTTAACTTACGAGAAAAACTTGTTAAAATAGGTCCACTTATTAAATTTTAATATTATTTCAATATTAATTTATATTATATCCTTCTAATTATGATAGTATCTGTCGGGCTTCGGATCTGAGTTTTCAAGTGAGGATCCTAGAAGGCCCGGCGCGTTACCAGTCGGACAGAACAGCCCGCAAAGATGCGCGTACGGCTTGTATGCAGAACAACTGTCCGGCAGTGCCTTCACCGCACCTCGGCATGACAACAAACGCTCTTGGCTATATAGGTTAATAAGTAATTTAACATTACATTTAAATGATACTAGAAATCTCTTTCTAATCTAAATATTTTGTTATTATTGACTTATCTTCGTTTTTCGATTATTATTTTTTTTTCTTTTTTTGGTTCGCTCGTACCCGGCCCTGGACCCTTAACATGCCTATACGTTTGTGCAGGTCTATTGTTTCATCTAAATTCGGCCAGCCAGTAACAAACATACATATATTATAAATACACAGACAGACTTTCGTATAACTTATACCTACTAGTAATTAGTCCCCTAATAATTAATACTATAATATTTTATATTTTAGAATCCGTCCATCTGTTGTACATAAACCATTCAAACGGTCAAATATTGCAAAGTACCTTACACACAATTGGGATGACGCTGAACCAGACCCTAATCAGGTAGACTATTCGATATTTTTTTTTTCTCATATTAACGATAGATGGCGTTTATCCATTGATATTGGACTTTTTTTTAATTCATACACGTTAAAAGAGGTAATACATTATGTATGTTTAACGAAGTACATTTTAAACATTTAAAAATGCGTCATTTTAACCTTATTTTTAACTTTATGTAGTACTTAGTTCATAAAACATATAGATGGCATCTATAAATACTTACTAGTAAAATTAATACAGAAAAATTTCGATTATCCGGGGCTCGATTATCCGGGGTTTTTTCCTCTATTAATTTTCTCTTTAATTTTCCTGATTAACCGGGGATTTGATTGTTCTACCGAAAAATAAATTTTAATTATCTGTAAATTCGTTGTTTTGTTAAAGTTTTCATGTAATATAAACACATATAGTTTCACTGTTATGTATTTTGTATATTACATATTATGTAGAAAATATGTTTTTCCATAAAAAAAATTTTTCTACGGTTATAAATTAGGATGTTTCTTGTATCCTCATAGTCATAACAAATTCGATTATCCGTGGTTTTCGATTAACCGTGCACCTCCCTCCCGGTCGAATTACCCCGGATAATAAAGGTTCTATTGTATATAATATTTTCTAAGTATATTCGATTCACATCAAATATTATCATTTATCAATGCTTTTAATACATGAAAAACTAAGGGTAACTAATCTAATGAACCAACGGTTTTATTTCTCTATACAGTCTCGTTGGCTGCCATTCGATATTCCTACAACGGACAAAATGGACTTCGTAGCAGGGTTTCATACAGTGTGCGGCGCCGGTGACCCGCGCTCGAGACATGGGATCGCTATACACGTGTATTTATGTAATGTCTCGATGGACAAGAGCGCGATCTATAATGCAGATGGAGATTTACTTATAGGTAAATTAGTATTTATAGTTTACACATATGGTGTTGCTTAAACCTTCCTTCTTTATTGATATATAAGTTTATAGAATCAAAGAAAATAAAACGAATTTTACTTTTATATACCTCAATGCTACAAGAACAGAAAGAAATGACATATTTTTTCACATCGTATTATGATAAAGTTTGTAATAATTTATATTTTTATTGTATAAAATCTTAAGTATTTGCACTTTTCTCATTCAGTGCCTCAACAAGGTATTCTAAAAATAACGACAGAGTTTGGAAAAATAGATGTACGCCCTAACGAGATAGCAGTTATTCAACTTGGTATGCGATTTTCTGTTGCAGTGGAAGGACCAAGCCGGTAATAACTTTCAATCATTCTCAATTATACTTTTTCACTTGACAGAAAAAATATATAAGTAAAAATCATAACAAATTATCCCTGCCTAGTAAATTTGTAGCGCAATAGAATGGCCGTTTGGCACTGTTAGCACTCGTTAGTCAAATGGCTCGAGACTGAAGTTCCTGGGTTTTTGGTTGGAATGTCCCCCTTGTCACAGAGAGCTCAGAGTATGTAAAGTAACACGAGTGTATGGTAGGAGGACATTTATTATGTCGGAGGTAGTGAGTTCGATTCGACATAGAAATGTTTCCAATAACGTTTTGGTCTAGTTGTGACAAAAGGCATCTTTGTGTAACACCACCTATTAAGTGATGTTTTGAGAAGAAAGAATCGCTATCAAATCATATACATATATATCATGTATATTATGTAATAAATTCTTTAAGAACGTACGTAAGCACTTAAATAATACAAATAATGAAAATTTTTATTATGATGATTCAAGACTATTTTTCTCTGGTTCTTATATTACATACATACTGTTACATTCTTTTTAGGGGTTACATATTAGAGGTATTCGACGGCCACTTCAAGCTGCCGGACTTAGGGCCTATTGGGGCCAATGGCTTAGCCAATCCTCGAGATTTCCTCACTCCTGTTGCTCATTATGAAGATTTGGAAATACCTGGTAATTAATTACATGTATTTAATTATTTTGCCAACACCTCGATGTCCAGCGTTCCACAACAGTGCGATTTTTAAGGCATTTTCTGCCCCGCACAACCACTCTGTGGAACCAGCTATCGCCGGCGGTCTTTCCGAACCGCTACGATCTGGCCACCTTCAAGAAGAGAGCGTATTCCTTTCTTAAAGGCCGGCAACGCATCTGCAAGCCCTGCGGTGTTGCAGATGTCCATGGGCGGCTGTGATCACTTTCCATCAGGTGAGCCTCCTGCCCGTTTGCCCCCTTAGTCCCATAAAAAAACATGTCTAGTGGATCTGTTATGCTAAGACTATCTAACTTACTACTTTGTACTGTATACTATAAGATTTGTTATATTTTAAAGACAGCATCGAAAACAATGCCCCATGATACGACCAATGTATATAGAAACGACATTTCATGTACCTACCTACAGATTAAGCTTATTTTCTAAATAATTCTTAAATATTTTTCTAAATTTAATAATTTTCCATCAGGATTCAAAATAATAAGCAAATATCAGGGTGCTTTATTCGAAGCGGAGCAAAATCACTCGCCTTTCGACGTCGTAGCGTGGCACGGCAACTACGTGCCATACAAGTACGACCTGAGCAAGTTTATGGTCATCAACTCAGTATCCTTCGACCACTGTGTAAGTGATTTATTGAAAATTATCATTTTCCTATAATAATTTAATGTGGCTGTTAAAAACATTAACTCCTCTTTTATATGAACTATTTTAAATTCTTTTGTCAGATTAAATAGTCTTTTATTTTATACGTATAATTAGATGTGGTTAATTTTAGAAAACATGAAGTGATACATATTATGCATATTTGTCGTAAAGTTCTTTCTGTTATAACGTATACCTATGAGGTTTTATAACTGATTAATACCATTAAATTTTATGTAATGTAGCAAAATATTATTAATATAATATGGGTTCCGAAAAATTACAGGATCCGTCAATATTCACAGTCCTAACATGCCCTTCAACGAAACCAGGAGTGGCCATCGCCGACTTCGTCATTTTCCCGCCGCGTTGGTCGGTGCAAGAGAACACGTTCCGACCGCCTTACTACCACAGTAAGTTATGATGAAAATAGCAAATATCCGATATAAGTACATGTATATTTATTTTAAAGTTATATACGTACCTACTTATATAATTATCCCACAGTTGTGAACGCACTATTTAATTATAGATATTTCGTGAAGACTCTATTATAGTTAATAATCATCTATCTATATTTATATATTCAAGAGCTATTAACTATAAACCACTACATATCGCACAACGAAAAAATAGATACGGTTCTAATTCGCCACTCTTACGAAGCTTTAAATTATATAATTTTAAATTTCAGCAATGTGATATAGACATTTTTTCTGATAGTTTAAATTTATTCAAAAAGTGTATTTAAATATTTAGACTAGTTTTATTTTTTCTTCTTTTGTTTATTGTACACATAAAATTTTAATGGAATAATTCTATAAAAAGATATGCATACTTTTAAATTAAATTTATATACAAATAGGTAAAATTATAATGTCTAATAAATGTTTTTATGTAAATTTAGTTAGTAAGCCTTTATAATAAATAAATAAATATTCAAAAAGTCTATAGTATATATACCATAAACTTTTTTTTTATAAACGAAAAAACAATGATTTCGTAATATACGCTGTAAAAGGTTAATAAAGAATCGATTTTTAATTATGTAAAATTAAATAAATTATATTATCTACTATGTAGTAGTAGGCACGACATCTATTCTAAGAAAATAAAGTATGAGTGATGTCTATTTTTAATCAAACTAATTGTTGTGCTCAAATTGTTTTAGTTAATTAAGACACGCCTTAATTAATTAAAACAACTGCCGTGTAAAAGGACAATCAATACCTGTAAGGCATGTTTTACACAATTTTGTAGACACAGACAAGGTTTAGCTAAAAATGAAAATATTATCATATAGAAATAATCTGCTATAAATTTAATTAAATAAATGTTTTTTTTTGCTTATAGGGAACTGTATGAGTGAATTCATGGGGCTTATATTGGGTTCATACGAAGCCAAAGAAGGCGGGTTCTTGCCCGGCGGCGCGTCCCTCCACTCCATGATGACGCCTCATGGACCCGATGTTCAATGTTTCGAATCCGCATCAAAAGCCGAACTAACACCACAGAAAATCGCCGTCGGAACTCAAGTAAATAACATACACCTGTGGAATACTAGCGATTCACCCACGGGCACATCCCTAGATGCCTAACAATAGCTATCTGCGTACAAAGTTTCATCCAAATCCATCCTGCCGTTTTAGCGTGAAGGAGTATTAAACATACACGTACACTCATACAAACTTATACAATTATATTATATAGAAAAGCACAAACACATTCATTATTCCAGTATAAAAAGTAGCTTATTGTTTGACCGGCAATATAAGGTATCAGCATGCCAAATTTTACTAAATTAGGTGCATAAGTTGTTGTGTACTAAGCTGTATAAATTACTATAATTTGTTAACTATCCCACGGGAACTCTTTAATTTGCCGGGATGAAAAGTATCTAAAATGTTGACTAAGGATATAAAGTACCACCATGCAAAATTTCAATTAAATCGGTTTAACAGTTTCGGAGATTAGCCCGTACAAACAGACAAACGCACAAACAGACAGAGAAACAAAAAAATGAAAAAACTTGGATTTGTTCTATTTCTCTTCTTACATCCCCTGACTCGGTTTTTAGCATTTTTTTATGAACAGACATTCGACTTCTACAGTTTTATTATATGTATAGATAAAAAAAAAACAATCATATTTTTCTTTTCAGGCATTCATGTTCGAGTCCTCCCTGAGTATGGCTATCACGAAATGGGGCTTAGAAACATGTCAAAAATTAGACGCAAAATATTTCGAGTGTTGGCAGCAACTGCCTAAACTATTTTCTGAAAAATTGAATGTTTAATTTTCATTACCTAATAAAGTTTTTTTTATATTACACAAAACATAACACAGTTATTACAGTAGAAATAATAACAAGCATCCTTGACAAAACTTGCGAACATCCGCTATATTGTAAAGATCTTGTAGCATATTCCTGTAAAAGCTTGCAGTCCACTTTCCTTTTTAACTGCGACGAATCTCTCGAAACACGTATCATGAAACATGTCATTCCTGATTCCACTCTTATAGAAGGTCCTTTAACCTGAAGAGCATCGACCACTGTAGTACTCGTCACTGTTGTACTAGAATTGCCATCTTTAGTTACATTTTGCACTGAAGTAACAGTTTTTGTTACAACATTACTCGTTCCGGCATCCATTAACACCCCTTTTTTGTCGCTATCAACTTCCCAAATAAAACTTGACATCAACTTACATTCAATTCTAGTTTCCTCGTATTCACCGTTTGTTTTGCTTATTGCAAGCTTGCATATCTCACCGGGATTTCCCCTATACTCTCTATTGTAATCTCTATTATGATAGTTGTCATGATTGGCAGACATTCTGCCTAAATTGTATAATGCGAGTCCCGTAAGTAGTGTATCGAAGCGACTTCCCGAATCCCTATATTGGTAAACGTATATTGGAGGTTGTCCTTGATAAACTGGATGCTGAGAAGATCCGTAGCTTATGTGCTGTGGAGGGCTATAGTGGTAATGATGATGTACTTCATTACTGTGAGTGGGTCTAAAGCCATGAGAACCTGTGTTCCCAGAAAGTCCTGGAGCTTGAGGGTAAGTATGAGTTTGAGATGCGTGAGGATAAGTATGAGTTTGAGTCGGGTGTGGATGAGGATTGCTTGGAAAATGATGGGTTCTAGTACCCGAATAACCCCCACTTCTTCCCGCAAAAACTGGAGATGTAAAACAGCAAAAACACGTAATAACTAAATATTTAAACGACATTTTGGTAATGCTTACAGCTTTCAACTGTTACGCGCGACTCGAGCTCCACTCCCTGTAGAATAGAGCAATCACATAAACTGTTTTTACACAGGGTTGTCACATAACTTAAGAATAATTATTCTAATGAAATTTTAGGATATCAAAATTAATATTACTCCTAATAACTTCCTGATTTATTATGTAATAACTGTTAGGTATTGGTTTAATTGTAATATTTGATGTCGGAACATTTTGTTTCAAAAACAGTAACTGTTAGTGAATATGCGAAATCTATCCAGATTATTTATAATACCTACTTTTAATTGTATATGTGAGATACAAAAGAGAAATCAAAAGATACATAAGTACCAAACAGGTCATTCATTTTTTTATAACCTGTTATTTCAAAGAACATATGTATATAGCATTCCTGAGAATTTCTTATGATATAATGTTACCCTTTATGTTTTAAACAAATTGAATTTCTACATTCACTAATAGAAAACTTAAAAATTTGATCATGTGATGACTGACGTCATACAGCGAAGAACATATATAATTTTTTTTTGTATTATTAAAGATTGCTTAGACTTTAGCATATAGCGATTATAGAATGCACTTGTAATCATGTAAATGTACTACATACATCTAAAATGAATTTATAAGCATACGACATCAATATATCAAAACCTTTTAACATTATTACTCAGTAGGCAGCCCTGACCATGACGCATTGAGGGAGGGTTCAGACAGTAAACAATAGGGGTGGAACGATCCCATTGAAAGTAAAATCAAACGCTAAAACAAAACGTAAATAAATTCCGTTGTTATTGATGCTAATTACATTATTTTGGTTGAAATACGGTCATTTTATCCACTTCACAAAATTCAAGGCGCAATACTCCGTACTCGTATAACTTTTGTATCATTAGTTATTACGTCGTAGGTCGCAAATTTGATTTCCACGCGACGTTTGTTTCCACTAACACCACTCAGATGTTTAGTTCGGTCTGTTTAAAAAGAATTTTTTTTTTTTTAAATAAAACTATCTTTTCGGATTTTTTCGCGAATTTATTTTGATTTTTGGTTTCCGACGTTTACTATATACTACGACATCTATTATCTATTCAAGCAAACAAAAATAGCCCGAATTAGCGCTGTCCAATTTCTTTATATGGGATGAGGCATCTCAAGTAGTATAATATATAGTATTATGTGATCTGTGCTGCTAAGCATCAGCCAATGCTTTAAGCCCCAAGGTTTTATCAAAAAGAATAATTGGTTCAAGTAAATGCCAATAGATGGCGTAGTACGAAATGATCTGAAAACTAAATGTCAGGAAGGTTACCTGAAGACATTTTAAGTTTGATTTGGAATATTTTTATTGCATAAAATTAAATAAATTTTTTCATTACATATATACGATTCCTACTTTTCATGTTAAAGTTACATAATGTGTAAAAAAAATTTTCGCTAAACTTCCTAAGGAATTTTATTTTCTATGATTTAAAAGCCAATTTATTTTACTTAAAATATATAAAACTAGTTTTCATCCGCGTATTTCAACTAATGTCAATTACGTTGCAAAAATTAACGTTAAAATTATTTTGATTTTAGAAGTCCAATATAAGCTCAATAAGGGTGTGTTTCTATTTTAAAACCACAAAATATTATTTAATTTTTTTTTTTATTAAATTTTAGAGAATACGGATGTAATAAAACAATTTTGTTCACTTGAGATAGTTTTAATCATAATAATAATTAGCAGACCTTAAAATTACATTCCATTACTGTAAACATAAATACCATCCGTCAGTCGCTCTTTGACCCGTGACTCACAACTTAGAAAGTGACCATGAGGCCGACAAAACTAAAAATAACTTAAAAAACGAGCCATTATTAATTATTACACTGCAAAAATTAAAATTTAAAATAGAATTGCAACTATTTGAACATAATTCTAGTCTAATGGATCGACGATAGTTCCTTTAAAAAAAATATTGTGGCCTAAAAGAGTCGGTTTGAATGTTATTTTTTGAGGTTAAAGAAACTATGCATCTCACTCACATTAGGTGATAATTATAATAATTAAACAAACTTAAATTAAATCCTCAGTGACAATCAATGTCCTTATTTATTATTAGCAAAATTTGGTTGCACGCGATTCTATTAAAATAGGTTTCAAATGCGTACACGACAATGCTTCGTAATACAAAATGGAACGAAATATATAAATGTAACAAAAATAGGCTTCTCTGAACAAAATGTATACATGATGTTTGCGTAAATCCCTCCGAGATTCATCCGCACTGACCCGCACATTGGCCCCTACAATCTTTAGTCCAGCATCAAGAACATCGTCATAAAATTTAGAACGCCTAACGTAGTTTAAAACCCTTTATAAAAGTGCCGTATTTTAAAACCTCAATTTTATTTTGTATCACTTTAAAATTTTCAAATCTATCTATAGATATTCTTGTACTGGAGTAAAAACGTGCATCTTCCACATCGGGCCATATTAAAAAAAAACGCACACGCAGAAAACAACATCTGCACGTAGAAACAAGAACATTTAGCACATACATAATTTTAAATATCCAATCCGAATCCAGAAAATATTTTTCTCTATAAATTCAATTTTACAATTTTGTACAAAATCGACATTTTCACCCGCTATATGAAAAAGTGGTCACAATGAAATCAAATCTTAATTATGTATTCGTTTTTTAATACTTTAAAAAATGTTCAGTTCCATATTGAATGGTTCACTTAGTGTAGTGGTGCCTAGCCGTGGTTGACGTTGACGCCCGACTCCAGCTCCGACGCGGGCGTCTCCGGCTCCTCGTCGTTGTAGATGTTCTCCGCCATTTGCCACACCTGGATTAAATTGTTTTTTTATTATATTTGTACGCATATACACAACATAAAATTAACTTTCAGTTACGATAAGAACACCTTTTGACGTGACCATCAAGACGAATTACATGAACTCAAATTCAAAGCTTATGGTAGTTATTAAACCTATTACTATGTTACGTCCATATTACTATGTAATTGTTGCATCGTAGGTATTGGTGGGGTCGTCATAATAATACATATAAATTAAAATGAGTTTAAAATAAATTTCTATATGTCAAGTGATACAAACGAAATTTTGTTATAAACTTGTCAATGTCACTCAAAAAAATAAAAAAATATATAAAAAGAATTTAAAAAATGAGATCACACCTGCATTATATTATCCTCAGAGACAGAACAAATGACCCAAGGTTCATTGGGATTCCATGAGAAGTCAGATATCTTGGCGGTGTGACCTCCGTGTATGAACAACAGTTCTGGTGGTCCATCTTCCGCATCCTCTGCGGTTTGCTCTTCACCAATTTTGGATAGATCCCATACGTGTAGTCTGAAATAAGTTTTATTAAAAAAAACCAGTGTTATAAATCTTTTTTTAAAATGTGGACTATTGTCATATATTTTCTGTATCAAATCAATATTGCCTTTAATTATTCAATTCATAATTAGCTAGAAAAAAGACTTAATTTGTTTTTAAGCTCAATCCTTAAAATGCGTGTTCTAAGTAATAGAATTTTTTACTAAACATATTGTATTAATAAAAATATATGTAAAATAAAAGTAGCCAATTCATTATCTATGCTGTTTCATAACAAAAAAGTGACGTGGATATGTCAAAAACTTAAAAAGGTAAAAAAAAAAACAATAAATAAAAACACAATACAATAGAAAAACAAATGCATAATATCAGAGTAGACAAACAGCGAGGCATACCTCCTATCGGTGCCGCTTGAAGCAAGAATAGTTTCGTTGTGCGGAGACCACTGCACTTGGAAAATTTCATCCTTGTGTGATTCGAACGAATGCAACTTCAATTTCAAGTTACGTAAGTCCCATAACGCCACCTACAAAAATAATAACATTATTATGTCAAATTTTATCATATACTGGTATTACAAGCGTAACTCTGCTCGCCTATTATGACTGAAAGTGATAAAATAGTCAGTTTTTCTACTAATTAAGTCTCTCACATGACCAATATAGCTGTAAACATAAAGCATTCAAAACATTAGGGACCAAAACTCAATATAGATCCACGAAAAAAAACAAAAAGATGCTAGATTTTATAATAACTATATTCAAAGTTATATAATTTTCCTATACATTAGTATAGTTAAAAAAGTAAATATTATTGTACTATATTGGCCTCTTAAACATATACCATTTAATTTATGATTCTTATTTTAAATAACAATGATTAATTTTGACTATAACATATGAAATGCATTTTTACATGTAAGAAAAATAAATAAAAATTCATAATATTTTTTATAACTTTCTGAATTTGGAAACCTTATAATATTAATTATAACCTACAATAAAATAAAATCTTTATATGTACAAACTATAAATATTAATTATTGTAAATACGTTTTCGTACCGTTTTATCAGCACTGCCTGTGGCCAGTATGAACTCGGAGTAGGGGTTGAAGCTGAGGCAGTTCACTTCCGCCGTGTGCGCATCCACGGTGTGCGATGGCTTAGAGGTATTGTTACACCTAAATAAAAACACACGAAAACAATAATAATAAATAGTATGAGAAAGAAATATTTCTTTGACTTTAAAAATTCAAGATGCGCATTGATTTTTGCCAGCTGAAAAATGAAAGATTGTGCAAAAATCGCAGGAATAAAATAAAATTAAATTTATAATATGTCAATAGATATTTTTAAATAAATATTTTATGATGTTTAATGATTCCAAATTATTTCATAACCTTAACATGTTTTATTTCTTTCTTTCACAAAGAATTTCTAAAATTAAGTTAAACATGCACCGTAATATTATTGACCTCCAATTATCATTAAAGATGGAAGATGGCGCTGACTCCTGACATACAGGTTTATTCTAGTTTGGGAGTCAGAGGCTTCAACAGGCTTATGTAACAACAAACAATTGTGTCAATAAAGATTCTATTCTATTCTATTTTATTTATTAAATTATGATATTTTATAATTCATAAAATTATAATACTTTTTATTTATATTTTATTTTATTGGTGTTGTTTTTAAATTTGTTTGTTAAAATTAATCCATGCTACAAGTATATCCACTTTAAAAGGTGATGCATTTCGGATTAAGTTACATTGTATTTTTAACCGTTTCCCTGTCCCATGAGTCATATATGAACATTTCGATTGTTTAACTATTGTATCTATTTTGCGGGCAGTTAATCTGTTAATATAAAAATAATGTATTAATGTTATTATCACTAGTGGATCTACATAAATAAATAAAAAAAGTGATTTACCAGTCTCATTGTACACTTCTATTGATATGTTGAGTTAATTTGCTTTGTGTATGGCATCACTATAGTATTCCAATTGTATTTCATAATATTAAAAAAAAATAACTATCCCGTGTCTTAACATATATATTGAATGAATGAGGGCAACTTGCACCAAAGATTGAAATAGCTTATGTCATCTTATACTATGTATTTGCCAATAATATTTAAGACATTTAAATGAACAAGATTATAGATATGACATACTTTACAAGTAATAAAAACCAACTTTAAATTACTTTTTACCTATCAACCGGCATATATGCTAATTGTAAGGCCAAGACACATTGCCATACAAAATATACATTACCTAGTATCCCAAATCATGAGTTTCTGATCGTCTGCCACGGAGCCGAAGAGCGACTCGTGCAGCAGATGCCACGCCACGTCCTCCACCACCGCCGTGTGTCCGGTGAACACCGACTTGGCCTCTATCACGCGCCCCTCCTTGGGCGTCGCGTTGATATCCCACAGGCAGATCGTGTGGTCGTCACTGCGTGCAAATGTATTGTTTACCATTAATCTCTAAACCGGTATTATAAAAGCAAAAGTTTATGATATAATACTTGTTTATGCTATAATTTATATATATTATATTCTATCACGCGCCCCTCTTTGGGCGTCGCGATTTTCCACAGACAGATAGAAATTAAATGTATAGGAATGTCTGAAAGTCTTTAAAACAAATCATATCAGCACAAACAAGATTGTTACTTCTTTATGATATAACAATACTATTATATTCAATTCAAATTTTTTGTTAAAAGCTTCAAAACATACCAATTGACTATCTATCGTGATTACACTGCTATCACATGGAATGGATATAACACAAAGTAGATACGCTATAAGAACCCAATAAAACATTTAGAATACTTTTTATAGACATTTCTACTTACTACAAATATATAAAATTATACTATTCCATCTTATTCTTCATTGACAATACAAGTGAACCTAGCGCAGTTATCATGGATAGATAGTTTATATGTAATAAAAATATTAGAAACAGTATTACTTAAATGTACCAGTAACTATGATGCACATGTTTTTTGACTTGACTTTACAAATGCAAAACCTCTTTGCAATCTCAAGATAAAAACAGTATGTATACTTTCACCCATAATTGAATCAATTGTTTGCTGTGTAAAATAATAGCATATCAGTTCAATAGCGTATCATATCATTAGTAAATACAGTTTTATGAATGAACAGAAACTGAATTGGTATGAAAGTGTTATGTAAAAAAACTACAGTACTCCTTACTTTGTCTCTATTCTATCAAGAAAAATAGAGGCTCTAAATATACAGTCTAAAAGAAAAGAGAAATACTTTTGCTTTTTGTTCTAGACAATTTTTATAGTCTGTTGTAAACATTTGCCTTTTGCAAAAAGAATCCAACTAGAAATCTTATAACAATATGTTACCTTGCAGATAGAAGATAACCATTAAGATTGGGATTCCATGACAATCCATATCCTTCTTTTTGATGACCACGCAATCTGAAAAGAAATTATAATTCAATATGTATCTATGTATTTCTTATACTGTTTTTTTTTATTATTTCTCTTTGAGTTTCTTACTAAATCTTTTATAAAAGCTCGGTATAAGGTTTGAAGAAATTAAACTTATTATAATTTACATAACTTATTTTGAACACTATATATAATAAACAATAATAAACTATAGCAGAAAAGAATAATATTCAAAACTAAAAATTTATATTTCTAGGAATAATATTGTTTAATATATTTTGTTCTAAAAATCTGTACTAAAATATCATTCCTATAACTAGTACAGAAATGTAAGAGTAATGGTGATTTGAATTAAATTTGTTATAATAAAAAAAAATATAAACTAAAATTAGATACTTAGTTGAAAATGGTCAATCAAATACCTTAGATCTGGATGACATTCTCCAGAAGGCTCAGGTTTAGAGGGATGCTTTGTGTAATCAAACACTAGCACATCAGATGAAGGTGTCTTAGTTGCAATCACACAAGGATTCTGTGGCATGTATCTTGCTCTGTTCACCTCACCCTCATGGTTAATTTTGATCTCTATATCTATTTTACCAGAAACTGATCCAAAACCACCAAATTCTAAAATAATAATATAATTTTAATCAAAAATTACAAATCAAGTTTGCAATCTTTAGATTATAAATACAGCAAACCATTTTTTATTCTTTACAACATTACTTACCACCCTTATCATTGTCATAGTGACTTGCATCAAATTGTGCATCTTCATTTGGAAGTTGCACACTAGCAATCAGAAGGTGGTTTTGTTCATCTGATGTATGAGTACCCAATATTAATCTGTAAAATAAGTAAAGCAAAACTTAACCGGCTGTCATAAAAAACAAAGGGAATAATACATAAAATAATAAAAATTCAGAATTATAAAAACTGAAATTAAATAGCACCTATGAACAGAGTAATCTTTTCCTTCAGGTCTGGTGACATCTGGTAGCCACTGTGCCGTTAAGGAGGGCCATTCCAGAGCGTGTGTCATGACCAGGTCGTATAAGAACGGTGTGTTCTTCTTCCATATTTTATACTCTTCATTGATAACCCTTTCCTCAACTGCATCGTCAAAGGTTTCTACAATAAAAACAATTATATATAACTGCTAATAAAGAAGATACATCACAACTGATAACCAAAAAAAATCTACGGCGGCCTGTCAAGAATATCTTCAATAAATCATTATGCCGATGGCACAAATTGGTTAAAGAATAAACATATTCTTACCTCCATCTCCTTTATCACCCATATTAATGCTATTTGCGAACTTTAGTTCGCAATTTTAAAGATATTTTACCACAAAAACCAACCGGCCCCGTAAAGGCGCCAAACAACAATCCTTTTCTAGCGTTGTCTGTGTTGCCAGCGTGTTACTCAAAAATTTGAATATGTTTTCAAAATCGGATTTTCGATTTTTCGACGCGGGCGTTAAAAGATTAAACTGATCTATGTTCTTAGAGTATATATAGCAGATAATCTAAGGATATGTTAATCTAGGGCTATTATGGCTAAATTAATTTAGTTGATCTAATTTTATTTGTCCATTTTTTATTGCACTTTCAGAGATACTGTTGATCAATTTTTTAGTTAAATTAAACCATAGATATTAGTTTTTCGAAGATCGAGAAAAATATCGTCATAACTCATATTGTTAGCTGGAAAATTGATAAAATTTTAATTTTTAATCAGATGGCATGCAGATAGCATCCGAACCATGTCCATCACATCTATTCATAGCCTGAAAGACTGATCGCAAGATTTATTAAAAAAAATTAGATGAATAATTTTTATAGATCAAAAGATTATTGTTTTGCAAATTATTTGGTGCATTACTGTGCAACCCATTAACCTAAATCAGCCATACTTAACCTTTTTTAATAGGAGCCACAAACACGTTTCAGTCATGGTGTCGAGGGCCGCAAGCAAAAATTATTTAGGTCTTAATGAAAACATAATTCAAAGTTAACGATGTGTTACTTTTTTTAACAAAGATATGTTATAATGCGATTTTTGATGCTGCGGCGTGCGGCGTGCGGGCCGCAGGTTGAGGATAGCTGATCTGAACCAATCAACAAACCGTACGAGTTTTGGTTAAAACCTTTGGCTTTACTTTTTGGATACTTTTATCCACAGATGATAAAGTAAATCGAGTTTTGTCTTTTATTTGTCATTCATGGTTTTTAATATTGTGTAAAAGCCATGGATGACAAATAAAAGTAAAAGCTATGTACCGTATCGTTGGTTCCTGATTTCGGAAATCTAATCACCAGAAAACATTTACTACTGAAACAAGATAATATATAAAAATAATAATTAACGATGCATTTTGAATAAGGTCGAATATTTATATTCTTAAAGGTCCTGTACCCAAAAGAAAAAAAAACTAAAAAGTACAACTTGTTGCCTGTCCGTGTGTAGCAGTCATCCATAGATGAATAATAAAACACTCGTCTAGTTGCAAGCTCAAAGCTATAATGATTAATGCTAAAATTTGTTAGGTAGATCTGATGTCTGGTGTAAACCGCTAAAAAAATCTAGATGTGGCTTCCAAAAAAATTACAAAAGCATTCAAAGTATCTTTCTACGCCCTTAAAATTGAGAAAGATATTTCTTGGTATGTAACTTTTTTATTAAAGTAAATTTTAAAATTATGTAAATATTGGCCACAATGCAGCACGATGAACTGTGTCGCAAGTATCGTAAGCCGAATATTTTGAATCTATAACTCCCTGTAACATAAAACATTGTCATTTGTCACTTGTCAAATTGCCAATATGGCTGATGCAGCAATAGCACGTCGAGAAGCACGTAGAAGAAAAATATTAGAGAATTCTCAAAATAGACTTCAACTTATATCAGGAAAAAATGGCAATGAACTTTGTAAAGGTAAGTTTTATTAAAAATTTACAAGTCTATATCGTCGTCGACTTTATAATAACTGTTACCGAATTTACAGAATCTCTAATCAAAGCGCCTATTATTGAAACAAAGTACGAAAATTCCGTTCCAAGAGAGAGTAGCAGTACCAAAAAGTCTTCCTTTAACAACGGTGTGATAACTACTGGAGATGACCTATTTAGTTTTATATCAACAAGTCACGAGAATGTTGCTATTGGAGAAGATGTCACCGTCTCGAGTCATGACTTGGCAGCTTTAACACCGCCTGCATTTGACCCACCCCAGCAGTCAACGCCACTCTTGGAGAAATTCGCTAATAGTAAATATGACATTGTGATTTTATCTTTACTTATTCAGTTACTTTATAATTTTTCCATTACATTTGAAAATACTTTTTTCTTTCTGCCATTATTACTGTATAGTGTTACAAAATCAATATTGTACCCTAAACAGCAAAATTCAAATATTGCAAATGCAATTTTGCTTTTAAATGGAGTATCAGCCAGTAAAGTACAGAAAATAATGTCATTAACACAATGGATTAGTACATTTTCCCAAGATGTGTGTGTATTTTTATTTACAACTATTTGTACACAGCTACTATGGCAGACTGTGAGGGACTCTTTGGTGTAGTTCATTTTCTACTATGTATACACAAAAAAGGCATTTTGATGACTGACAAGTTTCTATTTTAGCAAGCTAGTTATTGGGAATGTATCATAGTTTGATTGCTTGTGCCTTTATATGTAAGTGAGATGTGACAAGTGTGCGTTTTAGTCACATATTGCCATTTTAGTTTAAATTTGTAAGTTTGTATATATATAGTGAAATAGTTTTTGTATTATGAAATGATAGTTAAATTATGTGCTGCAAGTATCTTCTGGCAGTTTTTGTTAATATTTATATTCTGAGGGACTCTTAACAACGAGAGCTGTGATGTAAACAAATGTTCTATTGTAAATATTCATGCAATACCGACTTAAACTTTTCCAATTACTGCATTTACTAAATATTTATTATATCTATTTTTGTATAATTCTTTCTATGCATTAATAGGCACAAGTTTAGTATAAGGGATGCGGCCCCTGGCGGAGTGGGTGGTATTTTTGGATAGGGGAAGTGTTAGAGAGTCCAAATATATAAAAATTATTTTGAGGAAACAAAAGAGTTAAAAGTTATTAAGACTTAAAGTTACAACATTTCCATACATTATTTAGACATTACTGCCATTTAGACACTTGGAAATATCTATCTAACTAGTCCCATATACTAAACTGCAGCCCATTAATATTATTAAAACCTTAGAAACTTTTCAGGACTTAGCCACAATTTTCTATATGTATGTACAATGTTATGTAATGCTGATAATAATCTGGTTATCTTAAGAAAATTAAGAGAAAAAAAAATTAAGTGTCAAATTTTGTAATATGATTGATTTGATATTTAAATAGGCTAAAATTTTAACTCACCATATTTTTTTTTTGTATTGAACAATAGTTTTTAGTATAATTAGTCTTCCAAACTATGTCTTTAGGGTAACCAGATTAAACATTAAAATGGGGAAAATGAGAAAAAAATGTGTTTATCATGGCAGTCTGTGACTGAAAAATTTAAACAATTGGCAGTTTTATATAACTTTATAGCTTCTTATTTTGCTCAACCATTACTTTTTATGATTATATTATGCACTTGTTATATCTTCCAAGTATGAATGTAATAATGACAAATTGTAATATGGGTGTTGCGGAATTTAATTACTGTACAACAGACAATTAAGCTGGCAGCAAACCAAAGATTTAGCAATAAAAATTTGAATTCTTGTACAATCTTAATGATATTCATTATTGATGTAAAATACATCATAGCTTCAGCTTTATCATAGCGCTTTTGTTAATGCTTTTTAACTCAAATTATTTTACACCAGCTTAGTTCTGTTGTTGTATATAGTCAATGAAATATAAATAAAAAAATATTTTAATTATATTTTGTAACAAACTTTTGAAATAAAAAATGGCTCTAATAATGTTTGTCTTGAATTTCATTTCTATTCCCTTTTGGATAAGCTGCAATAGACAAAAATGTATTTAAGTATAACATTATATTTTCACGTTTATTTCCTTAAAATCACTACTGATATGAAACAACTTGATGAAGGAAGATTTTAAATATTGGTAAAAAATAACTAAAAATAGCAAAATGTTATGAATTAAATGCACTAAGTAGTAAAAAACTGCCATTAGTTATTAAAAATCCTTGCTGCAGTTAAAATATATTACTAAAAAAACATTTTTTACTTCATTAATATTTAAATTATGTTTCATCATTATATGATGGTAGGCTTTCTAAGCAAAAATAATGAGATACTAAGTACTAAAATGTGCTACCGACTTTTAAGTGCAATATAATAAATGGTTCACTGGAAATCATTTTTATGAGGAAAAAAATAAAACAAAATTTTACAACAAAACTTTATGACTTTCAACATAAATGAAATGATGTTATACATTGAAAATTATTGTCAATTATAAACTATGCAACTAATAGTAATAGGGAATATGTATGGTCCAGCTCCTAAAAACTAACATTTTGTATAAAAATTGTTTTCAAAATATCATACAGATATATACGGATACTTTAAATGCCCACCATTTTGGTGAGAACAGGTCTAGACTCTAGACCTACACTAGATGAGTAATAAACTACTTCTAGAAGTATTAAATTCAACAGCTCTCTCTTATTATAGACTGACATCCAATTTGGTCTGACCTGTGTCGGTGAGTTTCAACTACTTTGAATTTCCCACCTATTTTTGCACTTTTATTTCACCTCTATTTAAACCACATGCATATTCCCTATTGAGGACTAAAATTTAAAGAAGCTTTTAATACTAGTTAAGAGTGTCTTACTTTTTTCTTCATTACTTTTTGAAGTATTTATTGATTCATCTTTGTTTTGTATTTTATTCTGATCACCCGTGCTCTGATATTCACCTGAGTTTTTATTTTTTTCACTAGATATTGTATAGTTTATTTCAGTTTTTGGCATATTATGGCTTTCTTCACTTTGAATATTTATATTATTTGTAAGTTGAGCCTTAACACTACTAGGCTTACTATTAGCTTTTGTATTTAAAATAACAGTTGATTTATCAGAGCACCCGAGTCCCTATTCTGATTCTTCTTTCTTTGTACTTTTTTGTCTTAGAGTTCTGGGAGGGACAAGATCTGAACGCCCAATTGAGACCATTTTTAATTTCCATGCATCTAAATCTTTCCTGTAATAAAAATTAACAAAATGTGCTTGTAATACATATCTATAAAAATATTACTGGGTTAATTTTCTATTTTAAACTTATACTTACTTATATTTATTCATTAGTTCTTGAGCCTGTTTTTCAAACTTAGCCTTTTCATTTTCTGTCAGTTTTAACCACTCTGTCTTTACTTTCTGTTGATACTCCATCATATTTTGTTTACCATTGAATGTGTCTTTTCTTGATTGAGCATATAGAAAGTAAGAAGACATGGGTTTCTTTGGGCGACCTAATTCTTTGTATTCCTGTACAATATATAAATATAACATCAATATTATCAATTATCATTTATATCTACTATATTAAATTATACAAACTGAATTACTTTGATCACTCACCGCCTTTAATTTCCGCTTTTCCTTGGCGGCAGCCATTTCATCTTTCACTCTTTTAATGTCAGCTTTTTGCTGCTCTGTTAGTGAAGACTCATACATTTGTTTAATTTTTTTGTAATCCTCAAAGTCTTTCTCATACTCTTTTACCATTTGTGATTTTGTCTAATAACATAAAAAAATATTACAAACAGAGATTAATATTTATTATATATAATATTTATATATAATATTTAAATAAATTAAGCAGAAAATATATTTATTTATATACCTCACTATCAAGTTGTTGCCAATGTTTAGAGCTCCATACTATAGCCTCTTTAGGACTAATGCCAGGATTCTTCGCTAGAAGAGCAGGTCGCATTTGTACCATAAATTTAAAAAAAGGTGTTAGAGGCCTTTTTGGTTTTTCTATTCCTAATTTTTCTTCTGCTGATTTCTTTGTATAAGTACATATTTGTGTTGGATTAAACCAATTTATTCTGTAAGGTAAAATAAGCTAAATAAACAAAAAGTATATTATGACGAATATGTCTTTAATTATATTTGTGGCGTACATAAACAGACCAAGCGTCATAACCTCAATCTTACCGTCCTAACAAAATATTTCTATTACTTCCAGTTATAAAAGTAGCAATGCGACAAAAACTATTTATTGGAGACATAATAAAAAAATGTAATTAATAAATTTTCATAGAAAACTGTTCGCTTTTGTGATTACTAAAAATACCATACAATGTCAAATGTCAATAGACTATTAAAAAAAATCGAATTAAGTTAAAGAAGGTAATACTTCTCTATGGTTATAACTTTTGTGACTAATGTCACTAAATACTCACACTCAGTGTCAGTAGAAGAAGAGCTTCAAAGCACAGACTATAGACCGGTTTCATCATAGATATGCTGTCTATCATTGACAATAATAAGATAACATATTAAATTGCTTATGTAATATGTATGATTGCCGAGATAAAAACTATCCTATGTCCTTCTCAGGGGTTCAAACTATCTTCGTATCAAATTTGATCTAAATCGATTCAGCGGATTTAGCGTGGAAAGGTAACAGACAGACAGGCAGACAGAGTTAGTTTCGCATTTATAATATTAGTAAGTTAATAATATTAGCATGGATAGATAGGCAAACTGTATAGGTACTTGGTATTGTTGCGTAGATGTTTTTTATTATCGGGGAGCAGATGATTACTAGTACTGTTTTCGACGATAGGTAATTGAAATTTTTACCGTATAATTCCTCAGATTCACTTGATCCTTTGTTCATTAAAAATATATATCAAAAACTTCAAGTTAAATATAATTTTCGATTGAATAAATCTGCCATTATGAGATAAGTTTATAGTATATATTCATAGATGTCGCTGTTTAAGCCTTATGGTTTATTTACCAGATCTAAAAAAGGATAGCCACTGAATATATGCTACATTTTACATAATATGTTATTATTTAGTTTTCATTTACTTAAAAAATTTTTAAACCATAATATACCTTTTTGGAATCTATTTTTTATAATATGATATAACTTCAATTAAGTTATTCTCCTTTCTGACAGTAAACATTTTTATCGGAATAAAAAAGCCTTATAGCACTCGGTGGTAATGGATGGCAATTTTCGATGTTATTTTATAAAATCAACTAGCCACTTACTAGTTTTAACGGTTAGTAGGTATAGATTTTTCAAAGGTCCAGTGATTTATTCGTGATGCGTTCCTGGGAACAATAGACAGGCAGACAGACAGACAAAAATTCTAAAAACTATAGATTCGGCCTCTGTTTTGATAATAATAACTATTTCAATAAGATTTTCAAAAAAAAAGTTGTACAGACTCGGCTCAGAATTTTATTATAATACTAGCGACTCTCAAGTTAATTAAGTTTATTTTACTTCTCTAAGAGTAGATCCTCATAATACGAATAGGTACTCCGTACACTAAATATTTATTAATTAAGTATAAACTAATATTAAATAACATGATGACTTAATATTTATCATTTGTATTAATAAAGATGTTGTAGATACCACACAAGAAAATAACTTTCATAAAACAATCTACTAATTTTTCGGGGGCACTCTTTCAATCTTCGGGATAAAAAGCACATTATATTATAATGACTTGATATGCGTAGTAGTTTTTGCGTGAAAAGCGAACAAATTCACATTATCCTTGCATAATATGATTTCGTTCTTTCGATAATTTAATTAGAATCAGAGTACCTATATAAAACAATGTATGTATATTTATATGTACATTTTATATTTTACTTTTGGGAAATGCATTTACGCATACCAAATGTATACATACAAGTGGTTATGTGGAACTCATTGGATATAAAAGGCAGTACTACCCACTTAAATTCTGCAGAACCAGTCTTAATGGGGCGTCGCAGGATTGCTAACGCACTCAACCACGGAGCCCCGACGGCACGTCTGCTGAAGCAGACCACTCCATCAGGGGTTGCTCCAAAGGTCCACTCTGCTGTCAGAAAAGTATCAGGAGCAACCCGCATGGGTACATCGCCCTCCGAAGTCGGTCACCTCCCTGTGCTAATGAGAACTCCAAGCACGACAAGGTGCTTTGGTTTTCTTACAAAAGCTATATATCTACAGTTTGAAAATATGTCATTACTACGAAATGCTGGTAACGAGAAATGAAAATAAAACCAAAAAAAAAAAAAAAAAAATCTAGTTTTATTTAAATTATCCAATATTATTGTAAATCTAATGAATTGACTTTTATAATATAGCCGTTTGGATCCATAAACTAACTTTAACATGTCAATATTTTAATGCTAAGTACTTCCTTTTAAAAAGCGATTTTGCTTTTAATAATTATATTTATTGCCGTTTAATATATCAGAATTTTCAGAAGATATTAGTGGTTCAAATAGTTTACGAGATGATGATGATGATGATGGATTGGTACACAAAGAAACAGATTAAAAAGAAAAATTAAAAGATGTTTATAGTTTATTAGATATTTTATTCTTAACTTATTATGTACAAAAATATTTTATAGAACATTAAACCTTAGGTAATATTTACACTTTTTATCTTCATTTATGTACAGGGTTAGCAGCACAAATATTACTTATGTTAGAATAACCTACATTACGAATTTAACTTATTTACAAATAAACAACAACCTGAACTAAAAGAATAATTAATAGGTATAGATATTCAACCCAGTAAAGTTGAAGCTAAACAATATGAAGTCAGTACATGCTTTTCCGTCAGTCAGTTATTTTACCCTTTCACTGTTTTATAACTCTAAGTCGAGACTCAAAAGTCATATCCTTTAGATATTTTTATTATTTTATTTAATACTTAGAAGGTAAAATTAATAAATTTTGCTTAAATAAATAAACGCAGCGGTTCAAAGTAAGGATGAATTGCGAGGTGAATAGTGCTGCGTGCTAGTTGTTTACAACACTATTTTATATTATTCTTATTTAATACAGTACAACATTAACGAACTTTCATAATTAATTTATTATAATATTTTCTATTATATTTTATATATAACGATGGCACAATAGGTCCGTTGTCATTCACAACACATTGTAATTATTTTCAAACACTCCTAGTACCTATATAAATGCATATACGAGGCATGCCTCAATAAGTTCTGTATCTAATAGCACTAAATTACCGGGTCATAGAATGGTCTCCCCAGCTGAGTAATGGTAATGTCTAGGTTTTCTATACGACTGCTGCTGTGGAGGCCTATAAGTAGCATATTTTTGTGGATGTCGAGTTAACGTGTGTGGGTGGCTAGCATAACAATGTAAGGTCAAAGGAGCCGGGGGTGGTCCTGTTTGACACTTAGGTATAACTGGTTTCCTAGGTCCAGTTATCCTTCTCCAGAGCGCTTTCAAACGTGGCGTCGCTATCCACACAGCAACCATGACTCCTAATATTTGAGTTGCAAATATGCGAAATAGAAATACCCAAAATGCAGGCCGTGGCTGTGTTGAAGGTTCGGTAGATGGAACTGGCGCCGACAACCAATCTTCTCTTAAAACATACTCATATATCCAAGTTGCTAATATACAAGCGGATGGTACAGCGTATAAAGCTGCAAATGCTCCTAATCTTAATAAACTCTGGTCCGGATGAACTTGGGGCGGAGCGTTGAGCAGTGTGGCCGGGGCTGGAATAGGAACTGGACGTCGTAGCACCGCACGAAGTCCGGATGCAAGAAAAACAGTACCCAACAGTAAACATATTGCTTCAGGGACAATGACCAACGCCAGTAATGATTTACTCGACTGATTCCCCACGAAACATGTGCCTGAAAATGAGATAAAACATGACATTAATTTTTAATTCCCAATAGTACAATAAGTTTAGCGGACACGGATTCTTTCTTCAGCATAGAACAACATTCATATTTCCATTAAAGCTGCTCTCAATGCGAACACCTACACAAACAGACGGCGAGAAAAAGGCTGCATTAATAAGGCAGTGGTTAAAAAGGACCGATTTAAAATTGAAATACGAGTATGCGAGGAGGAAAGGTGTCGTATTTAACGGCTCGAATAATGGTCGCGCATTTCTTTCGCTCGATATAATGGAAGTGGAAATAATAAAAATAAAAGAACAATAGCCAGGGTATGATTGAAACTGCAATATGCCTGAGAATCGGACCGTACGGCACTCCGCTTGACGCGGCCGGCATTAAAAGGATAAAATAAAATGTATCGAGGATTATACGTTAATTCATACTTGTAACCATAGCATGATATAATGACGAGTCAGTCCCTGAGCCGTTTCTTATCGGTCAACGCAAGTTACATGTCTAAAATTATAAGCTGGGATATTTCCAGGGATTATTTGCTTTGATAGATTGTTTATTTTAATTAAATATTACACCGGTAAAATGCGGTGCTTAAAAGAAAGCCCGCGTTTTTATCATTCAGCTTATGTTTAAAGCCGCCACCTTCTTTACCAAAATTTATCTATAGTCGGTATTTTTCTTTTTTTTCATAAGTAATTACGTTACGGTATTAATTCTAAGATTTTAGAATATTATCATAGCGGTATTCTTCAAATAGGTATGTCGGTATTATATTAAGAATTTAATTCTCTCGAGCTCATGTGATAAGAGGTTTTGTTTGATAATAATTTTCGTAACATATTGTACCTTTCTGTATATATTTCTATTTCGGATAAAAATATTTTCCTACAGTTATAATGAAAGTTTTTTAAGAATTGGTTCTAATATTGCTACCAAAGTTTTTATATTTTTAACATATAGGAGTAAAGTCATCAAATAATAGAGCCCTTTAACAAACATTTCAATGATGCAATAGGTATTTCTGTGCATACGATCGATTCTTAAAGACGCCAACATACTCGTGAGTTTGAAACGATCTCCGCCATTCCTTGAATCGCACGTAGCTGAGTCGTCTCATTGAGAACACATGTAAGCACTACAATGGAGCGGTAGTTCCACAAAACACTCAATGCTAAACGCATGAATGCGTGCTCCCGTGCACTCGTACGAGATGTAATCGCTTTGAAAATGCCGCCGATTCAATCAAAAGCGTATAAAACCAAGAATCGCCAAGATTGATTGTGATATTCCGATACGGATGTATATTAGAATTGTATTGGTTCGACAAACTAAAATAATGCGGCTCGATTATTTATGAGATTCTATTGCGCAAAAAATATTACCTAGCCGATTGTTAGCCGCGCTTTTCAGTTTTTTATCATCCACATTCTCTTTTGTTTGATTTATATTATAAAAAAAGTAAATGATATCGACGTAAATGTAATTTATTAATACCTCATCATAAATTCATATGAACTTAAATAAGCATTTAGAAGATTTAAATTAAACCCACTATAGAAGATGGTCTTGCACTGGCATTGCCCGCGGCTCCGCCCGCGTTCAGATGACTAAAAACCAAATTCTTAGGTTTTACATATTAGTATACTCTTACATTGCAGTTTTTACATTTTTTCTCAGAAATGAGACATTTTCCCGCGATAAAAAGTATCCTATATGTTGACCCGGATAACCAGCTACCACCATATCAAATTTCATCAAAATCCTTCCAGTGGTTTTTCTGTGATGCGGTAACAGACAAACAGACAGACAAAAATTCTAAAAACTATAGATTTGGCCTATGTATCAATAATAAATTCTATTTCGATAAGATTTTCCAAAAAATCTTTAATGTACAGATTCGGCTTCGTTACAATTTTATTATATATATAGATTTAACAAAATAATCTGTAAAATGAATAAAATACCCACCTGTTAATTCATCTGCATCCACATCTCTAGTTACTAGGACTGCAGCAGCCAACGCCGCTGGTACGCCCCACGCTGCTAGTTGCAACAGGGAAGAGTGACGGTCGTTCCTCGCACTAGGCGTGGTAGGTGGCCGTAGCACACTCGCCCTCCACGCTCCGGTTACGACAACCCACCTAGAAAAATAAAAAATATATAATTAGTAATCTGTAATAACTTTTTGCATCTCTTTAATCTCTTTATTATTACTTTTTTTTAAGGCACTGGTAGCCCAGTGGTAACGGGCTCGCTTGAGAAACCGAGTAAAACGAGTTCAAATCCCGGGTCTCGCACCTCTGATATTTTCATGTGCGAATGATTTCCAACACGATTACCACATGTCTTAACGGCGAAGGAAAACATCGTGAGAAAACCTGCATGTCTGAGAGAACCTAGCAAGTTTTCAACAGACATGTGAATCCGCCAACCCGCCCTTGGCCGGCGTGGTGCACTAAGGCCTGATTCCCCTCGTCCTGAAGGGAGGCCCATGCCCAGCAGTGGGACGTTAAAAAGGGCTGAATACAATAACTGTCTAGAAGTAGGAGAGACAGAAAGTAACCTATATAACTCGTCTGGTACATTTCTTTGACATTTTTATTGGATTTGTAAAATTCTTCCATAAATATAAGTAGATATAGAAAAAAATATAGTTTCTGTATATTTCAAAAAAATATTTTCAAAAACTATTTCTTTTCATAGATTAATGAACAAAAACATGTTCGTATTTGTTAATTAATACGTGATACATTTATTTTTGCGGACTGGTCTGGACACACATCAATGTTTTATATAATTTTTTTTTTCTTTAATGGCTTATAGTTGCGTTAACAGACGCAATCCCTTCTGCCAGTGTCACGTTTTGTGAGGAAGACACGAATGAGATTGAGCGGTAATTTTGAAATTTGGTAACTTTATTGTGGAATTAAATATATAAATTTTTCAAAGTGACTAACGTAACGTGAACATTTTTTTTAAATGTCATTGTCACTTATGGCATACGCATAGGTTTTATTTATATAAAACGACAATTCGAGGAATCTACAAAAAAGGATATAATATGATTAATCTAGTCCATTACATTATTGTACGGAAATTCCAAATATAGTAAATAATTTAAATTGTAAGCGATCAAACATAAAAAACTCAGCTGTTGACGGCAGGTGGGTTTGTTAACTACTACTCAAGAAAACTATCATACCATAAGAGGAATAAAACTATTGTTAAAATACTTTAAAAACTAAGTACGTTAATAAGCTACTTAACGATAAGAGTTATAAGGAAATGTTTTTAACAACATACAAATAAAATATAGTGAAATAAAACTGTCCTATCTATAATTATTATTACCTTCGACCTTTAGGACCGATTAATTATAATTATTATGGGAGGCCTATTAATAAAATCCAACATTATTTATGGTATAATATATAACTTGTATTATATATAATATAACTTTGATAGATTATTATTTAATAATAAAACCATAGTTTTGTTAGTAATTAAAATAATACATGATTTTTTGTAATCTGTACTAATATTATAAAGAGGTAAAGTTTGTGAGTTTGAGACGTTGTAGGGGGTAATCTCTGGATCTACTAAACCGATTCAGATGAAATTTGGTAAGAAGATAGTTTGAGACCCTAGGAAGGACATAGGCTACTTTTTATCCCGGAAATCATCACTTAAGTGGGTGAAAATGGGGATGACAGTTTTTATGGGGAACTGAGCTAGGAACGAACCCGAGCGAAACGAGAATGAGTCGCTAGTAGGTATTTTATGTAGTTACAATACCATATAGTTACAATTTGTAACTATTTATTATTTAATTTTTATAAATAGTGTAATATTTTGTTCCCTTATAAAAATAAAAGACGTAACTCAATGCACCCGGCGCAGACTCAAAAGTATTCGAAATGAATGCGTTCATTATTAATTTTAATGCCTTCTGATAATTATGAATTATAACTGACAGAGTTATTTTAAGTGCTGCGTGGTTTTTGTTGACAGGAATATATTACTTAGGTTTGGACTTACATTCTTAATTGCATTTAAAAGAAGCTTGCTGAAGTAGAATACGACACTAGTGCAATACATCAGATATTATCAAAATAATCTATACAGATAAATAAAATTGAAGTGTCTGTTTGTAATGTCAAAATAACAGCTTTTTACTAAATGCATGTGGATGTATACACGGTACATAAACCAAAACAATTTTTGTCTGTCTGTCTGTTTGTTCCGGCTAATCTCTGAAATGGCTGGACCGATTTTGACGGGACTTTCACTGGCAGATAGCTGATGTAATAAGCAGTTATAAATTATAAATATAAATATAAGCTTAAGCTAAATTAACATAACTATAATAGTAACTAGTTCTGCTAATACACCCTAAAAATGTATTTATACTAACCTTAGAACATAACTGTCCTTTTTGTCCCGAGGTGGGCGTAAATAGCTGCAACACAGTTTATACTAATGCAGCTACTTACGATCTAACTGTTTTTAATATGTATGTTATTATGTTAAATAAAAATCTTTAAATCTTTAAAATATCTAATCACGATAGTGAGTTTCTAAAATGTATTTTAAACCGGCTCCATGCATTTGGTTGCATTAAAAATGTGTATGCCTTAAGAGCTTTTACTTAAGCTCGTTAAAATCTGTGACAGGTAAATCCTACGTAAGGGACAAGAAAGGTGTCGCCTTGTTTTACCGACGCCATTGTAAGATGAGCCGTGCCATACAAGTAAAGTGCACGATGAGAGGGAGGTTTAAAGGATTCCTTGAGGTTCAGTCAAGCTGGTCATAAGTTGCCGCAGTACCGTGTCACTACCACTTGAACAAACAACGGTCCCTATTTGAACAGAACCAAAAGTGGCGATAGTCCAAACACCGATGTTTACTCGCCCGCTCGCATGTTTGATCCGGCCTCCGACCAACACATGTCGGCTAACATTTTACTAATATTTGTACAATTTGCATTGTCATAATTAGGTACTCGGAATAAGTGGTCTGTAGGAATGTGTGATTCGGTATTGACAATTTGTTGTAGTTTATTGACCTACAACTGCGGTAACTAAAACGATTATACATAATATATAGTACCTATATTATATATCTTACTTATATTTAAGAGATAAGTAAAACTTGTAAATTATAATTTGGGTAATACAACTTGTTTGTAAACACTTCTTCAAAAATATATTATTTGTATTTAATTAAAATGATAATATCTTATCTAAAATTAAATTTTGAATTTTTGATTAAAATAAAAATACCTTCACGATCTCGTATTGCTTAAGCCAAACAATCATACATTGTAGGTACAGAAAGTTCGTTTCGATGCAAGAGGGGATTAAATTCTATTTGGGTACAACGTAGTATTGTGAAATGATATGGAAATGCAAATGTTATTACGACCGAGGCGTGAACGGTCTCCGCTTTTAAGTTTTTTTTTTCGTTTTATGTGGCGTCGTGTCGCGCTTCGAATGGCCATTAAGTGATAATATTATCTCGCGTGCACGATTCCTTTCACGCTATTGAATTAAAAACACAAAAATTTACCTATACAGAGATTACAACTTAAAACATTTCTTCAGATTGCTTTTAACAAATTATTATCAAGTTTTCATTGGCATATTATAAGTTGATTGTAGCTTATGAAATTATTAGACGTTAAAGGTAATTCTATTTTAAATATGTGTATGTATGTATATAACGTATATTTTTTATGAGTTTTTACACTGGCAGCTTTACGAGGCCACACACACCGCTAACTCATATTCTTATTTCGAATCTGTCGGGCGTCGTAAATGTCTACATGACATACGTTGGTCGGCCTCGGATCCATTTTACTCCTTGAATTTAATTCCATTTCCATATTTTACGAACACTATACAACTTAGAGGAATATACAACTACTAATAAATTTTATATTATTCTAAAATAATTTAGTTAATTTAACACGTAAAGAAAAATCGAATTTGAGTGGGTTTTTATACAAGATACATTTAAGAGTTAGAAGCAATGATATTTAAACATCATCCATTATTGGTTACAATATATACATATTTAAATGTATAATAAACAAATATGAAACCATAAAAGATCCCCTGCAGCTAACGAGCTATAAGAACTGGTTCTAAGCACATACGGTGCAGTTCGCAGTACTGTGGCCAATCAATATTTATTAGTTCAAAGAAAATTGTAGAAAGGCAATTAAATACTGTTGGAGTGAAAAACTAAAGAAAATAGGAGCGTTCAATTCTCAGTATTTGCCCATAAGAAGTGACTACCTTTTAAAAAGTTGTTTGATAATATGTTTAATGTACATATATATCAGAAAGTATACGAAAAAAAATTATTATGATTATTTTTAGTATGCTTTTAGAATTTATAGCCCCAAAAAACTTGACTTTTTCAGGTTATGGATGTAACCTAATTTATTTTCCTTCCACCAACCATCGATCATCTCAATATCGCTGATCGAATACCGATTCTGCCTAGTAAATACGACCAAAGATGAAGAGCTGTGATGGTAGCTTTTTCAGGACCACAAAGTTTTGTGTTTGGCCGATTTAGAGAGGTCTAATATAATTGGTCAATTCAACATGGTGGTGCGTTCAATTTTACTGCATCCATATTTAGCCACCTGCTGTGAACTTGTTCGTCACTTTAGAAGCTTTATTAAAGGTGAATTTCTTTATACATTTACTTAACTACTTTAGACATATATCAATATTTATAAGAAGGTACAGGGTCTCTGATTTATTAAAAAAACACCTGGTTTGGAATGTGAGCTTTAAATGTCATTGTTTAGCATAAAAATTTGCAATATTAATATTAAATATGCTTTTAAGTTGCTGGAATATTAAGAATGAAGATGTAAGTTTTTACTCTTTCCTTTAATATAGTTAATCGATGCTTTACAAACAATAAAAAGCTCGTCAAACGTGCAGTGCACATTTAGATTCAGCACATTAATATCATATACAGGTCCCTGTCAAAGCGGCGTGTAACAGAAATAGTGCATCCTGTTTCGATGCGCTGCAGACGCTCGGAGACGTATACGAATTGAACGGATAATCGATTTTATGAGCTCCCAAAATAAACTGAGTCCCTCCTCTCATGCATCATC